GGAACAGGACGATCAAATCGGCAAGGTCATGGTGACCTCGCCAGACGGCACCATCGTTGCTTGATAGACTGGGGCTTAAGGCAAGATGTGGTTCAATTGGCTTCAAGTTCGGTTTGGAATTGTTGGTGCTTTTGTTTTGATCAACCCTAACACCCTGTATAAACCTTGTAGGATATGTCTAATATAGTTAAGGGGTTTAGGCTTAGGGGTTTAGGGTTTAGGATATATATGTATGTATATATATATATATATAGTTGTGTTATATCCTTAAAAAGCCCCAAACCCTAAACCCCTAAAGCCGAAACCCTATATAGGATCCTCAGGTCTTGACCCAAGATGCATTGAGAATGCGGTTAAAGAGGATGTGCGAGCAAAAAAAGAAATCTCACAAGTGTCATGTCGACAATGAAACTCACGAGCAGTATGCCAGTGGAGGGCCACAGCGAGAGTGGCTAGAGATGGCACTGCTAGAAGCATTGCAAGATGTGGGAACGGTTGCACTGGGACGTGGCAAGGCAGCCCACAAGCAAGTTCAGGCACCTAGCTTGCATGCACAAGTTATGAATTTCAGGGTTTATGGTTTCGGATTCTGAGGGCTTTCCCGCAAAGCCCGAACCCGTGATCCCAGAACCCAAACCCTTGAAAAGGCTCATATATAACCTTCTCGAAGCACTTAAGCACCTAGCCTGAAACTCCCCAAGCCGCCAAACACCATAGGCCTGATTCTCCTTGTGCTCCGGATTCTTGGCCAAGGCATCCTTCAAGGTCAGGGTGACACAGATTCGAGAACGCCAGATGCTCAAGGAGTCCGAGACGAACGGGGAATGGCTCACGGAGGAAAAAATGAACAAATCGGGTGAATACAGCAAGCTACTAGGCTTGATGATCTTTGTGCTTGCAACACCATTGAATGCAAGCGACACATGCAAGCAACCCAACCTAAGGCAGACCATCAAGTCGATCATTGCATTCTGTGAGCGATTTCCACAGATCTTGACGAGGCTCTGGTTCATGGATGTATCAGGATATCATAAAAAAACCATCACTCCTCAAACCCTGTGAGCGCCGAGACCCCCCCAAATCCAACAAGTACGAAAGCCCTAAAACCCTAAACCCGCCAAACCCCCTCCCTCCCTCTCTCTCTCTCTCTCTCTCTCTCTCTCTCTCTCCATCTTCCCTCTCCCCTCTCCCCTCTCCTACCCACTCTCGCTTCTCGCTTCTCTGCTTCTCTCTCTTCTCTCTCTTACTCGCTCTCTCTGCGTCTCGTCTCTCCTTCTCTCTCTCTCTCTTTCTCTCTCTCTTTCGTCCTCTCTATCTCTCTTCTCTCTCTCTGTCTCTCTCTCTCTCTTCTCTCTCTCTCTCTCTCTCTCTCTCTCTCTCTCTCTCTCTCTCTCTCTCTCTCTCTCTCTCTCTCTCTCTCTCTCTCTCTCTCTCTCTCTCTCTCTCTCTCTGCACATATATTATATACACCCACAAAGCCCTATAAAACCCTAAATCCCCCAAACCCTTTATAAACCCTTTCGTGCTTGACTACAGGAAATGGAAGTACGACAACAGTGTAACGGAGTACTTCGTTGAGATTTCGACAAAACAGACCATCAAGCACAGCGAGCTGCTGAAACGCATCGAGAACATGGATCTTGGAGATGCCCAGCTGCATTGGGACGGCGATAGCATGAACCTGGGTTGCAGTCACTTCTGCTACTGAGGAACAAAATCCTGGCGACATGCCGATGTCCCTGGATGCACCTGCTATGGTGGACGAAAGCAAAGCACAGCCGAAGCCAGAGCAGGTGGGAGACAAGGCCATGGAAGTTTCAGATTAACAATCCCTATAACCTTAAACCCGATAAAACATACACCCTGCAGCTGACTTATAAACCTTTTATTGCTGCAGACTCTGCCCGACCTTGTGAAGCTGATGGATTCCGTGCATGGCCACATGGCTTCGATCGCCAAGCTGCAGAAAACGATTTCCGATTCCGAAGATGGTCCTAAATGCCCCCGGCCAAAGCGGAGACACTTTGGCTATAGAGTTAACAAGTTCCGTCAAACAGTTTTCCTGCATGTGTTTGTGCCCACGTTTCAAGAACTCGCTGCCTAAGTCTGATGAAAGACCTGGACCGCATCGATAAATCCTTTCAAGATGCCTTCAATGAGCTGGCGAAAGTGAAGGCCGAGCTAATGATTTGCGAATCGGAAACGATGACCCCCGAGCTTCTCAGATTGCCATTGTGCTAAGCCCCGAATTCCAAAACCTACATCCGCAGAATCTTATAATCCCAAACTCAGCCCAGGTGCCTGCAGAAGGTGATCAGTGCCAAGGACACCATCAAGAAGCCGCAGCTCGCCTCATGTGCTTTTGAAGTTGTTGTGGGGCTACTGTACCAGGATGTGACTGCCTCACGTGTGATTCTAAGGTGTGCCGAACTGATTGCAATGGAGTCTCGGGTGAAGCTTCTCGTTTTAATGGCTTTTGGTCGTTTGCATTCACACATGCATGTTCGAAACAATGCTTGATAACTCTTCTGAAGATATCTGCAAGGTTGGTGCTCCTGGAGCTGAAGAAGAGTCTCAAGCGACCGAGCGATCACCAGCAAGCGGAGCCCAAGAAAAATCCACGCAAGAAGAAGTGAAGCTGTGTCCTTTCGACTTCTGTACAGCTGTTAAAGTGTTGAAGCTTGCCGGCTGGTGTGGTGTGTGAATCCACATGCTGCATTGCTACATGCAAATCCAGTGCAAAGCCCGTTAATTCCGCAGGATCCATAGGATGCCGTTCGCTGTGTGACAACACAGAACCCTGGGACGCAGGACAAAAACCCGAGATGTATGCTGGCCTGCTATCGAACACCCGATGCATACACTATAACAGCAAACCCTTTCAAATGCCAGCTCCTTCCGATGCTGCCCAGCGACTGGCATGGAGCTATGCCAATGGGGTGGCTCGCATCCATGGGGGAACCATCTATCGAAGAGGGAATTCATTGACGAGTTCTTGTTATAGGTTGAGGTATGGGTTTGTATATGGTAATTCTTCTCGAGGGTGAAAGAGGAGCCTTAAGCCTAAGCCGTACATAGGTCCCTATGAGAGCCCTTTATAAACCGTCACGTCTGGGGTGCATTCCTGCTTCCGAGGCTCCGTGCACTGACATTATCCAGCAGGCTACTACAATCGTGCAGTATGACATGCGAGATCGAGAAGAACAACGGAATATGCAAGTGTGCCCTGTTCTTCTGCAGCTTTACGATGCACCCGAGTCGAAGTCAGTGCTTCAGCATGCAATGTAATGTTCATTGAGCCACTTATGCAGCCGACAGCATGCAGGCACTTCGTAGGTTTCAATATATACTTCCATAAAGTTACTCATATAGCAGTGTTTTGGGGTAGATCGAGGCTTTTGTAAACGGAGTTGGTGTTTCCGGTTATTCTTGGTTCCTGAGGAGAGTGTGGTGGCCCGGGTTTTTGCCAAAGCAGGTTTGCGACTGGATGTGAAGATATGTTATGCACATATTGGCCAACACCGCGAGCACCCATACATCCCTGTGTCATCTTGGATTCAGACTTTAGACAAAGCCGGCAGGCTAGGTAAACTGGTGAGCTGCTCAATGGACGACTTGCCCAAAATGCTTGAATCTTATTGGGACAACTTCAAGCAGCTCCACCCCACACATCAAATCTTCAATCTGCAAGTTCCCTTGAGCCGCTGTCTCCCAGTGCTTTTGCACGGGGATGAAGGAACCACTTACAAACGAGATGGGGCATTGGTACTATCATTTCAATCGCCACTGGGGAGAGGCACCTCCAAGAACAAAGTGGGCAATGTGGCCGGCGACAACAAACAGCTATTGAACTTCGTTGGGCATGCTTTTCAAAGCAGGTTTTTGATTGTGGCTGGTTTAAAGGAGGACTATCGAAACAATCCGGATATTTACAAGCAGTATTTGGAGTTGGCTACAGCCTCATTGGATGATGCATGCCGACAAGGGGTCCAACTTCAATCAGGTCAAATGCTGCATCTCGTACCTGTTGGCCTGAAAGGCGATTGGTCCTTTCTGGTTCCTTGTGCTCATGTTCGTTTTTTGTCTACTTTCGTGAGTATACATCCTCAAAAGAACGGGTTGTTTAGCTCATTGGACCCTGATTCAGGCTGCCAGTGCAGACATGAACCGATCGTACAAGAATGGGCCCAAGGCTCAAAAAGCCAGCAAGCCTTGTACAGGCATTTGCCATCTTTGTCTGGCCGGAAGGCCAGAAAACGACTTCGAAGATCTGTGCCCCATCATGTTCAGATTTTATTGGGTTGATCTCCCTCCCAACCTCGCATAAAGCTTGGCAGCTACTTTCTGGATGTGTCTCTGTTCCTTAAGCCGAGGTCTACAACTCCAAGATTTGCAACTACTTTTGGGGCTGAGTTGCCATGGGACGAGGAGCCCTGCTTCACCAGAGTTTTGCTCCACGAGCCGGATCGCAAGGAAACTTTCTACAAAGTTGATGTATTTCACACTGTCAGCATCGGCATTGGCAAAACCTACGCAGCCAGCTGCTTGGCTCACCTGCAAGAGTTTTGCCCTGGGACTTCGGTTGACTTGAGGCTGGAGGAGCTTTCGGCACATTATCTCGAGTTTTGCAAAGATCCTGGGCTCCATAAATATGTTTCGCTTTGTTGATGTTGCCCATGGACAAGCTTTTTCGGTCAATAGATATATGATCGAAACACACACAAATCAGGAGAACAGAATCACCAATTTCGTTCAGCGATTGACGAGGGACACCTTGGCATGGAAAAGTGCCACCGTGGAGGCTTCTGGAGGCTGGAATAAGGGTGCCCTGACAACAAGCCTTTGCCTCTTCATCCAGCATATAAGCACTCTCTGGAACCTGGCAAATCATGCCGACGAAATGAGCCGTCTTATTGTCTCTTGGCAAGATTTCCTTTTTGGCTTTTATAAGGTTTCGGATCGTGTGGGCAACTTTTCCTAACTTAAGTCGCATGAGCAGAAGGCATCGTCGAGTCGTGCACTCAATGATTGGATGCGAATGCTACATTCTGGGGGAGCTTGGCTGTCGAGACAGGATGCTAATCGCATCAACCTGGCTGGACGCCATTTCCTTGATTGTTATGGCCGTTTAGCACGTATTTGTCATTCGAGATCCGAGCTCAAGTTCGCCTTGGTGCCGAAAGTACATATGTACTGGCACCTTGTTCACAACATGATCGATCAAACAACCAAGCATGGCTTCTGCGAGAATCCTTTGAGCGAAAGCTGCAGCATCGATGAAGATTTTATTGGCAAATTTTGCCAGTTGACACGTTCCGTGAGCCCCAGACTGCGAATACAGAGGGCTCTCGAGCGATATCTCTGTCATGTGCAGTTGTTGTGGCAGCGAGAAGCAGTGGCCACGCCTTGAAAAATCGAGTTCCGAACTGCGGTCCCTTCTCCCGACACCTCAACCCAAAACCAGAGCATAACCCCATGAACAGTATACTGTTGAGCCACCCACATGTGTTGAACACCGATTCCAGCAAATCAAAGAGCCGAGTCAAGAATATGCGTTCAACCCGTTCGTGGGTCAATTTTAAGCGTGGGCAACATAATTATACGTTCGGTGCTGATGGTTCCTACACCTTTTCCAGATTGCACACTAATTGTTGGCACACAGGCTTAGCAGGTATTTGCAACTGTAACTATCCAATCTGGGCTTAGGGCTGGGGGAAGATAGGAGGTTCTTTCGGGAGTTGGATGCTTCGGGGAGGGTCTTATGCGGTGAAAGTATACTGTTGTTGGTGATGAGGTTAGCTTTGTTTGGGGAAGGGGTTTAGGGTTTTGTGGTTCGACTTTGGGCTCAGTGGTCCGGGTGGGTGTTCAGGGTATCGGAGTCTGGGATAAGCCCCTCCCAAACCCCACACATCCCCACCAGACCATAAATCCCTAACAACCTTTGAGCCCGCCTCAAGCGCTGGTATAACCTAACCCCCACTTGGAGGTCCATGAGCAGTTATAAGTGGAGTTACAAGTAGCGTAACTACAAGTATAACCTATGTTAGGGCACTTATAAACTACTCCTAAACCCTATAGAACCCTTAAAGAAAGCCTTGAAGGAACCTTATAACTACCCATGAACCTCCAAGAAAACCACTAGCTTGCAGGCGAGCAGCATGCGCATCTTGGAGGATCTCTTCGTCCGAAGGGTTGCCCTCCAAGCCTCGTGTTTCTGCTCTTGGTGGGGGTTTGGGGTTTCGGTGTTTCAGGGTTGAGGGATTTAGAGGCTTTGGGATGAGGACGTGGTAAACTACAAAACATCCAGATGTATCTATGCGTGTATATATATATATATATATATATATATATATACATATGTATATCATATGTACATATATCTATAAAACTAATATTTAAGCATAAAAAGACACACACACACACACACACACACACACACACACACACACACCATTCATATCTCAGCCAAACTGCCGTAGATCCGGCCCCCGACAGAGCAGGCCCGGTACTCCATGACGTTCTGCGTAAGGGTACCCGTCTTGTCCGAGAAGACCTAGGCTGCATCTTTTTGTGCTGCTTGAGTTCGGGTTTTGGGTTTTGATTCTGATACAGGGACTTTAACGATCAAAATCGGCTTCTGGGATTGTTGATGTTGGATTTATTATACCAACGAGCTTTAAGGACTGTTCTGCGAGTATTGAGGACCCCCCTAAATTAGGGTCTCCCGGTTTGAAGGGGAGTTCTATAAGGGTAGCTTCACCTGAGCTCAGGGTCACGGACCCTGGGGCTTGGAGGGTTGGGGTTCAACTCAGACTGTTGCGGGTGCTTGGGATTTGGGCTTCACCGACTGTCTGGCGCGAACTGTAGAGAGGTTCGGATCTCTCTTATAGCGTATGGAGTGGTGTGAACCGCTGGTTGATGAAACCCCACCCCTTCTTGAAGGGCCTTGGGACCAGGATCCCTACCATCATCCTTGCTTCAAGGAGGCTGGGTCTATCAATCCAGGATCCTCGCTACTCAAAAGCGACATGAAAATCCACATCAACTCTGCTCATCCATGGCACGTGCGTTACCTGCCCCAGGCTGTCGATCACCTGCGCATCCCAAACCATCATATGGCCTAGTCTTTATTCCGGAAAACCCAAAACCACTCCCTAAGCCCCAATCCGACAACGTAAAGAACGACAGTAGACCAAGGTCAGACTATCAACCCGAAAACCGAGAACGTCAGCTCCAAGCACTCAACGACGCCCCAAGCCCTACTTCAGGTGCCTTCATCCTTAGAATAAGGCTTCAGGGGGTGGTAAGCTAGTAATTAGAAATAGTATTCCCCTCTAGCCACTAGCTATTCAGGCCACCATATTGCGCCAAAGCATGCGAAGACCCTTTCTTGCCGGACTTCCTTCAGGCCGGTGCCCTGAAGCTCTAAACCCGAAAAGCCCTGAACCCTGAACCCTTATGAATCGACCTGCGGGCACATTGGTTACACCCACAGAATCGGTGTGCAAAAAGGCCGTTTCCGCGCCACGTCTAGGCTTATGCAGCGCGCAGAGAGAGCTTGGGGACCGTACGGGAACATCAACACAAGACCTCTGTGTTGCACACAAACTGCCTGGCTGGTGTGGACTTCGGCATTCTTGCCGTTGCTGCCGCACCCCTCGTCCTGCCGCTCAAGCCGACTTGCGCCACAAGACGATTTAGGCGGAAGCCACTCTATCCTCCCGTGCCCTGTAGCCTTGAAGCCCACACCTTGAGCCATGACCGTATAGAGCTCTTGACCCTACAGCTTCAATCCGATGTAACACTAGACATCACATCTTCGACTAAAGTTCGCTGAAACTCCCAGATCAAGGGCCCAGAAGTAGGTGCCACTCTGAACCGTATACCGCAAACCCTTCACCCCAAAACCCGAAATCTTAAACCGGAAACCCGATTCTTTTAAACCCTTTGCCTAGGCCCTACATCCTGGGACATGATCTTCCCCTGTGCGAACTTGACCACGGTGACAGTAATCATCAAGGAGATGGGCACCATACCTTGAAGCGAGAAGCATATGCTTTAGGAGCTGCCCCCACCCTGTAATAGTGGTATAAGAGGAATGTAATTATAGTCCTTATAGTCACTATTACACGGTGGGGGCAGCTTCTAACATATGCTACACAAGCTAGTGGAGGCTTCGGAATGCAATATAGGGGCCTTAATAATTAGAATAGGGTTTGGAGGCCATCTTACTGAAGTTATAATAAGGAATCCCACCCAAAATAGTCTTGGGAATTTTTTAGGCCCGTATAGTAGGATTTTTGGAGTTTTTCGATTCGGATAGCAACTGAATAACGTCTCTGAGGTCTGGCTAACTCACTCCCAGCCAGGGGGCTGTTCAGCATGAGGAACCAAATGCCAACTTGCCTCGACGCGGCAACGCATCTGAGTCTGTCGAAAATGTACAAAAACTGTCAAGCCGATCTGTGCAAAGTCACCAGATAGAATGATGCCACAAACACGTCTCCAAAAGCAGGAAAGCCCCCGAAGCTTGAACCTGATGCCTCCATTAGGCGAACACCTACTGTAGAGTCTGTATTTTGGGAGGACCGCTGTCTGCGTGGAATCTGTCGGCAACCTTGGCCTTGCAAGGGTTTTGGCACTTCGGTTGCGCTAAAGGCGGCCAAGCATCTCCTCTTACGACCCTGACCAACCCCCGCCTCAATGGATTCAGATACTGAGGGAGGCCCTCCAGATACCACACCTGCCGTCGTGGCTTGAGCGCAGGGGTAAGTCCACTGAATTCTGGTGAAGGGGGATCCTCTGCATGTGCTGATTTTACGTTTCATCGGTTAGCATTCAAGCACAACCCAGCAGATGCAGCCACCATATAGCTATGCCGCCCACAGATTATGATTCCGGCCGGTCCGCCTTGTGTCCGTGGAGACTTTGCCACAGGAAGCTAGACAGGGAAATGAACAAGCAGATGGACATCTGGATCGCGAAAATCATGGCAACCACCTGGGCTGCTTGAGCACGGAGCATGCAGAATCGAGCCTGAAGGTCAGCACAACCCAACTTACCTGGAGATACTCACCCCTTTCAACCTTAACACTCAACTCTAAGCACAGCAACGTAACATCCTTGAAACCTCAAACTCATCTCTCCGTCAAACCTGCAATCGTCGGGGCTTCAGCCACGTACCTGAAGCCTGGCCAACAGCCTAAACTTCGCTTAAGGCTTGCCTTGACCTCCAAAGCATGTAGACTAATGGCCGTTTATGGGTGTTGGGCCATTAGTTCATGTACACTTTTTTTTGTGGGGGGGGGGGTGATTTAGGCGCTAGGGTCTGCAGAGTCGAGTTATACTCCTATTGACGATATCGACACCTGCCTAAAGACTCCCAATCCTCAGAGGCCCCTTCAAATCTCGCAGGGCTTCGTTTATTCGTCTCTCCGGGTGTTCATCATGATAGGGTTTAGGGCCTAGGGTTTAGGGGCTGAGACTAAGCTCATTAGTGGTGTTTAGGGTTGAGGGGCTATGTGACTTGCACCACCGTGGCAATGAGCAGCTTTAGTTCCAATATTGTGGGAGAGGCGGAAAGACAACCTATACTGTGTAGACCCCCAGCAGTAAATCCTTGTCACAACAAGCCCTGCAGAAACAGCCCAGAATTCCAGAAGACCCTTTTTTAGGTGGCCACGAACCTTATCATGATTTCCCCACTACCCACATACTAACCTGAACCCACGCATCTCATTGTAGTAGGTCCTGTGGACCCTTCAAAGCACAGACCATTGAACCGGAAACCACAAACCCCCCAAAACCCCAGACCCTCACAAAATGCCTATGAATCTTAAAACGTCGCGAGTTTAAGACACCCCTCCCAGACTCATGTGAAGATCCACAAGATAACAAGCAAACAAAAGCATCTCACCATGATGTTGACCCCTTTTTCAGGTATGCATCTTGTGGATTACTTGAAAGCATCCTCGGACTGCGTAACTGGGAGGTCTACGGTAACAACTTTAACAACAGTCACAGTTCTTATACCCTCACAAACGATCTCCCTAGATTCTCAAAGTAAGGCCGCATGGTGTTTGGAAGGGCTTCGTAATATGTTCTGCTTCAATCATAGCAGGGAGCTCTACAGAATACGAGACCCAAATATTCGGGTCCCTATACTTGCGGGTTCATGGGACTTCGAAAGAAAGCTCATAAGCACCTTAATGCGATCCGCAGGCAATTCTAAGGATGTGTGCATTGATACTACTGTGGTAACTTTGTTACTTGTGTGTTGCATACTTCGCCCCTCGATCCTTCGAGAACATTATGCAACAATGTTAGCGGGGAGCCCTAGGAACTACTGTCGATGTACCAAAAAAGCCTTGAAACAGCTCAGAGGTAAAGCCTGTAAGAAAACCAACGATAGCGTTGTAAGAGCCCAACTAATCCACGACTTGCAAGAAATGCTGTGAAGCCCTTGTAACCTCCACGAACTTAAGACCTGCAAGAAAACTGAGTAGAGGCTCCTAATCCAACGCAAGCTCCAGCCCCGCCGAGGTGCTCCATTGAGACGCACATCCAGCGCCGAGGGCCTCGGGTTGGGGCTTTTAGGGTTTTGGGCTTAACGGTTTGGGGTTAGCGTTTTGGGTTTAAGGCTTTAGGGTTTAAGGGCTGAAGGTTTACGGGTTTAAGAACATCCAGGGCCGAGGGCCTCGCGAGGGCGAAGGCTTAAGGCTCACCCCAAGGGTCCTATGTACTGTTATGGGGGATACTTCCCTGGATCCTAGTAGTAATTCCTAATATAGAAACCCTACATTCTACTATACAGGTACATAAGGCCCTTTGGGTTAAGCCCCGAAAACCCGTTCAACAGGAAAACTTTGGTAGAGTGGCGAACCTCCAACCTCCCCAGCCACACCCACTGTTTCTCTGGCACAGAGACCCTCAAACAGTACATTCAGCTAAACCATCGAAATCGTACGCCGCAAAAAAAAGTATGACGAGGTAACTCCACCAGAAAGGAAATGAACAAGTCCCCTACTAACTTGCGCTGTTCGAGGTGTGGGAGTGAGGGAATCTTGACAGAATGACAGAGTGGTGCAGTGTACAGGCGGCACCGCGAATCTGTCAACTAGTAAGACATAAGTGGAAATAGCTAGATAAAAACCAACATATCGGTAAAGAGAGGGTGTGTACATATGGTATGGTCTGAATTGTATTCTACATGCAAGCATAATAAACGCTGAGTAGATGCGGTTGTGTGTGTGTGTGTGTGTGCGAATCTGTGTACTACACGTATATAATAATGTACATCCATACTACATAAAGATATTTGCTTATGTAGAATGATGTTATGGGGACATGTGTATGTGTATTTACACATACGTACTGAAGAAACTCGCCACGAACACATCCCGATTCGCTGCAACACCCACGAACTGCGAACCCCAAAACCCTCTACTTCAGAGTAGCCCTATATAAGCCTTGCAGACCCCAAAGAGCGCACAACCCTCCAAGTTAAATAGGAAGTTCTTTGAATTAGGGGTCCCGAATGCAGGGAGAGGGGCTTGAACCGAGCGGAGCGTGAGTTCTTCAGTGTCCGCGTGTCGTGGCCCGCGTAGACGACCATTCCCAAGACCCACTCCTTGGGGGAACATTGTAGGGCCGAGCAGGGTTTAGCCTTCAGGATTTATGGTATAGGGTGAGTGTGTTTCCGTGCGGGACACACCCTACATTTTGTAGTGTCCGAGCAATATGAAATGTCAACGAGGCTATATGCCAATGTCCCTCAAAATCCACAACCTGCATCGGTGTCAATTCAATCACAAGCCCGTAGGAATCGCTTCACGCAGGGCGCGTTGAGAGCTCAACGAGCGGATGCTGTCATGAATTCGCAGGCCTGAATTGCGACGCTGCCATGTGGAGATCCTCGTCTCAAGACATGCTCACTCCCTGAAATGCTGCCGAACAATCAACTGTGCCAGAATATCTACGGAATGCTCGGGTACCCCTGCCCGCCCTTCTGGTACAAGCCTTTGCTTGACGAGACGCGGTCTGCTGAAGAGAAGTCCCCCGCAGAAGCAGCGTGCTCACGCCAAGTCCGCGAACCTGCGCGGCGATGTTGAAGTAGGGTGTCAACCGAATTAATTGATAGCACCCGAACTGTTTCCATGTGATGCTGAGGTTGCATCACGATAGGGACACGTCAACGAGCACCAACCAAGTTTCGAAAGGGACCCCGATATGCCCAGAATAGCCCACAAAATGCCCCACCCTCCACGTCGTCTTAGCATTTTGGCATGCCTCTTTGCCGTCAAGAGGGGGCATAAGTCAGAAAACCCACATACCCACGCGCCTCGCCGTTTGTGAGCTCCAAAGAACCTTGAGGCTACGGCTTTAAGCTTTCAGACATGGGGCTTCGATGGCAGAGGTTTACTGCCTAAGCTTCCCAGAAAAGGAACCTTCACCAAGCCAAGGAATCCGAGTAGACTTCAACGCCTGTGGAGTTTGCGACGTCATCCAACGCGAAAACCTATGATTCTGTCAGTCCCTGTATACCAATGCAACCCCCCTTGATGTATCAAGGCCGCTGCAGCACTTAAGTTTCAGGTTTGCATGGGTGCCGGAGAATAGGATTTCAGATGATTGCATGTCCATATCATCTGCCACAAGGAAAATCGACGTAGTTTATGCCTAGGCTGAAGAACTCCAAAAACCCATCGCCTTCAAGCAGAGGAGATCCAGAACTGTTCATCCGAAACACCGAGACCCTTCAACGAACCCTAAGAAGTGGCTTTCACAATGAGAAATAGAATAAGGTTTTGGGGTATGCTATACAAGAGTCATAGTATAGGAACCCTCTGGAATAGTAATGGTACGGCAGTTATTCAGGCTTCCGCATCACATGCTTATGCCCTGCCGCATCGTATTCTCTTCAACCTCCTGCACACCAGGGTGCTGCGGAAGGCGTAGAGGTCTCCGGAGGGAGGCTCACAGCGAAGACACGGTGCGGCACCCACCCCTGAGAAAGGGCCGACCGTTTTGTCGGGGCTCAATGAAAACAAAGAGGTGCGGGGGCTTGGCGGGTTCATTCGGATGGGTTGGTAAAAAAGGGAACCCGAAGCAATGGTGTCTAGTCTATTTTGGCTCCTTGTTAACTGCGAGTCTTATATGTCTCGGGTGTTAGGACATTCCGTGGTTGGGGGCTCGCTGTGTGAGAGTGGTGCGTCCAGGTTTTTGGATGCAGTCGCACCTCAAAGTTCCATAGCGACATTGCTGGCTTGCTTTTGGGGGAGGGTCAAGTGTATTCGCGATGGCTCCTCCTGTAACCTTACAGTAAACCCCATAAAGTTGGAAACCGGATCAAGGACAAATAGTGTTGGGATTCCCTATACATTGCATGGCCCTTAAGGATTGAGGCTATGGGGTTTCCAGCTTTTGGTCTTCTATTCTATGTCATGCACTGTTTTTGGATATGAGGTCTGCCGGCAGGCGGGGCCAGCTTAGGGATGTTGCGAAAGCGCCAGGAGCGGATGGCGGATTGACTTCGCTGACCCCGAGGTGGTAAGTTGAGATTTAGGTTTGTCGGGTTAGGTAAGATTGTAAGAGAGTAAGACAGAAAGAAAGAAAGGAAGACAAAAATACTTATGAGTGTATGCATGCATGCCATACTTTACGGCGTAACTCACATACTTGTATTGCAGATCGACAGGAACAATCTATGCAGGAATCCAAATCCAACCTTGGTCGGGAGCAGCGTTTCGGAACTGTCCTAGCCCCCGAGGTCCGTTGAGCCCTACCGTGGAAACCGTTTAGGGGTTTAGTGTATTAAGCCCTATATAGTATATAGGGCTTAGGGAGGGTATGTAGGGGCTGGGGGTTTAGGGTTTGGGGGTCGGGGGTTTAGGGGTTGCGGGGTTTAACGTGCAGACCTGCTTGAGTCCGGGTAGGCCGGGTAGACTAGTTGAATGCAAGCATCCGGAGAACAAAATCCACATCCTACCAGAACCTCCGTCCGATAGAAAATGAGACACCCCCACCACCACAACAACGACGACAGCAACGTCCGGAGACTCTGACTTGTCTGAGCTGAGCTGGTTTACAGAACCCTAAGCCCAAGCCATATACACAGAGCACTTGGTGCAGGAGCGTGACCGCGCTAATGCCGACGAAGCTTCAAACCCCAGCGAAAAGACACAACATGTTGGGTTTAGCTCTGACAACGAATAATGGCTCTCTCCGGCAGGTGACCCACGAAGCGGACATTCTGCGCTGCAGATTCCAGTTCGGCAGGCGTCAGCGCGGCAGTTTTCTTCTTCAGATTCCTGTCATTACAGGCTATTCTCGCGGGGTCCTGAAAGGGGATCGGCTTCGGGGCTCTTTAGCCAGCTGTCAGGTGTGGGGCTTTAGGATTTCCTGGGATATTAGCAGCCAGATCCCGCAAAAGGTTTGAAATACTTGGCTCAGGGTGCTTGGGTTGAAGGCCTTGGACATACGCAGTTCAGGGTTAAGCTTTGCGATATCTAATGATTCAGTGTGAGAACTCTACTATCCTGAACCCAAGCACTCTACGACTGGGTCCTCGTGATCCGCAAAACTCCAAACTCACAGTTAAAACCTGATAAGCCAATCCCGAAATCTCGAAAGTAGGGACTCTCACCATGTAGAACAGCCCCTAAACTCGCAACCCCTAAACCGCTAAAACCCTAAACCTAAACCTTCAACCCGTAAAGCAGTCCCGCCTGAACCCTAAGACGCTTATGAACCCTGATGACTGAAGAGTATAGGAACCCTTACGGGGGAGCCTTTTGTAGAGACCCATAATACCCTTCAAGGGGGACCCTATTCTAGAACCCTCTAGTACCCTTTAAAGGAACCTTTGCATGAACCACATGAAACCCATGATCATTCAAGCCAGGCTGCGTCTCACCATCCAGATTTGCAGTCTCGACACAACAGTGGCCGTCAGCATGGGAGGAGGTGAGAAGAAGACAGTCTGCGGGGATTCTCTCCTGTTTCTGCATTCAACGGGTGGTGGACGTAATATAGGGGCCCAAATGATTGCCAATATTGTTGTAGGGGCTCCGCAATATGATTATAGTAGAATATACCTCCAAACCCTATTCTAAATTTTGAAGGCTGCAATATGCTGCAATATTAGGATTTCGTTGAGGTTTACCACAGCGTGTCCGAGGTCAGAGTCCATCTGCAGCAATCAGGGCTTTTTTTCTGCTTTAGATGTGTGGCTTTTGGCACTCGATTGTGAGTTCACGAGTTTACAAACTGCTTCACTACGTTTGATAGGATTCACAAGCCCCAACTCAGTCTGGGTTGAAAGGTTTGGGTTTAGAGGTCAGGTTTGCAGGATCCGTATAAGCCAACAATGTTTGAGCCTGTGAGTTTGCGGGTCTTGGAGTTTGCAGGTTGCATCTATTCCTAGTGCTCACAACACCCGAAGGGTCTGCTGTTTAGCCGTCCTCGTTGCGGATTTTCAACACCATCCCCGGTCGTATCTGGCCCCATTCGATGGAGCTCCTCGGGTGGGGTTCAGGGGTGTCGGTGTCGGGCTCAGGGCTTAGATCTGAATCGAGAGGAATATCAGGAACTAAGTGTGAACGCCCCCTTGCTGGGCCCTACAGCGCCTCCTTCCCTCACAGTCACATGTCCGGTTCAATACGGGAATCAACAGGGTGCAATAAGGGTTCTTAAAGACTCTGCCAGGAGTTCCAGAAGGGTTCTGCAAGGGTTCTGTACGGATCAAGGGCTCTATGTGGATGTAGGGTTCACGGTCATGAGAATGGTGATTACGACGGGGATAATGCTGGCTATGGCATGGTGCTGGTCATTAGCCACATCATGATACTGATATGCTGCTGTGGGCGAGTGGCGATGATGACGATGGTGATGACATATGATGATGGATGATGAATGTAGTGATCATTGCTGATCATAGTCGTCGGAATCAGAATACGATCAGGAGAAGCGGTGCCAAAACCCTAAGCCCCAAAACAACCCTATGCCCTAAATCCTAAACCCGTTTTTTAAGGCAAGGGGGTGGATCAGGCTCTGCTGATGTTGCCTTTGCCCGAAACGAAGCTGAAGCTGCGGGTGGCCTGCGGCCCAACAAGCCCGGCATTACACCCAGCACGATGCTATAGCTTCTACTAACGCAGGATGCGGTGCTTGCCCTTTGCGTGCGGGTTTTAAAGATGCTCGTCAGCGAAGTCCGTTCAGCTAATCGAACCTCAAAAAAACGAAACAGGAAGGTGTCTTTAGGTTATAACTGGCCTCTCAACAGCAAGTAGAAGTGTGTCAGCACTCACAGCACGAAGGTGGGGCCCCGAATCCTTTTTTTGGCGTGCTTGAACCGCTGTGGCATGCTGTCCTCCGAGCATGTTCGAGTCTGCTCCCGCTGTTCCGGATGCGCGCAGGCGTGCTGATATGAAGCTGTGATCCCATCGTTGTCTGCCAAATCCACATTAACACCGCCCTGCTGCAGCACGCAAGCGGTAGAGAAATGACCTGCCCTGGATGCCGCTATCAAGCCCGTGGTGCCGTCGCTGTTTGCCGCGTCCTTGTCGACGCCGGCACGCAGCAGCAAGCCCACGACTCCGTCATGACCTACAGCACATGCCACAAAGGCTGTGCGCCCGTCGCTGTTTGTCAGATTCACGCCCACACCGGCAAATAGCAGCAGCCCCACGACCCCGGCATGACCCGACAAAGATGCCGCAATCAAAGCTGTGATACCGTCATCATCTGCCACATCCTTGTCGGCGTCAGCGTCCAGCAGCAATCTCACGACTTCAACATGACCGGCCTCAGATGCCATCAGCAAGGCTGTGGTGCCGTCGCTGTGTCGTCTCAGGTTTGGATCTTGGGGCAGCCGAGCCTGGATTCAACTTCGCGCAGGGAACCATTGGCAGCAGCCTGTAGCAGGTCATTCACCTGCTCTTCCGAAGCATCGACGTATTGCAGTAGAACGAGGTCCAGGTCCATCGGTGAGTCCAGCTTCACAGCATCTTCCAAGCTCTCGCTATTGAGCAGGAGCCTCTGCCTAAATCCCAAGGGAAAGCCACGCAGCTGGTTCAGGTGCCTCTTCAAGCCTCTCACGTTGTGTATCCCGTGGAGCGGTACGCTCATTTCTCCGCCGGAGATCATTCGAATTTGCAGCATTTTGCAGCGGTAGAACTGGGAGCTTAGGAGTCTCTGACTAGCGGAGTCTCCTTTCTTGGAGCTTCCGAAAATTAGGGGTTCCTTATTTCGGGGTCTCCTCCTGGTACATGGCTTCGGCGGCACAAGCATAAACCACGAAACAGCTCTGTAGTCAAAAGCTCGAAAAACTAGTAGCACTGTTCCTCAAAGCTCCTTCGTACCCATGAGAAATCTAAGCTCCAAATAAAGAACCGAACGAGCAGGATCCTTTCTAGAAGGGTCTTCAAAGAAGGTACCCCTAACTTTCTGAATTTCCCCAAGCGGCTCAGCCATGTTGGCATCGACTGCGGTGGCGAGGTTGCTATTCTCCTCTACAGCTTGGCCATACGTGTCGAATTACTTTGAGGGTTTACGGCTTTGCGGCTTAGGTCCCTGTAGGCTTCAGGGGTGCTATGCTCGGGTGAAAAGGGGCTCCTTGAGGGTTTACTTGGAGGTTCATGGGTAAGTACAAGTGCGGTTATACGTCCCCCTATATGGGTTATAACTATAGTTACCCTACTTTTAACTCCCCAGTTTCCACAACGCATGAACCTCCAAGTAAGCCCTAAACCCTATACCCTTATCGAATCCGAACTGATCTCTTTCAAAGGGCCCTTAAGGGAACACTTATAACTACCCATTTAAGCTTTCTGGGCTGGGTCGTGGGTCGAGGCTCTGGGTCTCAGATTCTCACGATGGCCCGGATTTAAGGCTTTACGGTTCGGGGGGGTTAGAGGTTCAGGGTTTAACGTTTTTTTTTTTAGTGCAGCGGACCCTTTCTCCGAAATTGTCCAGCCTGAGTCGGCCTACACTACAAAGGGCACTCTCAGAAGACGTAGTCATCGACAGCGAAGATCTCATGTACCCTATGCCCTCAGTCCACTTCCTCAAGGAGCCTTCGACGACGACCATTGGGAGAGACACCATGAAGCACTGACCCATCATCCATCATCCCGGCTACGACTGCGATCACGTGGACGGGCAGGACCAGGTTCACCAGAGACAGCAACATCACCTTCACGTAGGAGCGAACGACCACCAGGAGCACGTGGAAGCGAGCGTTCACGCCGAGGCTGGCCGTGGCGACGTTCATGAGGTACAGCACCTACCACAGCACCAAGATCTCCCGGAGCAGCAAACCGTGGCGCCATCCTTGGACGAAGATTGCGTCGACGATTACGCGGAGCCGTGCGATCAGGAAGAGCCGGCGTACTCGTACCAGGGGGAAGGTTGTCCACCGGCGTGTTCTCACTCGTTTGGATCAAGTACAGCATCTAATCATTCTCAGAAGGCCAAAGACCACCTGGAGTTGGCCGGCGAGCGGTCTCATGAAGGAACCCAGCATGACGACGCCAAGCACGACGTCGTAGCCCAACCACTGCAGACGGCGACAGGTTCGGCAGGCTATCCCACAGACTTTGAATGTCGCGGGGGAATCCAGGTTGAAGAAGCGCAGCCAAAGTGTTTAAGGTTTAGGATTCAGGGTTTCGGGTTTGTGGCTTAGGGTTTAAGGTTTAGGGTTTAAAGTCGGACCTGGGGTTTAATTCTAGAGTTTAGGGATAAGGTTTAGGATTTAGGGTATGGGGTTTACGGTTCTGGGACTCACCAACATTCCGAAGAAGCCCCATACTACTTACCCACACACATACCAGCGCCCGGCCAAAGCCCAAACCCTTGATCCCGACAACCTAAAGCCTGACAAAGCACACAACCCTGGAACCTAAACGGACCTAAACCTCAGATCCAAAACCTCGTAACCCTCCACCACCAACCCCAAACACCCAAGCCCTGTAACCCTTAACCCCAAACCCCAAAACCGCCAAACCTCAAACCCCCAAAGCCATAAACCTCTACGCCCTTCAAAATCAAAATCCCTGAACGGACACCTGTTAACCCCAAAACCCCCAGACTCTACTTGGAGGTTCATGGGTAGTTGTAAGTGGAGTCATATGTAGGGTAACCATAATAATAATTACGACCCACAGTAGGGAACTTATAACCCCACTTCTACCAACCCATCAACCTCCAAGTAGACACTAAACACTAAGCCCTTAATTCTTCTTACCCCACTTATAACCACCCAAAACCCGTCTCTAGACCCCAAGCCCTAAGCACCTAACTTCTCATCACCCAAAACCACCAGTGTCTAGTGGAGCCTTCTGATCTGACGCAATGCGCTGCCAGTCTTCGAAGAGATCCTTGATGGCCTGAAGACCAAAAAGGGTTTAGGGTTATATATTATAGGGTTTAGGACTACAGGGTTTAGGGTTAGGGTTTCCGGAGCTTAAAAGGCCAGGGAGTTTGAGGAGTTTGGGGGTTAGGGCCTAGGGGGGCTATTGGTTTTAGGGTTTTAAGGCCTTGCTCTTGTGAGCATGTGGGCAACTTAAGGGTCTGATGAGGGGCTTTAAGGGCTTCAAGTTTCTGCCTCAACACAATCGAACCTGGTTTGGGGGGTACACATATTAGTTGTTCGTTTATGGGAGTTAAGTATGCATGCCTGAATGCGATATGCGTTGCTCGTGTTACAGTTACAGCGTTAACTGCCTGGGGTTTCTGGTCTCTTGTTCTGGGTTTGGGTTTCGGGTTTTCGAGCCAAGTGTGAAGACCTTCGCACCAATTCAGCTTTTTTGTCCATGATACTCGTATTGCAGTCGGATTCACATGATATTCAGAACCCTTCCAAAACGTTCTCAGAATGGCCAACACCGTATTGCAGACCGTGTTCAGATCTCGCTCCAGCTAGCCCTGTTCAAAATGCTTAGCATTCGGCTGAAGCCCTGCTGGAAAAAAAAGCGTGACACTAGGATTCATGTTTCGCTCAGAATTGCGTAAAAATGCTCATCGGAGTCTAACTGAGCTAACAAGGCCCTTGAATCCCCTTGAACCCTAAACCCCAAACCCCAACCCGAGCCTGCATCACCACGACTCCGCTCAGAGGGACCAGAGTGGCGGGCTTTCCCTTCGTGTTGCTGATGGACCTGAACTCAATATGCCTGATATTTCTGTCTCCCCATGAACAGATATGTGTGATGTACTCATCTACCAACATTATCATCGGTATTGTTAACTGCACAACTGATCGTGCGAATCTGTATGTACATAAATTCATATGACATGCAGGGTCACATGGATATTCTCACGAGAGAGAGGGAGAGATAGATAGATAGATAGATAGATAGAGAGCGAGAGAGAGATATCAGAATTAAGTATCCGAAAGAGCCGCTGCCCATGTGACCCATGTGGTTACTGCTCGTATGTTGCATCGATCAGGAAGGCCCTGCCACAGCCTGCCACAGCAGGATAGGGCTCCTGTTATTGCGATCCTTTGAGGGTTTGGGGTCTAGGGGAGATTTTTGACAATGCTGCTACTGCGGAGAAAGATCATCTCTGTCGAAGAACACCCCCCTTCTATGCTTAAAACTTGAGCATGGGCACGGGAAGAGTTGACCCACGGCCACCAGCATGAAGTACATGTTGCCCAGTTGGCTAAACTGCTCGAAGAGGTTCTTCGGCACGAAGTCGTACCTTGGTCAGCAGTCAGGATCCGAAACGCGGAAGCAGTGCTAAACCCTGTACGACACTGAACAAATGAAGATATGGCACAAGGTCCAAGAAACGAAATTCAAGACTTTGCACTTGCTCAAATAGCTGTCGTACTCACGACGTATAAGACCGTGCACCAAGTAGGATATGGGGAATGCCATCAAAGAAACAGGAAAGGTCCATATAGGAACCCGCAAACCCCGTTGAGGTTACTAAGGCGCCTATATTATCACGACCAAGCGAACCTGAAACCCGAACCCCAGAGCATGACCCTTCAGCAACAACCCGCAATGCCAGTACAAACCTAAAGCCGCGATCCTGAAACTTACAGACCTCAAAACAAGCACAGTAAGGAAAGACTTATTCTCTGCAACACCGCATGTCACTCAACCCATGAAGCCTCGACACCCGAGATTGTTCAGCCTGAACTGTGAAGTTGCACTTTTGGGTCTGAGGTTAGAAGGTACGGGGGTTTAGGGGTTTTGTTTGGGTTTATAGAGGTTTTGGATAATAACAATGCCTGCACAAGACCAAAGCGCCAGTTGTACTTGTTGCTTTTCACCGCATTATTCCGCTTCTTGTCCTGATGGAAGAGCTTGACGACGCGATAGTCATCGATCTCCTCAAGGGCGAGAGATCAAGGCGTGTCAAAATCCTTGCCTCCGAAAAAACCCTGATGCCCTGAACTCGGAACACTAAACCCTGAAAAACCTAAACCCAGAGCCCCAAGCCTTCAGGGCCCAGCTTCCCTCGAAAAGTGGCGCCCCCTTTTTCGGCTCCTTTCAAAAAGGACGCTAAACGGAACCCTTAATGAGCGAACTCCCCGTTTGAGATCTGGCACAACGGCCCCGGAGCGCATTTCAAGGAGCCAGCTGAATTCCAGGAAGCCCATGGGCTCCCTCACAAGGAGGCTGTAGCTTTAGTGTTTCATAAGAGTGTACCTGAACCCCCAGGTGTCAAAAAAATAACGGCCCCAAACCTCAAAAAGGCGATTCTTCTACATACTTTGCTGTCCAGGTAAGGCTTTAGGATGTATTTAGGACCAAGGTCCATCCACCAAAGCTACGAGGAACTGGATAGCCCGACATCACTGACCCTTCCAAACCTGCCTTTTTGTGGTTCCTCATCATAACTACATGGAGGTTCATGTAAGCGCCCCCAATGTGGGTCATAATTATATTTTCCCTACTCTTCAACCCACGTACAACTACCCATGACCGTCCAAGTCGTCATAAGTGACTCAGCTAGGATTTTGCTGCTTAGACGGAGAGGGGCTCCGCATCTGGGGTATCGACCACGGCCTCTGCATGCCCAAAGACCCTGCACTTCACAGTGTCCAGGGTTCAAGCTTTAACTCCCATAACAGAGATTCGTTTTGCTACATAAACACTTTCAAAGCACTCGTGCAACCATATATGGGTAGTTCTCTAAAGTAGGGTCCCCGTCCTAGCACTCTCTGAAAAAGGACCCCAACAAGGACCTCAACCGAGAAAACTACCTATCTTCGAACCTGGCGGCTGAGTACCCTAGCCCAAACAAGGTTAACCTTTCGAAATTGAAGTGGGGCCATTATATAAGTCCCCAAACAATAAAAGGTCACCTACTCAGCCCCTATTCAAAGGCCCGAGCTGCGTCTTCAGTCACGGATATCGTCGACGTCATTTCAGCTCAACTTCGCCGGCCAACCGCTCATGCGAGTGCAAGTGAGACAGCTGGAGGCAAACCCATGGTTGTCGAGTTTAGGGTTTAGGGGTTTGGGGCCTAGGGGTGTCGGGTTTAGGGGGTTGAGGGTGTAGGGGTTTAGGGTTTAAGGTGGTCGGTTAGGGTTTAAGGTCAAGGGCTTAGGGTGTAGATGTTGACAGGGTGAAGGGTTGAGGGTTGAGGGCAAGGCTTTAACCCCTCCTTTCCAAGCTAGCTTCAATCCCAAAGTTCTTAAACCTAGACCGGACGAAGGCCTATGTAGGTGGCTATGGTAGAGGAGCATGCATACGGGATTAGTATTCTTACGAAATATGAGAAGCAGGTACTTATATCCGGCGGCTTCACTATGTAGGCTGGCAGTCCAGCGAATTGAACGGAGGCCGTCGTTTTTTTAACCCGGTGAACCATTGAGCAGCGCCTCTACATATTGTAGGTCCTGTAGGGTTACTAGATACCCCCCACGCTTCCCCCAATGTGGCTGCTTGAGCCAACTTACAGAGAACCTCTCGTTCTTGCAAGGTGTGTTTGTTTTAGCTCTTTAGGGCTTTAGTGTCTATAGGGCTTTACGGTTGTTTTTCTATCCTTTTTGGATTGGTACCATTGGAGCCTGAATAGGTGGTAAACACAGCTTGGGAGCGGCCTCGATCCCTCTCCCACCGTTTCTGAATGGAATGGTAGAAGATTCTTGAGGGGCCCGAAGCCCAAGCCGTTTCCCAACAAAAAGCATGAAAAGAGTGGACACCGAATTTAATTGATGCGCGCAATGAACTCGTCTGAATGCCTTGAACTAAGACGTAAATGTCCAAACAAGGCTACGCAACCAAGAGGAACTGCAGCGCTCTTTGGGAGACTTCTGACAGTGACAGGTACCCCTTCCCCTACTGGGTGGTAACTTGAAGGCAAGACTACTTCGAGAAGCACGAGATATGTGGGAGTTTGCGATGTCGGTGCTGCAACTTTTGCCGAATCTTGAAGCTCAAGCCCTGAAGAGGGTTGAGGGTGTAGGGTTGCCATGCGTTCTCACCGGCTCTGACACGACAATATGATGACAGCCAAAGAACGGTAACCCCAGCCACTACTGTAAGTAACCCTAATCCTTGAATCCTGACTTCCACTCCAAATGCCCCCCGTTCAGATACCAAGGTCATGGAGTGCCTTTTCAAATTCCTCTGGGGGAGTCTGCCTTGTGGGTTAGGAGATGAAGAACTCGGGATGAGGGGCCGCTTGTTTCGCGCCAGTCAGACGTCAACTGAACCAAAGAGCCACTTTGGGCCACCCTACACCTACTGAAATCGATGCCGGGAGACAGCTTCGGCCGTGCAAGCTGCCAACTCAGTCTGCAAGCAGCTCTTTGAACAAGTTCTCTGCCGTGGCGCGGCCTGCGTCGAGTATCAGCACTCGAAGGTATTCGGGATGTACTTCGACTTTCACTGAGGTCCTGAAGCAAGCACAGGAGACAAGGCCAAATGAGGCCTTAGACGGTTAGGATCTTGAAGACTGGACTTCAGAAAAAACTAACAAAAGACAGAAGGCTTTTGGAGGAATGCCGAGGATTTTCAAGGTAGCTCCATGGATTCGGGGGCGAATCACGGTTGTGAGTATTCAGTCTCCAGCCTTCAGGCATAGTTTGACACACCGGTGATGCATGTCTGCGACATCGATCCTCGACCGACATAATTCTTGAATCCGACTCGACATGTTTCGCAGTTTTGCAACCCAAACCGCACTGTAAAACAGACGAGCCCCTTGAAGCCAAGGAAAATTTCATTCAGTACGGGGTCAATGCCCGCACACCCTAACCCTCCAAGCCCACATACGAAAGATAACCCTGAATCACAATCCAAACCAAAACTCGACACCCCAACAAACCTACCTGGACACGGAAGAACCTACCTGTTCAGGATCTTATTAAGCGTTCCTTATATATTATGTATGTCTTCAAAGAGGTACGCGGCTGGGTAACCCCCAAACTGCCTTTCGTGGTCCAGTCAGCTCGGGCTTTCGTAAACTCCGGCGTGCCCGGCGCGTATGACACGTCCTCTCAGGGCTTTGAGACCGCAGAACGCTCCAGGGCTTCATCTGTGCGGTTTTGGTTTATAGGCTTTTTTCAGGTTTACGATAGATAATTTTTTGTTTGGTTCGTCGTATGACCTTTGGGATTTAGGAATTCAGGGATTGGAGGGCCCAGGTTGCGGGCTTCAGGGCGGTAGGAATGCGACGTCGTAGGCCATGAAACTTTGAAGTGCGGCGTTGGCAGTGGCAACCCTGAATCCTCGTGGCAGTGTGCACCAAGGGGCTTTAATCACTTTTGTTCACAAGTTCCACGGCATGCAAGAAATGAGGTCTGACGATGCTTTGGCCTGAGGGTTTAGAGCTCATGTCCTGCCCCGTCCTTTCGTGGAGTGGACCGGGGAAGGGATTAGGATTTAGGATTTGGGGAAAAGGGGATGCCTCGTCCAGAGCTTGTATTCACTCGAGGCTACCACTTTCGAACTGAGGTCATGAATTGGGGAGTAGTATTCCCGAGGGCTCCGTGTTATAGTAGTTATGCTAGAATTCCCACACGGAAAACACTCTTGTCATTTGGGCCCCCCAAACCCCCGGACTAACAGCTCTCCTTGCCCACGAGGTTGCTCCCCATGCCAATCACTGCTGCGCCGGCCTCCAGGTTTAGATCCGGTATTGAGGGCCCTTTTTCTGTGCTTGCTTGGGGGATCAAACTAGTTGTTAGGTGGTTTAGGGTTTAGGGACCAAAGCTGGGCTTGCACGTTTGCCATGATTTGTTTGATTGGTTGCGAAGATCCATATCACAACGAAGCGTACGATGTATCCGGAGAACCGGCCAGATGAATACACCAACATGCAGTTCAGACTCGAGGATTGCTGCAGTGCATAATTACAACGCATTCAATATAGAGTTGATGGTGGATACAGACTACCGGAAGACGAACCCTCAACAACCTGATGCCGCACTGGTACCAAAAGTTCACACTGTCAACATGATTATGGTAAGGCTTGATCTACCCACGGTACAGTAGCAAATTATCAACATGATGATGGTACGTCGATCTCGATTCGCGAAAATCAACGCCGCTTTTTCTGTCCGGCTTAAGTTTTGCTACAATCGCCTCCAGCCATTGTTGCCCATTCTCGGGGGTCACGCTGCCGGAGGGGAGGATGTTCAGGTTCTCGCCCAACCTGACGTAGAGGCCTAAACAATAGGCCTCTATGTAGGATGTTTTTGGTGAATTTGAATATAGCGACGCTATGATAGATTTGTTGGGGTGTCTAGTAAGTTAATGCCATAACAAAGCTAAAGGATTCGTGTTTGTAGTTGTTCATGCCGAATACTGCCTTCTTATCATATATGTCCTCATTAACAGTAGGTATGTGGGCAAGAAGGCAGCTCAAGGGCCTAGTATAAGGTGGGCTTGACTTGAGTCTTAGCAACAGCCTAAATCATGGACTAAGACTGACTATACATCGAACCAAACCCGAAACCCTAAACCCCTAAACCCTAAAAGCTCCTGAAGGGGGTTTGAAGATCCCCCGGGCTCAGTAGCTGCCTTCCGTCGGAAAATTTTCGGGGCGCCGTTGCTGAGATAGGGTGAGGGATCCTTGGGTAGGGTTCCTTGAGAAAAGGGGTCTATAAAGGCTCAAGACTTCACCTAAAATCTTAAGTATCCGGTGCAGGAACCACCAAGAAATCCGGGTTCTTGCGAAGTTCTTGCTTCTCATGTGGATTGATCCTCTGATTTTTCTGTCTTGGCACCAGGCATCTCTCAATGGTCCTGGACCACGCCATTGGTGCAACTTCGAGGTTCGGGGACTCACAGCGCTGAGCCCTAAAACCTGCAAACCACGACACGGTATGAGCCTAAAGCCGAAACAGCAAGGTGCCTTAACCGGTAGGATTCTCTCACATCACAGTCTGGTACAGAAACGAAAAATTCGGTATACGTTGCCTGAAGCCTGAACGTCCTGAAACCGGAAACCACACCATTCCCATTGAGAATGACGTGGAGCCTTCGAATCCATGAACCACTAAAAACTCCACCACCCTGATATCTCAATTCCCTATACCTCCCAAGCCCTGAACACCCCAGAGCTTTACACTCTAAGGCTTTTTGATCTCCACCCCTCTACTCGAACGTATGTTGTTCCACATGAAATTGCGTCTGAGACCCAATTCAACTCACCAACTCATCAACCCTAAAAGCCTAAAAAACCCAAAGCCCCAAGCCCTAAACCCTGAACCCTACAGTAAGCCCTAAAATCCAAAACACTAGACCCTAAAACCCTAAGCCGAAGAGCCCCCTGCAAAGCCCACATCATCTCCCCTAAGCGAAGCAGCGGAGTAATGTCCAGCATCGACTTCAGGATTGCTGGCGATAGCAAGCCTGCAGGTTTAGGCGTTTAGGGTTTAGGGCTTTGGGTTTACGGGCTTAATGAGAGGGTTAAGGCTTGTAATCTTCAGGGCTTTCGGGTTTAAGGCTCTAGGGGGCCGGGGGCGGGGGTGGGGTTGCTAGCAGGATATCCGAAACACAGCAACTTTTTGTGAGGCTGCATCGTTGCTCTGGAGGTCGGCTTTTTGGGAGGTTTCTGCTGTGGGGCTTCGGAGTCTCAGCCGGGTGATGCAACTCTCTACTCTGCGTGCTCCCTGCTACAATCAAAAACTGCGCCGAAACATCTTCTTGAAAGATGAAATGACGAAGGAGTGCCAAGCGCTAGAGAACCGATGACGACGTGTCAACAAACCTCCTACTAGTGACAGTCCGACGGAAAAGGAGAAGAAGACCCGAATCAACCTTTAACCCTAAGCCCGAAACCCAAACAAGTTGGGTTGGGACGGAAGCCTGCCGGGAAGAGCTTGATGAGTCGTGTGCCTGGCCAAGATGACACGGCTTCGCAACTAAGGCCTCGCGCTGCCGGTTCGGGTTGATCAGGATTTTTCTATGTAGCGGTCTAAGATGTTGGGCTCGTACTTTGGCATGGGCAGGAGGTCAAACGTTCATGGAAGGGGGTGGGTGCAAGGTCGTAATTGAGACTCGGTGATATATGTTAGTTATCCGTCTGATTTGTTCTCCACTGTGCCTGCACCCGAGAGAGAAGGTGGTGACAGCTATCTCGGTGTGGTGCAGCTGAGTGAACACATAACCTGCCAAACCTCAACAAGGAAATAATATAGGGGCCTTACTAGTTAGAATAGGGTTTTCGGGTCAATTCTACAGCCCAACAAAAATGGAATTGGGAATTATTAAGGCCCCTATATTATGGCCCCAAGTGGGAAGTTGGCTAGGGAAGCTGGCAGCCTGGCAGCAGGTTACCACGCAGTCGCAATGCTCCGTGTCGGGCACAGCTCCCCCAAAACCCTACGCCCTTAAATTACAACCCCTAAACTTGATCAAACCCAATCCTTAAACCCGAAAGCGCCGAAACTCCTTAAACCCTAAACCCTGAACCCTAAACCCTAAACCTCAAGCCCTAAACCCTTGACTCCAAGATTAGCTTATGTCGAAAAACTAGCTGGCCCGGGCTGTCCACCGATCTGGAAGTAGACAGTGCACCGTGACAGCCCAATTTAGGGGTCATAAAAATTCGAAGAGGATGTGCGATCTCCTATAGTAGAAGTTACAATAAAGGAGCCCATTGGTAATTATCCAGTCTCCAGTTGTTAGCCCTGACTTCCGGGCCGTTGGGGGGTCAGGGCTTCAATCTTCCAGAACTATTGGGGTTTAGGATTCAGGCGTTCGGGATTTAGGGCTAACCCAGGCATCGGAACCTCGCCGGTGGAGGGCCCAGCATTCGTTGCTTGTGAAGGCCTTGGCTCTATGCTCTACCTGGACCCCAGAAGCAGGTAGAACAACAGCCTTTTGTGGGCACGGGTTTACAGTTTACAGCAGCACAAGCACAAAAAGTCGAATGCCAAGCAGCACTGCGCGCGAAATGCTCGTCCAGACCGTGCCGGTGCAAAATCCGCTGTAGAGTAGCAATGTCGAGTCGAGACCGTATGATGCACTGATAAACACATGCCACAGCCCCTCACATTCTAAATCTCAGGTCTCGAAAAAACCTTGAACCCCTGAACACTCTAGAACCTTGAAGCCCTGCCCCCTTGCTTTCGGCATACCGATGGGATGGCCAGAAGGCCATGCCGATGGCACTCCTCCATTTCGGACAATGAGTTCTTTGCCGGTCCATGTATCAGCCTGCATTATATTGGAGTGTCATATGCAGGGCGCCATGTAGGTATATGAGAGGGTTCGAATTTCACCGGAGACGCCAAACGACTTGAATGCGGTCTTGCCGTTAGATATTTAGATATAGATATAAATGTAGATCCTAAACCAGATCTAGATCTGAATCTAGATGCCGATATAGATATTAGTTTATCGTAGATTCAGATATAGATTGAAACATAGACATAGGTAGAGATATCCACATGGATACAGATTTGGATAAAGAGGGGGATAGAGGTATGGATACAGATATAGACATAGATACAAATGCAGGTGTAGATATAGAGATAGACACAGAGATAGACATCGATATCGATTTGGCTATGCCTATAGGAATATATACAGATAGTGGACTGTTAAGACACGGCTCAGTACTATGCTATAAGCCCCAAACTTCCAGGGCCCTTCATTCCTCACCCTGATTTGGGAGCCCTATAAAACAGTTGGAATTCCATCGGCTTCATAAGATCTACCCAGAGGGTCCATATACACTACTATTATGGAATTAGGCCCTAAAAGACCATCCCCATTAAAGTTTTGGGGAACCTAATTCCATAATAGTAGTGTATGTGGACCCTCTGGGCTACATTTCGGGCTCAGTAACTCCAGCTCCTCTCGAAGTTAACCCCAGCCCAAGGCCGTAAATCCAAATTACGCCTCTGGACGTCAACACCGAACCATTGGCACACACCCGAAACCCCGCTGTAAGGGTCCCAGAATGCCTTCCACCTTATGCAGTCTTAGAACCCTCGTTATAGAAACACCTACACATCCTCCCAGAAGCCCTCCTCCACAAATCCGGTCGGATCGATCGGGGACAAAGCGAAGGAGGCGCCGGCAGCTTTCGCACTAACGATCTGGCTGACCTCGAAGGAAATCTTGGGCTTCCCTTTTTTAGGGTTTATATTCTGTATAAAAGGTTTAGGGTTTAGGGTTCCTGTAAGGCTTCCCTTACATGGGCTCTATCAAGGTTCCTTTAACGGAAAACCTTGAAGGAAGTCTTCGGGTTCCCAATAAGCAGGCTCACTTTGGGAATTCTGCGATTTTCGAGCTGGCAGGATCCACCAAACAACTGTGAGATACTCCTTGTGGAGTTCCGACAGCAGGAATTTAATCTACTGAACTGCCGATTCCGGCCATCTTCAAGTCAGCCTGGCTTCCTACAGCCTCGAACACTCGGAACTCTCTAACCTAAAACCCCAAACCCTGCATCAGCCCTGGCTATCCACTCCACTCCCGAATTCCAAGACAAAGACATCAACTCTGCACAGCATGGCATGAACGGTAATACAGAAGTCGGAATACAAAGGCACAGGTACAAAATGAGTAGCAGCAAGATCAGCTTGAGTCAGCATGATCGGTAGCGCTGTTCTACAGAGCTAAGCGTGCACAAGCATCAGCCATAAACTACAAGGCATTCAACAAAACTTAGGCTTGAATTCGAAGATCGTCATACCCTCACGCGACCCAACTTCCTACATCCAGATCCCGTGAGAGCAACACGAACTTCATGAAGATCTAGGGTCTGGCCTTGTGTAAAAGTGCCTTTCGCCTCAACATAGCTCGACAGTTCTATGCAAAAGAGGTTTTCAACCAAAACAAGGCTCAACACATGGATCCAATGGGTCGTAGGGTTGATTTGGTGACAGGCCAAGTTACTGACTCGTCCATAACCGTGCCCACCCCCAAGAGCACGTCAGCTGGCAGCCGTCGGCGGAGTTTGCCTAGGACCTCGAGCCAGTCGGTGCTGTCCAGAGTCACCTCCATCGCCTGAAGGTCTCAGGGCTGATAGGGGTTTAGGATTGCACATGAGCCCTTGTATTTTGGAGGCCGGGGTTTAAGAGTGATGCTGAACCTACACTGAACTTAGAACCCTAGCAAAAATTACAATTTTAGCTGTTTCTTAGGGATTTACAATAACCAAAAACTAAAACTTATTTCTAAGTACCCCTAACCTGATTTAGACTTTGGGGATGAAACATGTTCCTTGCGCGCGTGCGCTCAAAAACAAGCAGCCTGATTTACAGAGTCGGCCGAATCCGTGCAAACAGCTAAATACACGAACATTTCATGACATAATTAATGCACGCGACGGCATCAACTTGCCAACAGTGGCAGCCGCAACCCAAAAACAACACAAAACCTAAACCCCACGCCCCCGAAACCCTTGCAACACCCTCAAAGTCCAATTCCATCAGCAAAGTACGACCCAACTTACATACCGATAACCCTGCTTAGGAAGCACCCTGTGCCCCAAAGCCCTCTAGAACCCTCGGTGTAATTGTAGAAACTATTTGTAGAAGCTCTAAGACCTTAAACCCTAAACCTTTAACCCTGAACCCTAAACCTTACTTACAAAGTGGGGAAGCCTTGCATCCCAGGGAAGCCAACTCGAATCCTCGCTCCACAGCCACATCTGGGGAACCCCGACAGCGGAGGATGGCCAGGACGCGCGCCTCTGTCTGCTTCAGGGTCAAGTTGAGGGTTTAGACGGTTTGCTACATTTGCGTATTTTTGAGGTTTGGGCAAAGGGCTTGAGGTCCAATTATAGGGTGTCGGGCAAGGACCTCAGTCACAGTTTTGGAGTATATGGCATTGCAGTATAAATACAAGACGTCATCTTTCTTAGGCCTACACAAGTGATTATGATACCTTCTGAAACTCAGCCAGAAACCTTGTTACTCGTTATAATCGCAACAGCCTCAAACACACACCAAGCCGTAACCCTAAACTCCTAAACACTGCTGCAAAGCCTCTACACCCGAAACACTGACCCCCAAACCCCTTAGACCCCAAAACACAGATCCCCAAACCCCCTAAACCCCAAACTCTGAAGCCCAAACCCTCCCAAACCCGAAACACTGAGCCCCACACTTCTTAAACCCCAAACCTCCTACAAAGCCGCATCAGCCAAGCTGGTGCCTTCTTCAGCGCCGCAAGAGTGGCCTCCACTGGCGTCTGAGCCCCTGCCATCCCACCGGGCTCCTTTGCTGGGTTTGGGGTTTGGGGTTTACTTAAAGGATCATGGGACTTAGTAACTGGGGATATAATTAGGGTAACTATACTTATAACCCCAATTAGGGTACTTATAACCTTACTTAACTTAGTAAGTCCCATGATCCTCCAAGTTCAGGGAGTTAGGATAACCAAGGAGAAAAAGGTATACGTGTGTATTTCATAATGGCTATTTCAAGGAACACGTCCCCAATAAGTATTCTCCAGCAAACAGCTGTTCGTGAAGGGGCCGGGGGGCAAGGTTGGGGTAAGGGCGGAGGCTTAAGGGTTTAGTTCCTTGCTTTTTCGTGTGGTTTAGGGCTGGGTTTACGGGAAGGGGTTTCGGGTTTCGTTTCATGCTTCTGTTGTGCTTTCGGCGGGTCCTCATTCAGGGATGAAGGTTCCGCTGTGTTAAAAAAAATTAACCGCTCGAACTTGTGCAACCTCAAGCACCAAAAGTTAAGTTTCTGTCTTAGAGGCTAACACTAGCTGACAAGATCCCCAACAGCTAGGAAATTCCAGACTGCTACTTAGCCAAGCGATCTCCAAACATCTTATCGTCGACGAACACGAGCTGATAAGAGCCCCGAGCTCCAAGTCTCACCTTCAAGAACCCATCCCTTCAACAACAAAGAAACACCTATAGTCTCCATTGTAGTTCCTTTTTTCGGTTTAACCAACTATAAAGGATCCTATAAGGTAACCCACAAAAGGAACTACAATGGAGACTATGGGCACTTTATGGCATGCGAGAAGGTTCCCTTGGCACAGCCAGGGTCGACGGTAGCTTCGCCGCCCTACCGTCGAACTGGGCTTCGGCGGCACAGAGCTCTTCTGAGGTGACCTGAATTCGAAAGGAGGATTTCGGTTAAGCCTTTGGTGACTTCGGCTTGGGGACATCGGGGATTGAGATAACCATAGGGTTTGGGATTCAGGGCCTTGAGTTTCAGGGTTTCAGGGTTTAGGGCTCTCGGACGATGATTAGGGTTTTGGGTTTTGGATTTAAGCCTCTGCGGCCACAGGTTCTCTGCATATTGGTTTAAGGTTTGGGGTAAAGGTTTCAGTCAGGGACTCGGGATTGGACCCTTCTGTCACAGCAACCAATCGAACTCCGAATCGATGCTCTGAAGACACCTCTTACGAACGAAGTGCCAACAACTATCAAGCTCCAACCGAAAGGACAGAACGCGGCACACGCTTTGGAACGACGAGCTGCATCAGAAAATCTTACACTGTCCGACAGCAACAAATTACACTGAAACCACCAAGATCGATCGCATGAGAATCTAGAACCAAGGTTCCCCAGTGAGCCGTGGAGATTACCGACACTTTTTTCTAGCTGAGGATACATCGCGACACAGCTTCCCAAAATGATCCTCAGTCATACCATCTTGGTATCAAGACTCCAGCACCCACACACCTGATCCACCCCCCTAGGTTCATCTAGAGGCGCCTGGGAGAAATCTCCTTCGGACTCCTTCAACAAAGCTGTCGTGCCCAGGCAAATTAGGACCAGACAAGGGTCGGCGATTAGAGAACCAGATCAACGAGTTCAATGCAGGGCCTTTATAACTAGAACAGGGTTTTGGGCCCAGTATACTGTAACTATAACAAGGAAACCCCCACAATAACAAAGATAGGTCATTGTTATTGAGGCCTTCCAAGTACGAGGAGTTCTCAGGGAAGAGATCTCTTAGTAGTAGGCTTTGTTGCTCGAAGTGCATCGCACTATAATAAGATGCAGTGAACCCGCGATCGGGCCAGCCGAACACAAGGACGAACACGCCTGCTCCTTAACATATCGCAGAGGTCTGAACAATTAGTAGTACTACCCCGTCAGAGTCTAGCATTTGTAGACCCTTATAAGCAAGCCCCGGAGACAACATAAGCAATGAACCTAAAACCTACGTGCGACCTGCACCTCATAAACACGATAAGCCCCAGGCTGTACACCCTCTAACCCCTGCAAACCCTGAACCCTATAAGCCGTACACTTTTAACCCTAAACCTAAACCTTGAAAACTTAAACCCCCCTCAACCCTTAAGCGTGAAACCTTAGACCCTACGCCCTAAACCAATAAGAATCCAAACGTGGTGTCCTGGCAGAGTGCCGAAAGCAAGTCTGCTCGGCGCATGGCTTTGGGCAGTGGAAGAGCCTGCCGACGTCTGAACTAAGACAGGTTTTGAGCTTCTAGGGCAGTGGGCCTGCTTAAGCGGTTGAACTGCAACTTTACTACTTTTCTCCCTAAGCCCTAAACCTTACAAATTAAACTCCAGAACCGAGTTTTGTAGCTGTCTGGAAGGTGCCACGGAATAACAGGTGGAAGCTGTGGGTTCCTAGAACTTTCAGGTTAGAGGCTAGGGTTTGGGGTTTAGGGAAGTTAGGTTTTTCGATAAAGAACAAACACTATGAACCTCAGACCTTGACCCCTTTGTAGAACCGTGCAGGAGGCCTTATAGATGAACGAATCCCCAAACCCTGAACCCTAAATCCTAAACCCTGAGAGCCCATGGTCCAGAGCCCCAAAGTCGCCTCGCAGTGCAGAGCATTTAGCAAGCCGGCTGCCCAGGCGCTGCCTCCGCCGCAAGGATCCTCCGATACATAGGGGCAACTTAAAGGGGGGTTGGGGGCTAAAGTTTAGGGATTTAGGCTTTAGGATCATAGGGGCTGTCTTTAATTCAGGGAGTTCCATGAAAGACTTCGTAGCAGTAGGAAGGGCTACCAACATTATGTTTGAGCGGGTTGATGATTGCAGGATCGCGCGAACCGACTAGTTAAAGTCTAAACCTCGGAGGCAGGCAGGTAGTGACTGCACAAAGAAAGTCGCACGTTTTCGGCCTACAAGGTAAAAGCCCTTAAACGCAAAACTCTATAACTCTAACACTTGGCCCCCGTCAAACCTAAACCTACTGAGCAACAGGGATCCGGTTCAAGGAGAGCCCCGAGCCTTCGGGGAGTGCCACACAGGGGTATCCCTTGTGCTCGTTGGCATCGCCACACCGGAGCCTGCTAAAGCTTCTTTGGGAAGGGCTGTGGAACGATTCTGGGTTGCGGGATTCCGTTTCGGTGCGAATGGAAGACTACTGGGCCGGGGGTGACTATGTACAGTAGAAGCCAGAAAGTAGGAATATCATTATCGTAACCCCTTTAAGGTAAATTATAGGGGATCCTACCATTAATCCATATTCCAACTTTCTGGAATTCCCTTTAAGGTGTTGCGGGGGCTTGTTTTGCGCCTAGTCAGGGACTTCCCAGGCTTTCGCTTATATAGTGCTTGCGGACTCGGGAGAGTTACTTTTGCTGCTTTTGACTCGGAAGACATGCACCCGCCGGAGGCTTGCATCGTCGTGCTCTCATATTGGGAGCAACGAAGACATTTGCATCAACTGCATAAGATTTTGGACCCGTATCGTGTGAGTATCACCGGCAGCTTCTACGTCTTCTATGTCTAAGTGTGGCAACAGCATCCCGCAATGCCACCGTTCCACCAGAGTTACATCCGCGCTTGCCTGACATCTCTGTGACGATGCTCCACCGCTGCTGAACATCACAGCTGTCCGACTCCTACAGCAGCTTTAGCAGGGTGTTTCGCGTTTGTGTGGGGGCGCAGACTGCTTCAGGGTCTGGGACTCACATGCGGTACGACTAGTTGTCGCCGGATCGGTAGCACTAAGGAACTGTTACACAGTTACGATGCGGAGCAGGGAAAGAACAAGAAGCAGCCGCCTCGGCAACAACAAGCAATGGGCCAGGAGTGGGGTAATACGGGGGCAACAAATATTGGGACTTGGGTCTAGAGTCATTAAACTTTTATTTCAAAGAGCCCTCAAGAACATGTTCGGCAAAATCTTCCGATCCCAATGTCAAGCACGTGCAGGTCTTCAAGCGGTAAGCGGTGGAGACAAGCAGCTGTAACTCCTGAACCCTCGACCCTAGCAAACCTATCATTTTGTGGGCATGTATCAGGAAATCCTGAGCAGGAGCCCTCAACCAGACAGGAGTTTTGGGGATAAGAAAGCCTTAACTCACCGTTCAACACTAGAAGTGCGTCTGAGCACTGTATAGCCCCCCCGAAGCAACCTGAACACTGGCCCCCATTGCCTTTTATTCCTCCCATTCCAAGAACAAGGCCCAGGGCTTAAAGTTTGGGGCATTGGGATTTCACGGCGAAGGGCTTCTGTGTTTTTTGGGCATCTGGGTTTCAGGGTTTAGGGCTTTTGGGTTTTTCGGGCATCTGGATTTATGAGTTTAGGGTTTTAGGGCATTTGGGTTTCAGGGTTTAGGGCTTTAGGGTTTTAGGGCATTTGGATTTCAGGGTTAAAGGCTTTATGGATTCAGGGGGTTTACATGGCACAAATAAGCTGGTCCTTCCGACACAAAGCCAGGCGCTTGCACTTCCACAGCTGCTGCAGGCTTATCATCGTGGAGACCTTACCGTGCTGGATTCCATGAGTCCATGACTTGCATGTTATGGGCTTCGGTTTAGGGTTTAAGGTTGGGTGTACGGGTAGAGTTAAGGGTCGAGTCTAGGTTCTATTGAGGGCTTGAACAATTAAACAAGGGTTTCGGGTGGCCTATTCGTGCGAAATTGGTAGTCTTATCAATGAACGCTTTTCTCTACTATACAATTCCCTCGGCCCTTAAACCCCCGATGTAGTCTTCTGTCCAGCATGGTCACCTTTAGAAGAGCATAGAGGTGAAAATGCCCAACGGCTGCCCATTGCCCAGTCTACTGCTAAGTAGTAGGGTAGGCCTAAACCCCAAAAGCCCTAAACCCTAAACCCCCGACTTAGTGAGTTTGGAAGCTCTTTGGTCTCTTGGCGTCGCAGCTTTGGGATCTCATGCCTGCCCGGCCTTTCCAGAAGACCAATCCCTCTCGAAATATATACAGGCGTCGTAGTCAGAAGAGGGTTTGGGGCCTTTGGGGCTGGGTTTGGGGTATGTTGGCGCTTTGGGGCTTGGTTTAAATGTATATAGGCCGTTGAGAATCATTCTTTCTTCCCAGGATTGTCGGCAACTGTATCGCGTATTGGGAGGAGTAGTAGGTTTAGAAAGGCAGGGATCTGCCTGTATCACCGAAACTCCCAGACCAAAATCTGAGCAAGAGGCATATTGCTCGTCTGCATCTTCACGCCGGTAGTCCTGGAAGAAGCAACCCTAGACTAGAAGGGGCCGGTAGCCTTACGAGGTGCGGAATTCTGAGTCATGGGCCTTCGGATAAAGTTTGAGTGGTCTGAGATCACGACATCAAGGTCGCACCCTCCCTCTATCGGGAAGGCGTTGAGCAGCGATTTGGTGCAGCATCCCCAGACCATCCTAATCCTGGAGCTTTCTCAGGCAAGGACAAGACGGCTGGGGAGTCTGACATAAAATCAAGGCCTTGCTGCGGTCCTTGAGTTGCATCTCAGCCAGCCCATGGAGCTGATCCACAGAGAGGATCAGGACCTGCCGCACCACAAGGGCTCAGAGGGTTTGCGGCTTAAGGGCCCAGGGCTTCGGCGTTCAGGGGTTTAGGGCTTCAGGGCTTCGGGCTGTCAGGAATTAAGGCCTTAGGGTTTCGGGTTTTTGGGCTCAGGGCTTTCGGGGCTTAAGGGCTTGCTGCCTGGATGGTGAGGGAGCTCCATGTAGGCCTTGGAACCATTAAACATATTCCAACCACGGAGGGGCTGCAGTGGAGGGTCCAGGCAGGGTTGCAGTGCTTTTGACAAATGATGTGTTGTGAGATTGGAAAGAAAGAGCTTTGCGGTTTACGGTTGCTTTACTTTTCCTGACGGCGGGCCTGAAAACCTGTGCGCTACTGAGTGAGCTTAAAAGCTAGGTCCAGGTAATCCCAAAACCCTCAAGCACTAAAACTTTTACAAGCCCAAAGCCCTAAAGCCTTAAATGCAAAACCCCGAAGCCCAAAGCCCAACCCCCAACCTCAGAACCCTGAATAGCGAACTTAATGTCGCAAACCTATACAGATATGAAAAAGCCCTACACCCTAAACATGCTGCAACCCTAAACCTCCGTAATTTTACCAACTAGAATAGGGTTTCGGGGGGTTCCTTATTCTAAGTACTAACTATATTGCGGCCCCTACATTAAACCCGAACAGTTTCTGCGAGACGGGCCTCCAGCAAGTGGCAGAAGGGCGAAACGACGGCCCACAGCTCTTGCAATGTGCCTAGGATTGTTTGTTTGGTTGTTAGGGTTAAAGGCTCAAGGGTAGGGTTTAGGATTTCTAGGGTTCGGGGTTTAGAGATTGTCAGCTGCGATCATCTAGTGTCCGGAGTAATTAGACATGTTCGCATAGTTCGCATAACAAACTTCTAGAAACCGACTCGAAATATCAAGGCACCATGTTATAGTGGCACTGAGACTCCCGCACCACAGAACTAAAGATAGTTCCTTTGGGTGGGGTCTTAAACGCGAAGGTATATTCCTGAGTTGAGTGCTTCTAGCTGTTGCTTTGCAAACGCACGAAAACGGTCCCGACATACTGCCGTGATGGCAGAGTGGACTGAAGAGGCATGATGAAAAATAGGGATGGCCGTTTCGGCCACCTTTTGGGAGATAAACGCTGAGCCCTAAACCCCTAAACCCTAGAACCTTGAAGCCTGAAAACGCTACACCCTAAACCCCCCAACGAACTCTCTACTGGGTGATGGGACACCTCTAATAGGGACCCCCCAAAGCACATAAGCATAAGCATTTTAGAGGGATATCCCTACCTTATTGGCCTTCATCATAACAGGCTTTATATGGGATATCCCTATCCTAATTTTTGCTTATGTGCTTTTTGGGGGCCGTATCTAAACCTCTTGGGCCGATCAAACCCCCAAGAATGCCAAGGCGAGTTCTAACGTAGGGGTCAGAGTAGTGACTACTGATCTCCACATGGGTGGTTGTCAAAATTAGGGTCCCTTTTTGTGCACCCTAAATTTTAGGTGCCGTATTATAATAGAGACCCAAAACACGGACCATGATTTTGACAACCACCTACATGTATAGTCCAGATGGAACTAGTTACTATACACTCTATGCTATTACTGCAAACCATAATTCGATGATGATCCCAATATTATTGGGTTCTGTCATATCTCTGAGGTGCCCACCGAGCTGTGGCCGATGGTTGAGATCCAGAGAAATCGGCACGCCACGCTGCCTTGGGCCGTGGAAGTGTTGAAGGTCAACACGGGCGTTTAGGGTTAGTTAAGGGTTGCATCGTTGACTGTAAACTTCCACAGCGCCCTGACCCCTAAATCCTGAGCTGTGAGCTCTATACCCTCGAAGCCCCTACGCCCTACACCCTGAATCCCTAAAACCCTAAACCCCCTTCGTCAACCCTAAATGCCCCGAAACCAAAAAACCGCCGGAGCACTCTGCCACGTGAGCCGCGCTGGCCCAACTCTGGCGAGCGGCTGCACTGACGAGCGGAGTGATACCTGGGTTTTAGGGTTCTCCTTTCAAGTCTCCAAGCTCACCCTTCACTTGTATGCGGACTTACAGGGGTCTTCAGACTTTCGACAGTTCAGAGAACCATACCATTGACAGAACAGGCCTAGCCCCTACAACAACAAGACCCAAAGAAGCTTTCAGAGATTCGAGCTCAGGCCTTAAGGTCCTTCAATTTATTCTTCGGTTGATTCGGCTCGAAGATTCTAGAGCAGCATGACATTCCCAAATCTGAAACTTACCTGGCTTCTTATGGCAGGCCTTCCAGAACCCCTCAGGTGCCCCCTGAAAAGCCTAAAGCCTAAAATCCTTCAAACCCTTCCATGCCACCTGAAAACCCTAAACCCTAAACCCTAAACCCGAAAAACCCCTCAGATGCGCCGAGAGGCCGGTCAAGTGAAGCCAGGAGGCATCAGAGAGGAGAGCTTGCCAGTCTAACTCTTCTGGCACCTTAGGGTCTGGGAGCTTAGGTTTAGGGTTTAGGGTTTAGGGTTTAGGGTTCGGGCTTGGGATTTTGTGAAGGGCCTTTTGAGTCTGGACAGGGCGTCCCCAACCTTATTGGGGCAGGCAGATAATTTCTAGAAGTCAGGGTTATGAGTAGGTAACTACTCTTGGACTTGGCCGCGCGATATCGCTTGAAGCTCTTTAAGGTTAGGGTCGAGGGTTTTGTGGTCAAGGTTTGGGGTTTGGGATTTTGTGGAGGGGTTTCGCTTCAGGGGCTGAGGTTCTCACGACGCACCTCCGAAAACACACAGGGTCGAATAAACTCTCCCTGTTCTAAACCCTAAACCCGATAAACTCTAAACCCTAAACCCCTAAACCCCTAAGCCCTGAACCCTATTACCGTGGCTAGCGTCTTGCATGTGTATACCAAAACCCTAACTATCAGAGGCTTCAACACATGCTGAACTCTCAGGCAAGACAGAAGCTGCCGAATCCCCTTCTGGGGCCCTGGGTAATGTAGGAGCCTTGCGAACTACCTAAAGGCTCCATGTGCCCATATAGTAGGTACTTAGGCCTTAGAGGGGTCCCTATATAGGCACTTTAAGGCCTTAGTACCAACTACAGTGGTACATGGAGCCTTAGGGCTAGACTAAGGCGTTCTATCCTATTCGGGACCACCATCACAGCATTATCCCAAACCCGATTGATCAGGTCCTTGACAGTTCCGGACTCGCTTACATCTCTGGAACCCTTGGTCTCCGAAGTCTTGGTTCTGAGGATCGTTCTCTACTGGAAACCTCTGCGGACGGCAAGCATGATGGACCCTCAATCCCGGAATCACGCCCGAAGCTCGTCGCTTAACGCGGCTCAACTCTGCTTCCGGGTCTTGGGGTTGAGGGTTCAGGGCTTTCGGGCTTTAGGGTTCTGATATTCTTCACATCCTCGGGTGAGGCAATTAAGCATTGTGCAGATTTCCGGGCGTAGTGACAATCTATAAGCGATTTTTGTAGCAAGGACTTAACCGTTGCCCCGCCTGCTGGGCAAAAACGGAGTGTCTTCGCTGATAGTGCACTGTCTTCTGCTCTGGCAGGATGGTAAAGATACCTCCACACACAAGCAGCCCCATAGCCCGACCGTCCCCGATTCATGCCGAAGCTCCAGCTCGTTTTTCCGTGCAGAATTCAAAAACCGATGGGTTTTGCCGTGATGGCTGTAGAATTGAGTCCCTTTGAGAGCGAAAGCTCCAAGAGGTTACGCCCTAAACCGCCAACCCCAAACCCCTTTTTTGGGGGAGCCGTCGACTCCTCTCGAATATGGGACACCTCTGTGAAATCCCGGGACCTTACGGAACACCCTGAACCCTGAACCATAAACCCTCAAACATAAGCCCTAGACCATAAACATCCATCGACCCTAAGTCGTTCTGGACACAGGCAGTGAGATCCTAGGTCGCAACATCCAACCCTAAATCCACTCATGGCAAGGATGCCCGAACAATCAAACAAAGGATACCCACAGAGTCATACAACAAAAATCCTACTTAACTCAGTCATGTAAAAGATACCCAGATAGTAACATGAAGAAGACCCAAACATTCATATAAGGGAAACTCTTACAGAGCCTTGGTAGGACGTCTATAAGAAAGGCTCATACAAATTTGAAGCCCGCAACGTAAGCTCAGCTTGAAGGCCCAAGGCTTGGCCCTGAACCCGATACCCTATAAACCTTATATAAACTCTAAACCTCAAGCTGCAACAGCAAGCTGGCGAAGTCTGGCAGCTCTCTTGGGGCGGTGGCATAAATGTTTGAACTACTGACCTTGCTGGCATTGATACTGAATTCCGCGCTTTTCTGGTTTACTATGACTGCTTCTTGCGCCACGCTATGCTGTGATATTGTGTGTCTTCTACAGCCATGCTTAGGACAGCCGTTTGGGATGCTCGAATCTCCGAAGACGCCAAACCGATGAAACCCAGAAAGGCTCGATCCGAATTCCACGAGGACACAAAGCCCTGCAACCCGCAACACCTCACCCCCAAGCCCCGAAAGTTCTTGAAGCCCACAGCCAGAGGCTCCATACATCCTACCATTATGGAATTAGGTCCCTAACACCATAATGAAGATGGCCTTTCATAATGGTAGTATGTATGGAGTCTCTGGGACAGCCAGCCACCTCTCGCCTACGTCGCCCTCACAGCGCCGACCGCGGAATTCGACCTCCAACGAGTACTGACAAGGGAGCATCGTCGAGGACTACCATGACAAGCTGCGTAGTCCCACTAGTAGCATTTGTCCGAATGCGAGCTTGAAGGTTTCGGTGGTAGTGTTGCTACATTGCATACCAACATCTACAGTCTAGTGGTACTGCAGCTGAACATCTCAACGACACAAGCAGTGCCGCCGTCCTGCAAAAAGCTACTGAGAGTCGCAGAATCGGTGGCAAACGCGCGAATACAGGCTAAAGCCTAAGCTTCACATTGGAACTTCCGCAAAGAGACTGAACACAACTTTGACACCCAACCGTTGCTTGCCGGAGGACCCCATGGGCGTCACAGGCAGCAGCCAAAATGTCGCCCATGGGCCCTCTGGGGATCACGCCTTTGTCTGTGATAATTAGAAGAGGGTCCCCTTTAAAGGGCTTTACTGTAAAGAGTTCCTTTAAAAGGGGTCTATACATAAGGGATCTATATTCAGCACTCACTACTAGACAAGCAGGCGATGGAGGGTTGGAGTTTGGTGCACAGCTGCTTCCAAAATTGAGGAAGGACAAACGGGCTGGATGGATCTATGTGAAGTGATTACATCAGAATGTAGTAGAACATCATGACCGAATAGACTATAGCAGAATAGCGAACAATATCGTCACTGAATATGTCAGAACGTAGTGCAACATCATAAATCATGAAACAATAGATATCGTACAATATGCCAGAGGGCTACACAAAAGTCTGAATGACAAACTTCGTCCCAGCATCTGATCCAGGCAGTCGATACTCCAATCAGCGAGAGGGCGACCGCGACGTTCAACTCATCACCTCCTGGGCTTTTGCAATTCTATGTGGCCTTGGGAATTTAAGGTCTAGGACCCTACAGTATCGAGTTCACACCGGAGCTCAAGAATTGCTGTATCGGAGTCGCTTCTGGAGCCTAACCAGGAGGCCCTCCGAAAGCTATCCCCCCCTCCCTAAAGCCCCAAAACGTTGAGTCTAAGCCATGGGCCGACTTTTACTTCAAAGCAGGGTGAGTATGGGAAAGTTCGAGACCTTTTGGGTTTTGGGTTCGAACCAGAATCAGCTCTCAAAGTAGCCTTCCCTTCCTACTGCAGCGCCTTGGTAACTAGATCAGGGTTGTGGGCTACATTATAGTACAAGCATGTTAGATAGAGGAATGAAGAAATAATCAAACAATTAAACAGACAAATAAGCAAATTCAAAACAACACAGAAAGAATACATACGGAGAGAGAGGGAGAGAGAGAGAGAGAGAGAAAGAGAGAGAGAGAGAGAGAGCGAGAGAGGGAGAGAGAGAGAGAGAGAGAGAGAGCGACAGAGAGAGAGCGAGACAGGGAGAGAGAGAGAGAGAGAGAGAAGGAGATACATAAGTACGTAAACAAAAACGGTGGCAAATACTTAAGCAATTAGCGCTACACGCATATATATATATACATATATAGTTCTAAACATATGTAATTATATAGGGAGTGTACGAGGACATCTGAATAACAAATTTACGACCCACATATTACTGACTCTCCCACAGAAATATCAGAATATCAAGTTACGACCCATGTATTACTGACCCTCCCACAGAAGAAGAGGGGTTGCCCAGCCATGATCCCACCCTGCTCAACCCTGCAACCCTGAACAGCCATAAATCCCAGGCCGTGGAATCCCTGATAGTTTTAGAGTGCAGGGCTTCGGACACAACCGTGAACTCTACAATTTATAATCTTAAAACCCATAAGCTCGAAATCCCTCAACCCTCAACCGTGAACCCTATAATCTTAAAACCCATAAGCCCGAAAACCCTAAACCCCAAACCCTGAACCCTATAATGTTTAAACCCATAAGCCATAGACCCGACATCCCTTAACCCTAAACCCGAAAAGCTCAACGGTTGAAACCATGGGCCCCTAGTATGGCCCCTTAACCTTTGGATCCCTAAATACCTACTATATACCCTATACAGACTCTTAAGGGTCCCTAGAACAGGCTCAAAAAGGCCTAAGGGTCCATATTAGGGGCCCATACTTCTAACCTTCGAGCTGTAAATCCGAAATCCCTAAACCCTAAACCCGACATCCCTTAACCCTAAACCCAAAGGGTCCTATGTACCTATATAGTAGAATGTCGGGTTTCTATATTAGGAGTTAATATTAGGATCCAGGGAAGTATCCCCCATAACAGTACATAGGACCCTTGGGAAACCCTAAACCCTAAACCCTAAACCCTATACCCTAAACCCGAAAAGCTATGCAAGGAGGCCTACGGAGCGCAGGAAGGGCTGCGGAGAGTGCGGCGCTGGGCCCAGGGAGCCAGATTGGATGGGCTGGAAGCCTGATCTTTATAGGGATTCTACAGGGATTTATGGGGCATTATAGGATTCTACAGGGATTTATGGGGCATTATAGGGTATAAGGTTGCGGGTTTTGCAGGGATTGGGGTATGATAGTGTTCAGGGGTTGTAAGTTTTAGGGTTTTACATGAATTTATGGAGTGTTGTTCGGTTGAAGGCTTATTCTCAAGGTTTGCAAGGTGCAGTTTGGGGTGTAGTGAATGGCTCCTAGAATCAGCAAGGGGGGTTGGGGCACATTGTACTTTGTACCTACTCAGGGACTACAGGGCGTATAACAATCAAACTCTGCATTGCTGTCATATATATATATATATATGGATGCTTTCCTCCTAAACCCCTAAACCCTAAATCCTGCTGTTGATGATCTATACTCGGATCGATGCTCAGAGCCTGGTTGTACTCTCCTCTAGGAGAGGGGGTTCCGGAATTCTGGGTGAACCGTAAAGCCGAAGCCCCGGCGTGGATTCGAGCATTTACATGATGGGGCTTACTTTGTAGGAAAGAAGCGGCTCAGCCAATGCAGAATTCCTGACCCACTAAAACCCAACAAAAAACATGGTCGCTCCCGCTCCCACAAACTTGGGCGCGAACGAAGCATGGCTTCGCCGAAGGTCACGATGCGCTTGGGGCGCGAGGCCTGGGGACTTTGTTGGCACCCAGAGGTCTGGGTCTCTGGGCTTTCTGGGGCTCTGGGCTTCCGGCTCATATACACAGGGCTTACAGGGCGTGTAGGGGCCTTTAGGGTTTTTGCTTTTGGTTTGGCTTTGGGCTCATTGGTGTCAATTGAATGGTTGAGGGCTTTAGGGCATATGTGCTCGGGCACAGGCCTCACGGCGCAGGTCAATGATATTTCGGTTGTGCTGATTGCACTGCGCTTGCTTCCTATAGGCCGTCCCACTCCTCTGGAAGGCACTGGAGATTGTACAAACGCAAGGACAAGTCTGTGAAAGCCGGGATGCGGTGCAAGTACGATTGCAGTCTGCCTGAGGCGACAAAGAAGTCGCATCTTCAGAAAGCAGTTGCTCTGAACAAGGGCTCGGAAGCCCTCATCTACTTTAGCAAGGACCCGAAACGGAGCTGTGATTACAAGAAGCCCTCCACCATCCATGTGATCCCTGTGGCAAGTACAAATGCGGTGCTCTTTACTTATTTCGGTGGAGTGCGAAGAAACTAACATCTGCACACATGATGGTTTTCCTTGTGTGGACCTGTCCTACCCTGACCCCTCGACACCAAACCAAAAACACATTGTCTCCACCGTGAATATTCAAAATGCGAACACTTGACCCCAAGCCTAGAATCTAAACTCCGAGCCCGACAGCTGAAGCAATACACCCTGAAATCAAGGTCCTCATCGGCAGCCGCCATCTGCTTCAGCCCATATGCCGGCTGGCCGTAATCAGAGGCGACGTGGACGGGCTGTGGTTTGGGGTTTGGAGTAAAGGGTTTGGGTAGAAGGCATATTGTTCAGGGCAACAGCTTTCAAAGTTCAGGCCAAAAGCCAAACAGTTCTGTCCTGAATGGTTGGGTGCTAGGATGAGAGCTTCCAGGAAACGTCGTTCCGAAGGTACCGAGAAAGAGCGGACTTCTTAGCAGGAACTTAGCGGTAGTGGGAAGTTTGGTAAACAATGCCTTGCTGCTCTGCCCTGGCTGCCGCAGCTAGTTTTTCGGACGCAAGCTTTGATCCAAAGCTACGCCAACACTGAAGTTTGAAGACCGTGCAACGAGCTGCCCACAGCAACAGTTCTCAAAGCCATTGTCGGCCAAAAGCTTCTTTTTTTCGATCCTTGGTTCGACTAAGGTTTGGGGGTTCGTTTCAAGTAGAACCATAATAGGAAATTTGGGTGGTATTTTGTAGTATAGCCTTTTTGAGGAAATGGGTTGTATCTTTATATACTATGGAGTTTGGGTGTTTGATCGTTTGACTATATTATTAAGGACCCCTCCGAACAATATGGGTAATCCGGCAGGCCTCCCAAGGCTCCTTGCATAAAATGGATCAGCGGTATGCAAGGTACCGGGAGAGTATGTTCAATGCCTCTCGTTAAGTACAACTTCGGTGTCTCTTGACAAGGCACCTGGCACAGATCTGACACAATAATGGGTCCCCTAGGTACTACACGCCAAAGCCGCAAATCGCGAAGTGCAGCACTTTTGGGTCCGCTACACGCATATAGGCTTTCTGAGCCGTCGGCGTGCTGCTGTACTGGGGTCTGAGTTCCTAGATCGGTCGAGACTTCTGTGGCGGTCTGGTGTAAGGCTGGGATACGCTTTGAGCATAGTCACGGCTCGGGAATGGAGGAGCAGCAGAAGGACACGACATGACGAGATGCTAGTCGACTCAGTCACAGTCTATCAATTTATCGCTTTATGCATCTATTTATCTGTTTATCTGATCTCGTCTAATCTAATCTAGTCTACTCTTGTCCTATGCTACCTTCTCCTACAGGCAGACAGACAGGCAGACAGACAGACAAACAGACAGACAGACAGAAAGACCGACAGACAAACAGACAGACCATGCATTTCATACGTAACATGCATCACATGCATCGCGTGCACTACATGCATGACATGCATTGCAGACATTGATTGCACTGCTGGCATTAACGACACTACATACAGCATCCATCCATACATCCATCTATCCATCCGTCCGTCCGTCCGTCCATCCATCCAGATATATGACCATATTTACTTTACATATGTGCAACCGTACATACATACGCAGATACATGTACGTATATGTATACTATATATATATATGAAGACACACTATACACAAGAAGCAGGCAAAGCGCTTAGTTTCGGAGACTTCGGTGGAGCGGGGATCGGGGGGGGGGGGGGGGCGTGGCATGCCGGTGAGACCTGTGAGCAACACGGGCGAGTCTGGAGGCTCCAGATGGTGCGAAGGTCCGAGACTGCGGTCACTTGGGAGTTTCCGAAAATCAGGAATACCTTTTTTGGGGTCCGTATAATAAGGACCTTACTATTCAGGGTACTATAGTAGGGTCCCCTATTTCTGGGTCCATGTGCCCAACTAGTATATACATTGGCCCCCGGGACTACTGTCAGGCCAATAGTACATGGACCCTTAGGGCTTGCGTGGTCGGGCTCATCACGCAAACTTCCGTATAGAGCTTCGGGTTTTGGGGGGCAAAGGGTTAAGAGGCTTACGATCAAAGGTGCATGGGTCGAGGGTTGGAGTTTTGGGGTCGATTTGCTGGGGTATAACGTAGGTGCCTCTACAGCTTGAATCGGGTCTTGCGGTGTTTCTTCTTACAATAGGATAATGGTAGGGAACCCAAAAAGGACAAACAGACTGCTACTGGGCGTAGTTCTAAACCCATACAATCCAATACTTCTGGCCCCACCGTCTACATGTACTCTGACAACTTGGGAGGGCAGCTTTGCCAAATGAAGCCCCAAACAGCCCGTGGCTGTCACTGAATTCGGCGCGGTGGCTTTGCCACGCAAATAAACATCGCTGATACTCAGGGAGGGAATCCGAGCGGAGAGATACTCTCTCTCTCTCTCTCTCTCTCTCTCTCTCTGTCTCTCTCTCTCTCTCTCTCTCTCTCTCTCTCTCTCTCTCTCTCTCTCTGTGGAGCGGATACTAAACCCTGGCACCACCGGGTGGGACTTACAAACCCCAAAAGCCTCCAATCCCAAAGGACGCAACTCGGGATCTCAGATCGGTTGAGCAAGTTAAGGTTTCCTTACATCGGGTGTATGGGGTCTGGGCAAAACCCTAAACCCTAGACCCTAGAACCCTGAACCTTAGACCCTAAATCCTAAACCCTAAACCCTAACCCTGAAGCCCTTAACCCTAAACCCTAGAATCCTAACCTCAAAACCCTGTAGGGTCTAGCCGCCTAGCCAGCTTCGACCTAGTCGATTCTCTTCCTGAGAGCGAGGAGAGCTACAGGCCCAGCGCCCTTGGCCGTCCAATGCCTCCAATGCCACGCTCAGAGTGTTTCAAGTCAGGGTTGAAGGTTTAGAGTTTAAGGTTTGGGGTTTCAAGTCAGGGTTTATGATTTAAGGGTTCAGGGTTTCAAGTCGCGGTTTATAGCTTAGGATTTAGGGCTTCGGGTTTCAAGTCAGGGTTTATGATATAGGATTTAGGGTGACTGAGCGTGCTTGAATGAGGGAGTTGTGCGAACTGATGCTGCTCTCCCAGTCTTTCAGACTGCAAAACCCCTTCATATCAGCACCTTCATATTAGGATCGCTATCAGTCAGCTTTGGCTTCATCGCGATAGTCTAGTTAGACTTTATAGCTGGTTGTAGCTCGAAAGCATTTGTCTTCAACAACTCTTTCAATCACATGACTGGTTTGCTACATAGTTCTCCATATGTCTATCTGTTCTTTGAATCGTTAGACAACTGACGACTTTACGCAACTTAGGGATGCGAGGCATTAGGGGTAAGGGTCTAGGATTCACGGCTTGAGAGTTTCAGGGATTGGGGCATAATAGGTTGACTACTCGAATGATCATGGGACTTGGCACCTAGGTTATGCGTAAAGGCGCATAAGCAACTCTAGTCATCATCACCTACGCCCCCATGTAGGTGCTTCTGAGCTTACTGACGAAATCCCATAAGCTATACCCCCCTTAGAACCATAACAAAAATACTAGCTTGAAAATTCTCTTGGGCTTTATATGAACAGAAATGTAAATAATGCCTGAGGAGACTATAGCAAGCCCGGCTCTCAAAGCATCAGCCGTCCTTTCGCCAGGCTCCCAGACGCACATCGTATCGCTTCACGGAGCACCTCGCTCTAAGGGCCCGGGTCTGGGTTCTTGCATTGAAATCAATAACATACACCAAAGGTACACCCTATAATAAACCATAAGCATGAACCTTATGCAATGCAGTCCTCTTTCTGGTAATTCCTTGACAGAAGCCCCACGAGTTTCAGATGGAAAGGACACGTAGAAACCCTCAAACTGAATCTGTCTTTTGCTGCCTGGAAGGATTTAGCATGAGGGCTGCACACGGTTGAGGGCTTCGGGTTAGTTGCTTGTGGTTTATCCAAGGGTAACAGGAGGGACCCTTAATAATGACCCCTAGGTAAATACCCTGAATATAGCTATTATATACCCATTATAGAGCCCATTATAGGGTAGGGGTCCCCATTACGGGTCCCTCCTTTTCCCCTTTGAGTTTAGGAAGTTCTTCCGAAGAAACGGAACTCAACCCCTGAAGCCCGAGTCCCTGAGCCCTATAAATCCTCGACCATAAGAGGCGGAAACTCTAAGCTCTGAGGCCCTAAACACTCTGAAACCCTGTACGACCGAACTCTAAACCCTAAACCCAAAACCCTAAACCCTAGACCCTGAACCCTAAACCCTGAACCCTAAACCATTATAGAAACCCTTTCATGCACCGAAACCCCAAACCGAAATTGACCCTCAAAACCGAACCTGGACCCTCGAGTTAAAACTTGAACTGAGTGAATCCTGCAAAAAACGATATCAGAACGCTTAGGGTTAGGGTGTAGGGTTTAGGTTTCAGAACAAAGGGAAAAGGCGCCCTGATTTTTTTGCATGCACTGCAAGAAGATGCGAATCGCTTTACGCTTATCGAACCCTAACATTCCTGAAAAAACGATGACTCGCGCTGCAGAATAGTATGCGAAGCTGTGGTCACATTTGCTAAACGAGTCATCAAAGTTACATACCAACATATACATATACAATTACTCAGTACCTACATGTATATAAACATATATAAACTTAAATATGTACACATGGATGTATGTCTGTATGTGTGTAAGTGTGTGTGTATGTATGTATGTATGTATGTATATATATATATATATGTATGTATGTGTGTCTATACATATATATCTATATACACACATGCACACATACATACATATACATACGTACACTGTTATTTGATCGCGTATGTTTGCGCTTACTTGTATCTGTATGCTACAGGTACATGGCCTGAGACCGTCACCTTTTACGTAGAAACCGGTATACTTAAAGCCCCACACCTGCAATGAACCTGTGATGGATCACATCGAAACTGCCCTTCCCACCCTCACAAAAAAGCCCCAGCAAGCTTCGACACAGATTTTTGTTCTGCGAAAGCCGCGGATGCGGGGACTCCGCTGGCACTCAGTATGCTCTGTGGTCTTGGGGCTGGGGTCTGAAGTTCAGGATTCTCGGTCTATAGGGGAAGAGCGGTCTCTAGTGGCCAAGACTAGTAGCTTTGCAGTCACACTTGAACTGATGTTTCGGGCTTGGGAGCCGTGTCATCAGGTGAACGGCACGTTCCGCTGAATATCGCATCCCTCTGGAAGTTCTCAGGAGCCGTCTGCCAACTCAGAAACTCAGACAGCAAGGTCCATGTCTCGGCCACGTTCATTTCGGCGAAATCTTGCTTCATCTTCATCAGACTTCACAGCACCTCGAAGTCGTCGTTCTCGACAGGTTCATCTCGATGATTCTACGGCCAGACACCGTCCGAGAGCCAACGCTTTGCAAACGTTCTGGAGGTGGAAGACTGAACTCCGTGGTATGGAAGACCTCCATGAAAATGTAGACATCCACGGGAAGGGCTCTCATTGATCTTCTTCGGTTCAGTTGAAGAAGAGCTGATTCATCATCAGATCGGTCATGGCCTGAATGAGACTGAATTTCTTCGCTCAAAACCCTCAGAGGTTTGGGAAAAGGGTTTTGAGTTTAGGGGCAGCCCTAGGCAAGAAACTGCTTTCAAGCGGTAAACAGGTGTGCATTTGGCTGTCGGTTCTAGCCTTCTTCATCAGCAGTGTCGTAATCACGGAACAAACCAGTCGAAGCAATGCTGTTCAGGATCAAGCAGGCAGAAATCCAGGAAGCACAAGCCGTACAAAGAAGCTGTAGCACCCAGCTATGTCTTCTTAGTGTACCTGCAGTGCATTCCGTCCCGGTCAGATATTGAAAACCCCGTGCTGCTAGCACCCTAAACCCCAAACCCTGAACCCCAACCCCACCCCTCTAGCCAAAGCCTGCATCTCTGCGGAAGCTACCGCATTGCGGACTGCATCGTCCCCAGCTTTCTCCTGGAGTTTACCTTGCTTTGCTCGACATGTAGGGCTCAGGATTTAAACTCCAGAACTGTTGGTGATGGTTTACGGTTTACCGGCGATAGGGTTCTGGGCGTGACTGTGCGAAGGGGCTGAAGCGCGCAACGATCGGTGGTGCAGAAGCAAACTTTTGGGGATGTGAGGTTGAAGTCTGCACGGATGAATGCTATCACAGTCCCACAGTTACGATATTGGACCAATGAGGATAGTCCTATACTAAAGACTGCAACCAGCACCGTACGAAGAACGGCCGAGTACCGGTGTGGGAGCCACCGATGGATCCGTTCACAACAACAGATTACGAGCCGGAGCGACAACATGAGAGAATCGCCCTCTGACGTCTTAATTCTTCCTATGGATCCCGTTATTTGGGGAGGTTTAACTCAAGATGGACCCTACTCTTTTAAACACTCAGAGAAACACAGATTCGGACATATCATCTCTTTCCCACCTGACCCGGCAATGCTTTGGGTCTGCAGCTTCGTCGCGTGACGGGCTTAATGTTTGGGATTGGAACTGCAGTCGCTCTGCCCGGACATTCAGGGTTTCCGTTCAGGGTCTAGGGCTCCGGGCTCGGGGTATTTCATCTGCAGCTGGTAATTGCGACCTGGATGCGCAGCCTCTGCCAGTCCTTCTGCGCGGCTACCTCGGGCAGCAATGTCCCATCCTCTGGACAATAAGAGCAAACAATTACTTACTTTGGTGGAGGGTCTGTCTCGGCGAATGCAAGATGCTTAGTACCCGGAATCCTGAATTGGGCACAAAACACTGACGGAAAAAGGTCTCAGCTCTGACAAAACCCTGTTAGGAACACTTATAGAATCCCAAGCCCTCATTGAACGACTGAAGCTTCCAGTGATGTTGCCTTTGGAGCACGAAGCGCTTGAAAGACGGGCGCATGGGGCTCTTGGCACGCGTCCATGTATACTCCACAGCTACTTAAAGGATCATGGGACTTAGTAACTAGGGTTATAACTAGGGTAACTATACTTATAACCCCAATTAGGGTACTTATAACCTTACTTACTAAGTCCCATGATCCTCCAAGTAGACCCGACTTGTAGCAACTGGATGAAGCAGGCAGCCCTCTAAATTGAATGATAATCCTTTGACTCGCCGATTTCGGTTTCAGCAGAAGCACAAATCGCAACGCCGGAAGCCAGCAGAACCACCCTTGAAGGGGCCGGTGAACATCAGAAGACTCATAATGCATACCCGCTAGGTTCTACTACTGCAACCTAGATGTCCCCAAACCAGGAGGCGCACCGCCTACCCGCGATTTCAGAGGTGATACGAATGGGCGAACGAGAACGAAGATCCAGATTACTCTACTACTTCGAAGCCGAGACGCCAAGCTCATCCTCGGCTGCCCCGATATCTCCTCACCATTCCGGCCGGAAAGCACCGCACGCAGGCAGCGTGTTGCGGAAGCCTGATAGGTTTGTTTTGTTTTTCAGGGTTTAGGGTTTAGGGCTTCAAGTTTAGGGTTTGAGGTTCAGGGCTTATAGGGTCTGTTCTATTCGGGTGAGGGGCTTTGGTTTGGGGCCCTGTAGATCCCGAAACCGGTAACAAGCAACTCCGGACTTAAAACCTTGAGGGCCTCCGGGCCTCAGGGTTTGGACACGGCTCTGAACCCCAATGAACGCAGTCGACTTTGAGGCTCTCAGACCGTTCAAGGACCCGCGGACCCCGAGGATCAGAAGACTTAGCCACTAAGATTAGAAGTAACTTCACTGCAGTTCTGTTCTGGAGAGCTTTCTGTCTCCTACACCCACAGCTCAGCAGAAGGCTCGAGAGCATGTGGGAAACATGTCCTCCAAGACATGCGAGCTTTCAGAAGGCGGTCAAGGCCGGGGTTTCAAACTTTCTAGATTCTAGGTAGGCCTTGGAACTTTCCCTTATAGGGCATAGGAGGATCCTGTTTACGACTGTTTTTCAGAAGGCTTAGAACTCGTAGCCCCCCCCCTTCCCGAAGCCGGAGAATCCCTCAACTCCTGCGGCAAGTCCCACTCTGAACAGGGGTTTGCGTTCTTGGGATGAACCCAGAGCCATCGGTATCAAGGGAGGAGGCTCATCAGACCCTATGGGTTTAAAGTGTCACGGCTGTCTCTGAGGTTTGGTCTACAGATCCTGCTCCGGCTTTGCCTCGCCTCGTCTTGTCCAGCTCCCGTTTCTAAGAACGGGCAAACTTCCTGGGAGTTTAGGCCGGTTCGTTCGGGGTTTGAGCATGAAGTCCAGGGTTGAAGCCTGACTCCAGAAATATCGGGGCTTGCAGGCATTAAGTTCAAGGTCCTAGCAAAGAAATCTAGGGGAAGTTTGGGAGTCTGGGTTTGGGGAGCTTCGATCGTGAATGCACAGAGCGCGCTCTAGACGGACATCCCCGGTCCAAAGCTTTACGGTTTGTCGGGCGTCTAGGGTTTATGTTGTAAGATCTATCGGGTTTGGGTTTAGGGTTTAGTTTCGTGCCATTACCGATTCAAAACTGCACAAGTAGGCATGTACCCTAACCAGAAAAAGCTATCCAAATCTCAAAACCAGGGGGAGGGGACGATCTTAGACCTGTTTCAACCGGCAATCTATGGCAACACAGCAGCTTTAACAATGGGAAGAGAGCCTTTTTGCCTTTGTTTTGGGGATTCATATAGTATATAATTACAAGGAACCCTTAGGGATAATGTGTCTAACCACTCACCCCCTGTATCCTCCCTGCTAGAAGACCTCCTTAACAACATCACAGAATTCAGCAAAACCCCAAGCTCCGGCTTGAATACACCAGGACCATGAAACAAGAACGTCAGCCCGAACCTGACAGGCACCACTTCCTAAACCCTAAACCCTAAATCCTAAAATGCTATAGCCTAAAGCCTTATAACCTAAAGCCTCAACCCTAGAACTCTATACCCGAAAGCCCTACATCTACCCTAAACCCAAAACCACTATACCCTAAAGCCCTATACCGTACCCTAAACCCTAAGCTATCTAAGTTGTCTAAGCTTCGGCGATGCCGGGAGGAAGTCGATGAACCCCCCATCGCTTCTTCAGCATGGCCGCAGTTTGGAAGGGGTTGTGCCTGACACAGGCAAATGGGTTTAGGCTTTAGGGTTCAGTGTTCAGGGTTTAAGGTGGGTAGTTGTAAGTGGAGTTAAAAGTAGGGTAACTATAGTATGAATACAATCCATGTTAGGAGACTTATAACCGCTACGTATAATTTTATAGCTACAGCTGCCCACGAACCTCCAAGCATGAGCAAAATTGTGTGCCTTGTTGCTTCGCTTTTGTGGTCTTGCGCAGTTATCTGTTGGGAAACTTGGTGGTTTAAAGTTTAAGGCTCGAGGGCTGGAAAATGGAACTGCCCATGCCCACATGTATACAACTTCCATCAAAGTAGCTGAAAGGACTTTGTTCAGGGCCGAATATCTAAGTCCTAGGAGCAAGAGGTTTTGTTACGGTTCAAGGCTTGTGTCTCGGGCACTACGCTCTTTCGTCGCAGATAGCAAGAATGATGACCTTCAAACTAGCAATGATACGATTATATTCCCAAGTACGCATAACAATCATCATCAGAATCATAATTCCAATCATGGTGGCAACATTGATGACCAGAAAAGCTTAGTACTGGTAGTCATATAAGCTCCCCCGACTGACACCCCTAAACTCTAAAGACTCTAGACCTAAACCCCTAAACCCTGAACCCGAATAGAAGAATAAGACGGGCCAAGCTTCTTCTTCGGTTTCGGTTCCTTCTTCGGCCGAAGTGCCTGCGCTGATGCAGATAAGCTTGAGTCTTACCTAGACCCCCCCCCCTCAAAAAAAAGAAAAAAAACATAAACCAACAAACAAATTAAACATTTGCCCGAATCCTATGAAATACTTTAGGGGTTCGGGTAGATGAGTTTGAGTTCTGGAAGTTTGAAAACAGCCGTGTAGGATTTAAGCGTCTTGGGGCTGCGGGGAAAGAGCAGCAGCAAGTCTCAGGCTAGCAGCATCGGCCGGGCAATATCTAAGACAACGGCAGCAGTGATAACACAAACGAGTCCATCGTGAGGTCATGATCATGATCATGCTCTTGGTCATGGTCATCATCAGCACCCTTACCATGACCCTCATCATTGTCGTCATCACCATCATCATCATCAGCATCAGCAACATTAGTCGTTCTTTCATCATCAACATGGCAGCCATCATCAACATGACCACATTCTTCGTCGTGTTATTCATAATTTCTGCATCATCCAAAACATCATTATATCGCGGTCGTCACCATCACCCCCTCAACAACAGCATGACCGTCCGAGTCATGAGCACCGCCATCAGGAAAACAATTATGGGCAGCCTCTGCGCATAAGTATCAGAAACCTTTAAGCCCAGATACCTTGAACCTTAAAGGTCCCGCCGAAGGGTGCAGAGGGCGAAGAAGATTTCAGGTCGTCAATTAAGGGCCTCGAAATGTGGGCGGAAAAAAGTGGGAGGGATACACGATCAGTTAGACAAGACCCCGGTTTGTGAATTCGAAACATCCACCTGCAACCTACCTTTGAAGCAAACACTGTGAAGCTTCGGTGGAGCTTAGCACCTCAAGTTTGGGCTGAAGGGGCTCTTTGGACCTTTGGCATCTTAGCTTCCCCCAAAGCTTCATGAGGGTTTTTCTATGACGGCTATGACATCACGACTCCTGCACCAGGGCCATCCAGAGCCGGCGTCGTCGGCCAGTGCGCACCTTTCGCTCTTCTCGCTCCTTGGTGGCACGGCTCCGAGTTTTGGAAAACATGCAATAGGTTCCTTAGTAGGTCGAATAGGCCAGACCTCTATCGTAGAGAGACTCGATGTGGCAATGCTTCGATTGCTTCGGCTGCTTCGGGGCCTTTCTGTCATGATCCTCGTCCTCTACTCGCTTGAAGTCCTCTTCGGGGCTGTCGGCATCGGTTTTGATTACAACGATTTAGGAGCGCTTGACAACCCTGATTTATGGTTCTGTTTTGTAGGCAGTGTGTCTTTCAGAAAGTCAAAGCTCACGTTCGCGAGACAGCTACTGCTCAGCCGGTTTCTTTCACGAGGGGTAACCAAAAGGCTGACGCACTTGCTAAAGCATGTGCTCAAGTTGAAGCCAAAAGAAAACTTGCAGAGTTACAGCCCTTCATCTTACGAGCCGTTGATGTTCAGACTCATTTGGTTGCCACCCTGGTTGCTCGCAAGGATAGTCCTGGCATCGATTATGAGTCTGACACTCCATGCTTTTATGATGCTGGTGGAACCAAACGAGTTACTCTAACATGTCGCTGTCAGCCCAGAATCAGATGCCGCGGCAAGCAATGTTTAACGTGCCGAGGTGACTGTGTAAGCATGGTTGCTGGTAAGGTTGAAGCCTTGTTTCGTGATTGTGTAGAGATTCCTCCTGAGGATGGTTTAATTCTTAGGCTTGGGGTTGTACATCCAGCATTGAACAAAATCATCACCTCTCCAATCCTTGTGTCGGCGGTATTTCCTCTGCTGCTGGACATACAGCCCGTTAGAGTGGGCGGAGTAGCTGTTCATCAAGAGGTGCTGGCTCAGATGTCTGCTTCCGTTTCGGACGGGAAGTGGTTGTGGGGTACGAAGCAATCTGGCTCTAGATGTTGTTAGCTACTTCTCTCGATTGACTTTGCAGTCTCGTTCGGGCTGCATCGAAGCTTTGTCCACGCCAGACTTTCCATCGGCAAAGCCGTTCGCAGATTCAGAGATCTGATGCTGCACTTTCTAAAGTTGCATGGCTGTAAGGCTGAGGCAGTCACCTGGCTCAATACCCTTAAAACTTTAGGGTTAGATAGCAACTCTGGTTTAACTTGCCTGCGCCGATTCAGTCATCCTCATGCCATTTGGTGCTTTGTGCTACGTCTCAGTGACAAAGTTGCTCCCAAGTCCTCTCGAAAGAAAGCTACTTCCTCAATCATTCCTGATTGGTCTTTCCTTCCGTCGCAGTGAATTCCAGCATGCTTTGACGCTCCGGATACTCGTGCGGCTACGTGAGCATAGTGGGTAAAAAAAGTTAGCTGGTGAGTTCATAAGCCCCCCCAAAAATGCAAACTCTCCGTCTCCATCGGTGCCAGAGGGGACATTCATATCCCCAACGTGTAAAGCGCACTCATTCAGCTACTACTAGTACTGTTCTGTATCCTACGGAGACATTTGGGACTTGAGTGCCACGCTCCCGATGCGGATGGAGTCCGTTCGCAAGGACATGGACAGGGACAACAGCGTTTGGCATTCTGCGGAAGGGAGAGCATTGGATGCTGGACCCAATCGCTAAACGACTTCTAAAGCCGACTGCCCTTATTCCTAAACCCAATCCCTGATGAGCCGTAAGCCCTACACCGAAGCCGTTTGCACATCCCAGAGTTTCCTTTCTGCTCCCTGACACCCTGAGCCCTGGAACTGTGCCTCCGTGTCTTCCGAAACATTTTCGCACAGTCACAGCTGTGGCAAGACCGACATAAATTAAAACTCAGATTCAGATTCGGGGGAACATAAAGTTGCCAAATCTGTTGTGGGCAGTAAGCCAACAGTTTGTTAGAGACGGTTCTTTTTTATGAATTTGTCGATGTTGCGTCACACTTCACCAGCAATCCCAAAGCCATACCTGAAACTCCAACTCCGGACCATGCAAAACGAGGACCTGTGTTCCACAAACCCAAACCCTGAATCGAAATACTCTAAAGGCTTAAGACAGGGGCCTTAATAATTAGAATAGGGTTTCGGGGCCCATTCTAGTATATAACTATAACAAGGAACCCCCAGATAGTATAGGTAATTATTGAAGCCCCTACATTATCCCATCTCAGCTCTGGCTCCGCAACTGCTTCTGCGACCATGGTTGGCTTCGCCTTGCTCCAATGGAGAAAATGCTCCAAAACTGAGGTGTGCGCGCTCTTGGCTCACTTGGGGGCTCAGGAGGGGTAGTTATAGGTGTCCTAACATCGGTGATAATTACCGTTACCCTACGTAATAACTCTACGTATATAACTCATGAACCTCCGAGCAGGGATTCTCCAGGATTTCGGGCATTGTCTGTGTAGGCTTTCCGGTTTAGGGCTCGGATCACTGGAGATCACCGGGCCAGGCTCGGCTTTGGGTTTGGGGCTTCAGGGTTTAGGGGTTAAGTGCTTAGGGGGTTAAGGGTTTAGGGGTTAAGGGTTTAGGGGCTTTAGGGTTTAGGGTTTAGGGGTTAAGGGTTTAGGGGCTTTAGGGTTTAGGGGTTAAGGGTTTAAGGGCTTTAGGGTTTAGGGTTTAGGGGTTAAGGGTTTAGGGGTTCAGGGTTTAGGGGTTAAGTGCTTAGGGGCTTAAGGGTTTAGGGGGTAAGGGTTTGGGGGCTTTAGGGTTTAGGGGCTTTAGGGTTTAGGGTTTAGGGGCTACGGGTTTAGGGGATTAGGGTTTAGGGGTTAAGGTTTAGGGGCTTTAGGGTTTAGGGCCTCTGAATCTCCCTCACTCCCAGCCTGCACAGTGCTCTGGGCTAAAGACTTTTAGCAAAAGGGGTTGTTTAGTCACCGAGCTTCCAGCTCAGAATCTCGCCACCACACCTAGCGGACCTAGCACGCCGCCTCCCCGTTGCCCTGGCATAGTTCGAGCGAGATGCAAAATCAATATTCAATCTCTACACCGCCATACCCGAGCATGCGCAAAGAGAGTTTAGCGATCCGTTTACACCGAACCTATATACACGTTCTACACCTCAACTCATAAACCTAATCAATCACACCATGTCCACCTTAAGCCCTCAACGTGAGCCCTGGGAAACTCGCACCCTCAAAGACCAAGCGAAGAATCGGCCTCGTTCCACCCACGGAGTCGTGCGGCGGGGTCCTGGGCCCGTAGGCCATTTGCAATCGTCCAGAACCTCAGCTTTTCTTGGCATTGGGGCTAGGAGGCCTTTGAGATTTCAACATCCCGGATGCAGTTGCGCAAGTTGAATGCCGGATCCAACCTGGAATCCTGCGCACGAAACCCTTAGCTTCAAAATAGGTGGCCAAAACCAGCCATGTAGCTGCTTCTGCGCTGGAGCCGCTAAAGCTGGCGGACTTATCGATTACAATAGACCGACACCGAGTACTGCACACTATCAGCGGGCATTGCACTGCAGCATTAGTGATGTACCCGAACTAACCCTGGGCCCTGAATGTCCTAGAACGCGCTTTAAAGGCACGGCGCCTCTTTCTGGGGGGGGGGGGGGGGGTAACCCTAAAGCCAAAGACCCCTCAACCTTAAACCCCGATGAACCCTCAACCGCTAACCCTCAACCACAACCCCAAAAATCAAAATCTTACTAACGCCGAAATCCTAAAAAAACGAAATCCACAACAAACGCAAACCACAGGGTCCTACCCCCAAGCCCAAAGCCAGCTCCTCGAGACAAAGCACCGGAGAGCCGTCGCAAGGACTCTGGAGCTTGGCGTTACGAGGTTTTTTGTCCTCGGCAGACAGGGTTTCTGAACTTTGAAGCAGCCAGGAAGCAAAAAGTAGAGAATGGTATTTCCCTAAACCCTAAACCCTAAACCCTATTTCATCATGGAGGAACAGGTCAAGCAAATGTGCAATCTGGTACTCCAGAACCCACATATAGGGTTTAGGGTTTAGGGCCGTTTAGGGTTTAGGGAAACAGCCATGAAAGTATGGGTGAGCTCCATAGAGCACAAGAACCCAACTAAACTGTAGATTCGTAGATGTCCTGGCCGAGAAGTATATACTATGCTGATACTCAGCCCCTATGGGAGCTTTTAGGTGGTGCAGAGTAATGGATTTGGGCAAAGGGTGCAATCCACTAGTCTTTATGTAATTCCAAGAATTGAAAAGCATAGCTGACGTTAGCCGGGCCGAGGTACGGAAGGCTTCTTACATAGCCTAGAGGCCGCGGTAATTGGCAACAGTATCCCTTTGACCGTCCTTGTTTAAACCTTGATCTCAAGAAAGCCCCTACACCCTAAGCCCTCAACGGCCCTAAACCCTAAACCCTAAGTAGTACAAGGCCCCTATATTCATGTTAAGGCATCCGGACTGCAGACTTGAGGCTGGGGGGTCGGCACTTAGGGTGAAAGTTGAAGATTAATATAGGGGCCTTAATCATAAGAGCGTAGGGTTGGGGGTAAATTGTATTATAAGTGTAAGAAATCCAAAAATAAGGGTCCTTATAAATCTAAGCTTCTGGCAGCGAAGGACCTCTCGGGATGAAGATTCCGATCAAGGGCCGTGAAGGAACGATTGTGTGAAGGTTGTTCTAACTCAAAGGGGCTTTGGGCTTGGGGATGTTCTAGCTCAGAAAAGGTTTCGGGCTGTTCCAACTCAAAAGGGTCTAGGGTTTAGGAACTGATTGAGCGCAAACCTTGAATGACCCAATAAGCTGTCGCAACTGCTTCGAAAGCTCCGAGTGCTGAGCACCGAGTAGTAGTACAAAGGCAGCGCCAACAACCTCGAGCGACGGGGGGGGGGGCCGTTTGTCTGACTCGTCAGGCACAACCCAAACCCCGTCGTGGCCGGACAGGCATGCGAATTGCTGTGGGATGCTGTTCTGCCGACCCAAGATGTGGAAAACAACGACCTCCTGACGCTTAATTACCTCCTGAAGCTTACCCTAAGGCTCAACAAAGCCTGAAAGCCTTTTCTAGTATGGTCTTCAGGCCGAAAAGCCTTGATGAAACTATGAGTCCTTAGAGCCCTGTGGCTACAACACTGCGAATCGGGCAACCCGCTCTGAATGCGCTCTTCATCCACGCGCTGGACCGCAGAGGTCAAGGCCTCCGGAAAAGAGCAGCCAGCCTGCCACGGCGCAGTGCCTAAACCTTACTTGGAGGTTCATGTGCGGTGATAAGTGAGTTATAAGTAGGGTAACTGTACTTATGTCCCATATTAGGGAACTTATAACTACCCATGAACCTCCAAGTATTATGAACCCAAGTCCCTCCACCCGATGTAATTAGACTATTAAACAAACATGTAAAGCTAAATGGTTAATGAACCCCCCTACATCGATGAGATACGATCTTGCTGAATGCGAATCCGTGAAAGAGAGGGATTTGATAAGCCTGGGGTCTACACAACAAACGGTCCCTGCGCCGTCACCATGTAAATAGTCCCAAAGATGACATGTGATTTCCCTTTGCATTTCTGTGCATCCTACATCACCCTACAAGAGCCCCGTACTCTAAATAAACCCCAAACCCGAAGCCCTAAACCCTAGACCCTAAACCCTAGACCCTAAACCCCCAAACCCTAAACCAAACCCCGAAGCCCTCAGCGAAACGGTACTGGAGCCTCGGTCTGCTCGTAGACACACTGCCGAATCTGTGTGAACCTCAGGGCAGAAGTGTCTTTCTTCGAGGGATCCTTTAAAGCGTCGCAAGAACTACCATAAGGGTCTACAATGAAGTGATTACTATAAGGGTCTATAAGGGGCTCCAGTAGAGGGTCTATAGTCTATAAGGGCTACTACTGTGACGGTCAGTACTGGGTTGAGAATTGGAGTTCGGGCTCAGGCTTCGCTGGTGCTCAAGGGCTTACGTGTCGTTTGAACCCAAGATTCAGATGTTGTGGTGACATTTAGGCCTGCTCTTGGCGATTCAAGGGCTCTGGGCTTTAGCATGAAGGTATAGAGCACTCAGGAAGTAGTAAGGCAATAAAGTTTCTTGATTCTGAGGCCTTCGGGTTCAGACTAAAGGTTTCGGGCTTCGGGCCTTAGGCTTTTAGGGCTCGGGGCTTTTAGGGTGTTTTTTTGATCCGAGGGCTGAAGGTTCAGGCTTTGCAGGGCTTAGGGTTTCGAGGTGTTTTCAAGCTCGAGTCTGAAATCCTGCGGTTTATTCGCTGGGTTCCTTTCTTGGATGTACCTCCGAAAGCAAACCCGAATCCCTGCTCCCTGAACCCTGGACCTAGTCTGAACCCAAAATCCAGTCTCCAGGGCTCCAACACTAGCCATCTGTAGAGTACGTAAAACACACAGTTGAAGGTTTCGTTTGGGTGTTGGTGTCGGGAGGAAGGACTTATAGGAGTTATAGGGTTGCGGGCTTGGTGTAACTTCACCGCTACCTGCTTGCTATTTGGGATTTAGTTTTGGTCTCATTAAGTTTCAACAGGTTCTCAGGCTTGGGGCTTGCTTTCCTTTAGCCCCTAAACTCTCAAGTAGATTTTTGAGGGATACTACACTTGCACGGATGAGATGATAACATACGGGAACAGCCCGAACCCAAAAGACTCTACGCCGAATGCCCAGGACTCGAAATTCTGTCGACCAGGCACGCCATGTGAAAATCCAGGGCTTCCTGCCTCGGCTGTTTGGGGGCAGAGGAGATCACTAACGGAATGTAATATGGGGGCCTTAATAGATGGAATAGGGTTTTGTGCCACCCTATATTATGATCATTATGAGGGAACCCTAAGGAATAATGAGTCGGACTCTCGGCTCTAGGATTCTAGGATTTTGGGTCTTGGGGCCTAAAGATTAGCATGCGGAGGTTGTGGGTCTGAGGGGCTTGGGCTCTGAGGAGCTTAGGATCTTAGGCGGGGCGCGGCCGTGTGGGGGGGGGGGGGGGGGGGGTATCTGCGGTCGGCTTCGCAACGATCACCATCATTCCGACTATTGCTCGTCATTCTTACGATTACTAACTAGCGTACAATTACGACCGCACGACACCATCTTCTTTCAAAGGTCCTGAACCATTGAAGGATGAAACCCTCGAATCCTTGCGATCTGGCAAAAGGAGCCGAAATCCTTATCTTGTTGCTAAGCCGAACAGTAGAAACCCAAACACCCCGGCACCCCGAACCTCGCTGCCGGTAAACCCTGAAGACCCCTGGACCCATGAAACCCCTGAACCCTCGTGCATGATGTGCTATAAAAGATTATGCGAGAATATACGATACTGTAATATAGGATAACATAACAGTGAGTTGAGTGCCGCTTAATGTCAGAACCACCCTCCCACCCCCCAGTGCCGACCCAGCGCAAAGTCCGTACTACTGGAGACATGAGCACAAGCTGGAAGATGAAGACGTTCGCACCATAGCCGCCCTTCGACATGCAGTAGACCTGGCGGCATTGTATGACTTAGGGTTTGGGGTTTTAGGCCTTGGGCTTGTGACCAACTCTACATGAAACAGCAGCGGCAAGTAAAGTACAAAGTTGGCTACATCGAAACGGAGCTGGTAGACTTCAGTCGCATCGTGCTTCTGTGCATAGCATGGTCGAGGGTGTGAAGCTGAATGGCTTTATCAGCTGCCTGCGGAGCCCATGAGCGAAACAGAATAGTTAACCATCCATAGAAATGAGGATTCAGGGCAGACTTGGTGCACGGCAATCTCTGGGTACTGAGTAGACAACCGCGACAATGATGCTGACAGTGGCGGTGATGATGAAAGGAGATCCATCCGTATCATCATGGCAGGAGCCAATGCATGATCGTTGGTTGACTCTACTAACAACCTCTTCCCCTTCCGAGGTGCTCCCCGAATGTTGTTCTTGTTTCGACGCCACTTGGCATCGCCGGGTGCAGGTAGCCGTTTTAACCTGGTCACTGCTTGGCAGAGAGAAACGACTGCGGTCTCCCGGGCTACAAGGTGGAGCGAACAGGATCTTACTACTGTGCTATCATACTCTTGTCGTATTGGCTGAAAGACAACTATACCATACCATTATGGAATGTGCATTTCTTCGTTGCAGCCTGTTGGACAGTCTCGTGTTTAGGGCAACCTGTGAACTCCAAACATCCCGCCAGCGCGAGAATGCCCTACCCACCACGGTCCAAGGGCACACCAAGCTGTGAGAAATCCCGTAGTTCTGCTGTATGCCCTCAAATGCTTCTGACATCACCCATACATACGATTGGGATGTGATTGATGCAGCTCTAGAGCCGTTAAATTCGAACACACCTATAGAGCCGTTGGATTCGAACCACGCTGCCGCAATTTCCCCAAACAATACACCTGCCCTAAACCCTGACCCTGCAGCAGGCATGTCTGCACCTCTCGGCATATTGCCGGCAAGAACACCAAATCTAATCCCGTCAGAACTATCTTGCTCGCGGGACCAAACTCGATGTGATGCCGTGACTGACTACCGCTACCCACAAAGATGGGTGTGCAGGAGACCTACGACGTATGTAAATACATGCTTGTATGCGGTCATGTGTCTGTACCCATCTAGATAGGCAGCAGATAGAGGTATAGTAGATAGACAAACCGATTATAGACAGCTTTAATTCATAGTCGGATGAGGCCCTAAACCGTAATCCACCGGTGCCCCCTTGACAAAGCACAACTGAACATCGCCACCTACGCTTAGGACCTGCTTGCAGATGCCGGGTGGCCGGGGCTTCTTGGCAGACTCGCCATCCTCTTGAGGTTTAGGGTTTAGGGGCTTAAGGCTTACATAGGGCTCAGGGTTTGGGGGTTTAGGGTTTAGGGGCCCTGTAGTAGCTTGGAGTTTTGGGTGCAGGGTCTCAGATTCCATCCGGGGCTTTGGGGCAGCGTGGGGGGGGGGAAGGGGGGGGGGGGGGGGGGGGGGGGGGGGGGGGGGGGGGGGGGGGGGGGCAAAGGGGAAGTGACCACTGTACGGGCCGGAACAATCAGAACAGGCTTTGCGGGGTATGTCGTAATCATACAAGGACTGTAAGGCGATGTCATCGACCCTAAACCGAACTTGTATCCCCAAACCCTACGACGCTACGAAATAGCCGGTCCTGGCGCCTGAATTATAGGGTACAGCCCCGAAAACAGCAGGTTCTGGGATCCCCAGGTAAACCTAAAGTAAAGGCTTGGGATGCAGGAACGAGGTGGGACACTCAGCATGGAGTTGTGGGGTCAGGCTCTCGGGCCCCACACCCTGAACCCTTAGCCCGAAGCCTCAAAATCTAAGCACAAACCCCAAAGTAGCGCACTCCTCAGCTCACTCTAAACCGTCAACTCTAAATCTAACGGTTTGGCGTTTGAAGTGCATTACTTCAGACTGCTTCGATGTCGAAAGGCAGCCTCAAGAAGAGCACCACCTCTCCAACAGTCGATGGCTAATTACCCAGGCCGCTGCATAGAAGCATCATCAAGAAAACAACATAACTGCAATGCATACCGGATCCGGTAGTGTTACCATGGTTTGGAAGATCCAAGATGACGGTATGCGGTTCTGGCTCCATGAGACCACTACCAGCGGCCAGCCAAGCGCCTACGTTCCAGGGTTTACGGTCTGAGACTTTCCAGGTTACCGACACCTAGTTCTCTGATAACAATGCAGTCAAAGACAGTCCGGTTGAGTTTAAAAGACGCGAGCACTTGCAGCCCCATACCCTAAAGTTAAAAGCCCAAAGTGCTTTGCATGAGCGATTCAGCACCGAAACTCAAGGCTGTTTGAGACCTGCTGCAGGACCCTGATTCAGAACCCCCCTCTTCTGAACCAAGACAGCAACATCCACTTCAACAACTTAAGTAAGGAAGATCGAAAAAGTTGGCTGAAAACGGATCCATACACGATTAACGGAACCCCAAATGACCTCGATGAAAAACCTCTACAAACCCTACACAGAATCCGCTATGTATATGTGATGTATGTATGTGTATCTGTATATGTATATGTATATGTATGTATATATATATATATCAAGAGAGAGATAGACAGAGAGAGAGGGAGAAGTGTGTATATATACATATCTTCACACATAAATGTCTATCCATATATATATATATATATATATGTATATATATATATATATACATATGTATATATATATATACATAAAAATACAAAGCAGGTGTCCTGTCTCTTTTCCTTGTGCCCAGGGAACTCCTGGCATTGGGGCATGAGGAATTGGAGGTGTCTCGCCCTCGAGTTCGGGGGTCAATAGGGGTTTAAGTAGACCCCGCAACAAGTAAATTCAAATCCGATTTTTTCGCACAGCCCGGGCCAACAACAACACATGACATGCCAAATCCCACCACCGATGCATCCTTGTAACCGAACATGCAAGGAAGACTAAGCTTGAGGCTGAAGATTTCAAGCTGTGTGTTGAGTCAGAACACATGGGTTGAAAAGGACGGTCCTGGATGCTTGCCACGAGTCAGATGGGCTCCTGAACCCTAGACTGCAAGCTTGATGCCCCCTAAACCCTAAAACCCCAAATGGAGACAAATCCCTGATCCACCACGGCGACTCAATGTTTTTCCGGTTTGAAAAACTGGTCGGTTAAGGCTTGTGGGTACAAGTTTTACATGCTGAGCCCCAAGCCCAACCCCCGAATTCCTGACCCTCAACTCCAAACCCTGTAGCCTCCAAACCCTAAATCCCAAACCAAAACCCGCTAAACCATGAAGCCCAAACCCTACAAGCCCTCAACCCTACAAACCCAAAGCCCGAAATCCTGAACCCATAAGGGTAGTTGTCACAATTATGACAGCTTTTTGGGTGCCCTAAATACTAGGTGCCGTATTATACCAGGGACCCAAAAAGGGACCCTAATTTTGACAACCTCCCATAAACCCGCACCATCCCTAAACGCCCGCCTTGCGAAGGAGATCTCGGAGGTTCTGCAGATCGGCGAGCCGGTGCTCTCGAAGCCTAGAGGGAGGTTTAGAGTGGGCTTCTAGACCCAAGAGTAACCTAGGAATAAAAAGGATACCCTTTTTGGTTTAAAAGGGGTTTATAAGGAAACCTAAGCCTCAAAAAAGGGAATAAGGGCCTACTCTGGGTCCTAGGCTTGGGGTTAGGGCTTGGGGTTTAGGGTTTAAGGTTTAGAGTGAGCTTAAGGTTAGGGGACTTAGGATTTAGGATTTAGGGTTCGCGGCTTAGGGTTTAGGGGTTTAGAGTGGGCTTGGGGTTAGGGGCTTAGAGTTTAGGGTTTAAGGGAATAGGGCCCCTTGTGGATACCCTAAATAGTAGGGGCCGAAATATATTAGGGATTCACAAAGGGGCCATAATTTTGACAACCACCCACTTATAATAAGGAACCCCCAGAAATGCTGTTGATGATATAAATCCTGCATTACCCATAATAAGGAATATGCCATAATTCCCACAGTTTAGGGTCCTTAAGGTACTGCAGGATTTATATCATCAACAGTGGTAAACCCTAAACCCGGAACCCTAAACCCTAAACCCTGATACCTAAACCCTAAACCCTAAACCCTGAACCCTAAACCCTAAACCCTAAACCCTGAACCCTAAACCCTAAACCCTGAAACCCAAACCCTAAACCCTAAACCCCAAGTAATAATTTCTTTTATTCAGCCCCTGCCTCCTCAAATCTTCGGACCAACGGTCCTGAAAAAGCAGCTTCGGAGGGCCAAAGCTGGGCAGGGCTTAGGAGTTTAGGGGTTACGGGGGTTTAGGGGGGTTTATGGGGGTTTATAGGGGTTAAGGGTTTAGGGGTTTAGGGTTCTGGGGTTATGGGGGTTTAAGGTTTAGGGTCCGGGTTTCGGGGTTGTTGTTGCTGTTTAAGTGCCTCTTTTCCAGCCTGCATGTTCGCGAGGGTTTAGGGGTTAGGGTCCAAGGGCTAAGGGTTTAGGGTTTAGGGGTTAGGGCGTAGGGGCCGGGGGTTCAGTGTTTCGGGAAATCTTGTTGTTCGAGGCCCAGGGTGTAGACTTGCATTGCGGGGTGCGTGTCAGATGTCTGCCTTGTTGATGTTTTCTTTGTGTCTGAAGCGGGGGCGGGTGCGGCGGGGAGTGTTGTCACGACCAGAACTGAAAGGGAAATCTAAAACCCAAACCCTCAACCCGCCGCAGCTTGCACGACTATGTCTCCGACACTTTCAGAACCCGCACTCAGCTGCCGCTGAGTTTGGGGCTGTCGGGTTTAGAGTAGTTAGGGGTTTATATCTAGTCTGGGTGTCGATTTCAATATCATTTACAATGTCTTAGGGCTCTACATTAAGCAACAAGGGAAATTGAAAATCCTCCCAAATCGATACCTCACATACACTATATACCCAAAAGAAGGCTCAAGGTTCCCTCACTACCTCAGCTGCAACGGCTGGGCGTACAGCTCTCCAGACTCTCCATAGGGTGAGCACAAAGTTCGCAATGAAAGCAACAAATTCAAAAAGGGACCACCCTAAACCCTCAACCTGAGACCCTTGAATCGTCCCAAGGCAGCGAGTCCTCTCGAGAAAGAAGGTATCTTAGCAGCTTCTGGGGCTGCGCACCTGAGGGTTGGCTTCACTAGCTACCTCTAGTTAGGGCTTGGGATTCACAAGCTTTCGGGGGAAAGGGTTCAGGGTGTGGGGTTTAGGGTCTGAGGTTTCGAGTTTCGGAATACAAGTTTAGGAGCTACGGCTTGAGCTCGGAAGGCTTTGTGAAACTTGGTTGGGGTAGGGGAGCGGGGGGGGGGGAGTTGAGGAGCGGAAGCTCATCAGCCAACCCCCAACGCGCATCCAACCTCCTCCCAAGTTTAGCGAAAGTTCGCCAAGCATCAAGCTGAATTGCGAAGAAGTCGGAAGAGCTCTCAAAGCCCGCAAAGCAGATCTCTAAAATCTACAAGCAAACACATGCGAATGAGTGCAAGAGCGGAAAATGTTCGAGAAAATCCCTGGCCCTGGAACCCTCGCCCCATAAAACTCCTAAAACTTTCCCAAAGCCCTACCCTAAGCCGGAATAACCTACCTTCTTGAGGACTTATATAAAGAAAAATCATAATAACGAACCCTAAAAAGGTAGGTTTTATCAGGGTTAAGGTAAGCCTTAAGCCTTAACTCATGGGCCGCAGACTCCCGAAACCCCAAAACTTAACCAACGCCCTAAGCCCTACCACAACCTCACAAAACCTGTCTTTTTAGGGTTTCCTTCCTATGATCCCAATTACATGAGTCCGTGAAAGGGTGATCTTGGTAAGCTTTAGACTCAGGGGCTTGGAAGGTCGGTGAGGTCGTCAGAAGCATCGCGCGAGGGATCATCACCGGCTGCCTCTTGTCCCAACGGCAGGTTTAGGGTTTAGGGTCTAGGGTTTAGGGGTGTGTGGTTTGAAGGTGACACTTCTACAGAAGACTTCGATAGGGACTTACTGGTCCTACTTCGGGGACAAAGGTTTGCAATTGCGCGCTTCAGACGAATTTAGGGAACCGAATCTGCAGAGCTTTAACGACAGGCTCCTGCTTATCCTAAACCCTAAACCCTAAAACCTAAACCTATATATATATATGTATGTATGTATGTATGCATGTATGTATGCTCTATTACTAAATCCCCTAATAGTTCAAGTAGGGTGCTATGAGGCTTTGAAGGGCATTCCACGTTAAAGATTTGGGGTTCGGTCCGCCCACTGACTTGAGGCTGCTTTCTTGGTAACCTTCTCTGCATTGGCAGGGGTTCTGGGCTTTCAAGGAGTGGGGAATAGGGCTTAAAGGATGGAGGGGCTGCAGTATATGCCAATCCTGGGTTGGTGCTAAGGAATTTAACTTATGTTACCATAATAGGGATCTATGGTAAATTATATGGTTTCCTGATAAGGATAACTTAAATTAAGTTCCTCAACAAGAACCCAGAACCGGATTTAGGATTTGGAACTTATCGAAGGCGATGCTTTCGGGAGATCTACACATCAAGCATTGCTTGGCACATGGCTCCGCTAAAAGGTGCATCCTCCGATTTCCTCATGTCTGAATGATACACTATAAAAGCCTGAACATATAACTACTACCGGTACTATGCCTTCGGGTTCTTTATTCGAAGAATACCAAAACACACCCGAAAACCAAGTTCAAACGTATTCCGAGGCCCGTAGTACACGTGCTTGTTTCTGATTTATGAAGTCGCTGGAGTGTGTTGTGTTAACACCTATAGACCCGAAGGAATCGCAGGGTCGGCGTCGGACGGAAGAAGAAACCTGACTACATGAACACATCTGGCTTCAACTCCACAAACACAGCGTCTCCTCAGCATCGGCGCTGGCAGCAGGTACGTCAGCGGCGCCTGTCGTTTTAGATTTTAGGGTTAGGAGCTTCAGACTTATGGCCTTTAACATTTATAGGGCTCAGGAGTAATTGAGAAGTTTAGGGGTCTATGGGATAAGGGTATCTCTGGTTTAGTGTCCCAGGGGCCTTCGGCCGCAGGCTCCGGGTGCTGCGCTTGCTGAGCTCGCTTGTGCCTCTTCGTCTTCGGTAGCCGCCTGCCAAGCCTTCAGAGGGAGTGAGGCTGTAGGGTTTAGGCTTTAGGGTTTAGGGTTTCCTAAACTTTAAATCCTGTGCAGTGAACCGTCTTAGAGAGTGCCGTGGAACTTCAAGGAGGCAACAAGGGCATGTTAAAGGCGCAGATGATCTGTAATGAACTGCTTACCGCAACCATCAAGGCCAAAGCCCGACAGCTCTAAACTCTGAACCGGTGGATCCCTGAACCAGCAAACCTCCTGAATTCTAAGCCTCAAAATTTCAGGCTCCGGGTCGGGGAAAGGCGAGCAGGCGGGGTCCTCCCATCCTCCAATCCGGGAATCTCCAAAACCTCAAGGGGTTTAGTATTTAGGGTTTGGACCGCTGTCTACCCTCAGCCCTCAATCCCGAACCCCAATCCCTGAACCCAGAAGGACTGAGGAATTGAAAAGTAGATACTCCAGTCTGACTGGTGCTTCAGAATGCAGGAGGAATATACAAGGACTACTCTGAGGGATTATATAGAAACTGTTACAGGTATCCGCTCTCACTCCAATTAAAGCACACCCTACACCCTAAACCCTAAAACCCCTAAAGTAGTGCCTAAACCCTCAAAACCCTAAAGTAGTAGAGACTCTGCATCAAGTGCCCGAAAGCCTGCGGCCGTCAAGGGCGGACTGCACGGTCAGTCCGTCGTCCTGTGTAGGGTTTAGGGTTTTGGGGGTTTGGGGTCGGGGGTTTTAGGGTTTAGGGTTTAGGGGTTTAGAGCAGTTTAGGGTTTAGGGTTTACGGTTTTGGGGGTTTAGGGTTTGGGGTTTAGGGGTTTAAGGTTTAGGGTTTAAGGGTTTAGGGTTTAGGGGTTTAGGGTTTAGGGTTTTAGGGGCTTTCGCGCTCAGGGTGTATATGGCTTATGGGTTTATGTAGGGTTTTTGGCTGGTCGCCCCTTGTCTATTCGCTTGATTCTTGGGATTTGGGGTTTAGGCTTTGGCGCCTCAAGCGTGTAGGATTGATTTAGAGTCTCAGGTTCATGGCGCCGATTTAGAGGTGTTGAACTCAATTGGACTGTAGCAGCATAATACCTGTGCAGCACGGGTAACCACATCAATAGCACTCAATAGCAATATCTAGCGAGTGGATGTGCGTGCTGAAGACCATAATTGGATCACACTGGCAAAATCTCTCCGACCTGTGAGTGGTAGCGGAATTTGGATCAATGCCCGTCCTGACCCAAGCCATCCTCATGAAGGCCATCATCACTTCCTGCTTCCACGAGCTGCTTGTCCTTGGGTTCATGATATGGTCTGCAGTGGTCAGCTTAAAAACTTCCCCCTTGCGGGTGTCGATGTCGCAGTGCTGCGTTGCAGAATATGCGATCCGCACAACATACCAGGCTACTGTCTTCTGAGGCTTCTACATGAGTCTTGGGGTTTGCGGCACAGGGGTTGGGATGAGTCTTCCTGCCTTTGAAAGAGGGTTCGAGCTTCGCACAGCGGGAAGCTTAGATCTCAGAATCTGCCGACTAACGCCCGATATGGTCCAGCTATCCGACAAGTCATGGACAGTAGGAAACAGCGAGAGCAATGCTGTCATAACATGATGAATAAGACCCTTGTGTTCCTATCCCGTCTAAGTCCTCAGGCATGTTTTTGGCAATTGACTGGGTGACAGATGTCGAGAAACATTCAGATAACCCGCAAGAAGCTCGAGCCGCTCACCGGCACACAACTCACTGATATAGAACCCTCAATAATTTGAATAGGGCTTTGGGGCCCCTTATACTATAAATGTGAGGAGGACCCCTAAACCCTAAACCCCTTTTGTATCTCTCAACGGGAGAAGGCCCTCCAAAGGAGCGAACCATGCTTCAAGTCCTGTGGTGCAGGCCTTTAGGGTCGACGGCTTCAGGATGTATAGGGTTTAGGTTTTAGGATTTTTAGGGTTTAGGGTTTAGGTTTTAGGATTTTTAGGGTTTAGGGTTCAGGGTTTAGGTTTTATAGGGTTTAGGGTTTAGGCTTTAGGATCTACAGGGTTTTGGGTTTAGGGTCGGTTTCTAGGAATGTATAGGGTTCAATTCCCCGAATCCTCGGTAATAAACTAACACACCAAGCACCGGGCATATTTCGCACGGCGCTTCGAAGAGCTCAGAGTTTCAAAAGCATCCTGAGCAGTGGGCTTACACAGGGCTTAGGGCTTAGGGATTACGGGCTTGCACAGGCTCACGGGATCAGGCATCAACTGTTTGGGGTTTAGGACTTGAGGATGTTGGATTTAGGGTTTGGGTGTCTTGGGGGTTGAGGCGGATCAGGTGTCAATTATCTGGGGTTTAGGGTTTGGTGTCTTTCGGGTTGAGATAATGCGAGTGTGTCATGCACGGAGTACTTTATGTGGCATGCAACGTGGCATTTCGCCTCAATCCAGAGCCATGCCAACGAAACTAGTGGATTGAGGTGGAAACGGTTCGGGACGATTGCGTAGCTGCAGCGGTCGTTTGTCACATCATCCTCTTCCAAGCTGCACAGGATGCATACTTTCTTTCATGGTAACAACTCGCGAATCGAGAAGAGGGTGATCTGGTCTTCTTGAAGCCTAGCTGCCTAGCTTAAGCTCCGCCCTTGGAAGCTCGATAAATATGCTTTATGCCGAAGCTACAGATACAGCGCACCCGGAGCTCATTTTCAGCAGTGGTGAATGTAGCAATCTTTGCTGGTATGCCATCATGTAGTACAGGGCTCTGCCTTGAGGCCTCTGAAGGACTCACTACAAGAACATGGAATGGAATGGTTCCTCAACAACTCAGAAGACGTGAGCTCGCCGACCAAACAACAACTACAACAGCCCATAGCTTGAAAGCCCGTTGAAGCCCTGAACCTTGAAACCCTTCGCCTGGCTTCATCTATATATGGATGTTATCCGATCCGCACGCCCCAAACCCCTAGATTTCTCTGTGCACGGGGCCATAACGGCACGAAATGCATCGGCGGAGCCCCCCTTGTCCTCCAAAGGGTTGACATTCAGTCGCTGAGCAGCTCGATTACGGGTTAGGAGAGTCAGGCTGCTACGATCAAGCAAACCTGGGAGAGTATGAGTATGGGATACTACCCTGAACCCTAAACCCTGAGCCCAAACCCCCTTCGAGTCTGGGACACTACCCTAAACCCTAAACCCTGAGCCCAAACCCCCTGCGAGTCTGGGACACTACCCTAAACCTAAACCCTGAGCCCAAACCCCCCTTGAGAGTATGAGTATGGGACACTACCCTAAACCCTAAACCCTGAGCCCAAACCCTAAAACAGAAATCCGAGGGTCGACCCTTCGATTCATGACCCCCGGCGCTTACGGCCAGGACCATGTTTTTCCCGGGGGGGCTCCTATTTACAGACTTTAGACCGCAAAGTGGGTAGGGTTTAGGGTTTAGGGTTTAGGGTTTAGGGTTTAGGGTTTACTATACTTGTATAACTGGAGCTGCAGGGTTCAGGCCCACAATGAAAGGAGCTTGTATATCAGGAGGCTACGTTGTAACTGTATGGGATATGAACCGGGTTCATGTGGTGGATACCGGAGGGATCCTATTGATTCTGGGGATTGCTTTGACGAGTCAGACTACTCTCAAAATTTCCTAACTGCCAAGAACTAACACTTCCCTATCACGGGATTTCGATTGCAGGGAGTGGGGCACTGCACAAAGCCCAAAACTGCCGAAGCGAAAGCTAGACCTGAACGTTGCATCCAAAAACCCTTCAAGAATCCTCCACCGCAACACCCGTAATTAAACCCTAAACAATCAAACCCTAAACCCTAGACCCCTTGGCCCTTGACCTTAAACCATCCGGTCCGGATGTGTCACCAGAGCTTTCTTGCGGAAGGAAAGCCTGAGCTGGGCCTCCCGGGACATGTAGAAGCCCCGAATACTTGGAATATAGGATTTAGGGTTGAGGGGTTTAGGGTTTAGTGGCTTAGGGTTTAGGGGTTTAGGGAGTAATCCTCTAAAAGTTGGAAACCGGATTAAGGACACATAGTCCTGGGATTCCCTATACATTACTCTTAAAGATTCAGGCTGCTGGGTTTCCAACTTTTAGGCTTCTACTATGGGGTGTTGGGCGTTTTGGGATGCCGGTAGCAAGCAACTAGTGTACCCTGAAGCCACCTTCGACTCGCTTAGATCTCCAAAAAACCCTAAACCCTAAACCCTAAACCCCAGAATTTGGGGGATTCTTCGAGAATGAGCGGCTGGGGCTTCAGTCGGAGTACAGTTGCGCAGGGATTCCTTTAGCTGAAAACTTTGGGGTTGCGGTTTCCCAAAGAACATATATTCCCAAATACTAGACTGTAGGACCACGTACTATCCTCAACCCCAAAACCCTGTCAGCTACATTTTTTGGACCTTCAAGGTTGCGGATTGAAGTTTCAGGATTTAGGGGGCTCAGTTGAGTTTACTGGACGACGGCGTCTAAGGATTTTGGAGCTTCCTGAGTGAACACAAGTCTGTTGCATTGTTGCGACATGTCTTCATATGTCTGCCACATCGAAGTTTCCGGGTGTAAGGTCTAGGGTACCCCAAAAATAACAATCCTTCTAAGGGCCCCCACAATCTAAACACTGCCCCTCGACTTTCACACCCCGCACTTTGCCGACTGGATTGCTTACAATGGGCAGTTGGGATTAGATGCATGGCTTGGGTGTTTCAGGACCTGCAACCTTGCAATATGAGACGTTCGGGTAGTTGATGGGCCCAGCGCGGTAGAGGCACAAAGATGAGAATGTTTCGATACCCAACATACCCTGAACACCTCCGAAGGGGCGGAGTTCAAAATCCCATGATTGAGGAATGTCTCAGTGATCAGATATTGCTTTAGCTGCGCACCTCGGAATCCCCTCGGAGGGCACCGAGACGGGCGTAGAGGTTGAGTGCCATTGCAGACCAGAGCCCAATGGAAAAGCTGCGTCGGTTTTGCTAGGGTTGAGGAGTTGTAGTGTTTCTTCCCAGATTCTACATAAAGCAAATCTCCATACTGCCATATAATCAACCGATGCCCGATATGACTTCAAAAGCCAAAAGCTGCTGAGAATCCAAGGTGTAGGGGCCTGGTTCGGCGGTATACCTGTTTTGACAGGAACCTCATTAACAAGATAGTAGTTCACTGGATCTGTCTACCTCTGTGTTAGGGGAGCAAGAAATCGGACAACCCCAGCGGCTTTTGTTCAATTCGGCTTTGGCCTCATTTAATGATTTGGGGGCTTGAGGGTGGAATATGGGGGTCCTAGTTGCTACTGTTCTTGTATGAAATTGTCCCTAAATAGATGGTTGCAATACCTTCAAGCCTATCACTGTTTGTAGGTCCCTGGTTGGGGGTTTAGGATAAAGGGGTCGGCGGGCTGCGGGCTTAGAAATGCCTACAGGTTGCTATACCAACGAAACCTTCTCCACAAATGGCTTCATCGAACCAGCAGCAGGGGGTTGAGGAGTGATGTCGAGTGCGGGGTTGCATTTGCAAAAACAGCTATTTCAAAGCGTTTTGGGTTTCCGGTTTGACTGGATGAATGAAGCCAGATCGCAAAGTCCAAACGCGTGTGTTGTTTGCATTGCTGGCCCCTCAACTCTTGACCTTTAGGACCGCCAAGCTCTGCTTAACGTACAATTGCACGAATGTGGTATCTCATCTGACATGACTTTACGATGATGCATAAGATAACCCAAGACCGTGTTCCAATCATTAAGGCCGCTGAATTCTGTCGAGGTCAGAACGCAAGCTGATTTGGTGGCCTTGTTTCCGAATCACAGAAGCACACCCTGGACTACTGTTTGCGCATTTTGGCCTAGGGTTTCTACAGTAAACCCACATGTCTCTTGCAAGGCCAGAAGACTGCACTGGCAGCCCTCAAAACGGTGCCCTTACCTTTGCCTGAGCCCCAAACCCCACAAGCCCGTGCCCGAAGCAATAAGCCCCACCACCGATCTGTGTGCGGCACTTACTCTGCAAGCTCGAGGTCGTCCTGCGTTACTTCCCGCAAGGCCTGCGCCAAGACTCAGGCTTATCTTATTGCGAGGGTTTAGGGTTTAGTCTAGGAGCTTTCGACGTGTCGCATGGCAATCCGCAAATCCTAAAGCCTCGAAACCGGGGACCTGATTTAAAGCCACGTCCCCTACCAGGAACACCTACGGTAGATCGAGGATGGTTCAGCATGGAGATTTTTGACTATCTAAACGGACCTTTTACACCACCTCCCTGGGCATTGGCACCGGGCATAATGGTGAACTTGTGGGTCTTCAAACATGCGGAAGGTTCTGAACAGAATTTTGATGCCACGTCTTTGACCTTGGCGGTCCGGCCGCCCTCCAGTTGTTTACTCTCCACTGTAGAAATTCCAGAGACCGAAGACCCGGGTCTCAAAAATTGATACTAATGGATGATTTATGGCTTAGAAGTTGGGTTTGGATGGCTCGGGATGGCTCTGGATTCGTAGCTTCCGTCCAACTTGGAGCGCACATACAGCGCTTCGCTCAACTTAGCACAACAACTGTCCTGTACGCGCTCAAAAGGACACTGCATCAGCTCTAAAACCCCAAACCCTGGACCTTAAACCCAAGACAGTGCTAAGACTAGGACAACAGTCCTAAGTCAGTTGACAGCAACTCAAACAGAACAATACAAGACTGGATATGCTGAGGCTTAGAAAGAGTAAACCAGAGTTAAAGCCAGAAACTTGGAACATCATCATCCTCATGTGCCATAAATGCTTGAAGGTGAAGCATACGGAAACCAAGCACTCAGCTTAAACTCTAAACTTCTGAAGTTCACTACAAGTGAACTCTGTGTCATCGCTCTGTGATGATAGGCCATGGCTTTGCTTCATCGGAGTTCTTCCATAGGAGACCTACAGTCCCGAATCCTGGAGGACATCCCACATCTGGCAAAACTATGCACCCCACACAAGCACGTAAACAGAAAGCAGACAAAGGAGTTCAGCAAAAGTGCTCTTGCATGGTTTAGGATGGCAGCGCAAGGGTTAGGTTAGGGCTTAGGGTAATTCTGGAAGGCAGTGCCCAACACAGTGCCCCTTTGAGCTTGCCCACGGCCTTGTGGACGCCAGCCTCAGCATTTAGGGCTTCCAGTAGGAAATCCAGCAGATCGTCACCCCTTCAACCCAAGCTTTCAATGAAGGGCCGCTACCCTGGATTCTGAGCCAGGCTTGAATAAAACACTCTTGCTGCTCTGGATCACAAGACCTCCAACTCCGGATTTCACAGGCTCGGACCGACCCCGTGGAGCGGAACAGTTTAAAGGGGCGTCATCAGCTAGAAGAGAGTGTTGAAAGGTATAGTACGGAACGCGAAGGCGCATTTTTCACAATTTTGCGGGCTTCTGTATGAGTTTCTGGGGCTTCGTACACCAAAATTCGTGATTGAACGACCAGAGCGTTCCACGAACCACTAACAAAAAATATCAACTGATGAGCCAGAAGCGGTAACCCCGAAACCCTACTGAAACCCGAAACCTGCTTCCAAACTCCTGCCAAAGCAATCAACGCCCCGTGCATTGCATCCGAAACCACTGCAGAAACCCCGAACCCTAACCCTAACCGAACCCTAAAGCCCCACACCCTACTGAAACCACAGCCCCAAGGCTACAGAGAGGTCCGACACAGGTCTCACTCCAAAATGCCCTTCCTCAGCCCTTCACCGCAACTCGAACTCACCCTGAAAAGACTGAAATTCCTTGTTGTTGCGCCCTTCTCGTTGCAAGAGAGTTCAAGGTTTACCTCATCCAAAACCCCCTGACACACGGCAGTTTCCCCTACACTACACCCTCCACCCGAATCTCCGAATCCCCGAATCTCCCGAATGGGGCCACCCGGCCCACTTCCACTTGTCGTCCTCCTGTGGTGTATCGGGCTCCTGACGGGTTAGGGTTGACAGGGTAGGGTTATGTTTAGGGTTGAGGGTTTAATGTTTAGCGTGTAAGGTTCAGGGTTTAAGGCTTTGGATTTAAGGTTTTGGGGTTTGAGGTTTAGGGTTTGGGTATTGGTAATCTTCTGGGTTCCTGTGTTGCTTCTGCTTTCGGGGTCCCCAAAAAACAGGCTCCCCATGGCCACCAGCAACGCGCCGCAACCTTACCTAAAGTGTCCATGATAGTTCATTTTTTGGGTTAACCACTTTATATTAGGATATTAGCTCTAGACTGCGACCCAAAAAAAAGGAACGAACTGATCCTTACATTTCGGCCTGGAGCTCCGAAGTCGCCGTCTCTAGAGGTGAACTTGGAGCTGCGATCGAACAAAAACCATTTGTGGCAGGATGCGAATGGATGTGGCCTACATCTTCCCAACTTTAAGCATCAGAATCGGAACTTAGACTTAGCTCGCACCTACTTTGCGTGGGATAAAGCTTTTGCAAGCAAATTGCCGTCAGCTCCCTCTGTTTTAGGGTTACTATAGTATGATCATAAAGAAGGAGCCCGAGGGAATAACACGGTCATCATTCAGGCCCCGAAGTTTGAGTCGCCTTTTCCTGCCCTCCAGACACCCATAGTACAAATGGGCATGGCCAAAACCAACGTGAATACTCGAACTCGAAAGGGTCCTCCAGCTCCACTTCATGGAAGATGAAGTGCTGGCGTGCGGGAGATTCTTACAAGACTCCTAATAGCTAATATTCGTCGTTTGAGACTTTCAGAAAACTGGGATACCTTGTTTGGGGGGGGTCCTTTTGCTAAGATTCCCGATTTTCTGCCACTCGCATGTGTACCAGGGAGTATAGGCTTTACATGCGTCACACCAATTCACAAGGACTCGTCCCTGAGGTCTCTTGAGCTTGCAACTCCAGAGCACCCGAGAAAATCGAGCCCGCCCTCTTTCAGCATTTGAGTCTTCAGGATTTCGGGTTGATCGTAAACTGAAAGACTGCGCAACATCTGAGAAATTGGGAAGGGTTCCGCAAGGCACTGGGATGCACCTTAAACAATAAGCCCTACAAACACGGTCGGAACCTCAAACCTAAACCTTCTATTGCACCAGTATCCAAAGATCCAAACATGCCCAAGACCCTCAACTCTCGACCCTGTAGCTCCGACATTGGGGGCCTTGCTCTCATGCGTATTCAGGCCTCCCTTTTTCACCTTAGCAGCCCAAGCACCCAGATTCATAAACAAAAACACCGACCCGTCTCTGATACATTCACGGAAAGCTCGGGGAGGTCCTCTGACGCAAAGGTCACCGACAGAGCTCTTAACCACCCCCGGAACCAAAAAAACACTCAAAGCCTGAATCCTAAATCGGAGACAGCCTTGAGAGTGGAGATTCCATTGCGCATCCTTTCCGACGAGATGCGCCTCAGGACAATGCATGTATTCAATATCTGTAAGTTCCACTTGAGATACCAGAACACTATGTAGTCATAGTGTAGTACCTGATCCCGGGACCGAATCGCGCATGCCGTCTCCGCAGCACCAATAGCTTGCACAACACCCTAAAAGCGAACAAGTTCGAACAGCAACAAAGCAAAACGTAGGCTAATTTGGCATACTGCAACATAACGTAACATACTATACTGTATGCTACCATACAAGATGCTATACTACAACACAATTATGCAGTAACAGGACGTCCGAGCTGCAGTGCTTCCACCGCACCCAGCTTGCCGAGCTGTAGGAACTCCATCCGGGTGATGTGGCCGACCTCATAGGGCTTGCAGGGATGAAGGTTTACAGGTTATATAAGGGCGTGCAGGAAAAGGGTTTGGGTTTAGGTTCACGGCTTTCGGCACATCTGCGAAAGCCCTGCGCAACGTAAAGTCGAGAAGCCCGAAGGCCGTCGACCCTGTTGGCCCTCCATCCTATGGATGGTTGTCAAAATTAGGGCCCTTTTTGGGTACCTATTATAGTACGGCACCTACTATAGGGTACCCAAAAAGGGACCCCTATTTTGACAACTACCCATATGATCCCTTCACGCTTGCAGGACTACAGCCACAGCAATCTCCATCGGTGTCAAGATAGAGACTGCAGTGATCTGGATCCCATTTCCGCAACCATAGCGAAAGACATGATAGCAAACAGCACCAACCCTAAACACACAACCCTAAACCATGAACCCTACCCTAAACCCAAAGACACCCTTCGAGGCTGTCACGTGGGAGGCATCGAGGAAGTTGAACAGGAGGCGAGGATCAAATCGGCCCTGGGATACGGTCCACAAGTGGAGCAGGCTGAGCAGGCTTGTCTCGATCGCTCGTTGAATGCAGTCTTTCTGCGGCTGACGCAGTATAGTGCCATTCCTAATTTGGGACTGTTCCGGGTATATAATGGCCAATTCTTCCTGACTCTGTTCTCAGTGTCTTTTTCAACCCTGTTTGAAGGCCCGCACTGTGACGCTTCTCCAAGCCGGAGCGTCTTCTGAAACACCTATTGATGCCTCCGTCGGTTAGCAAAGCCTCCACCTTAACCCTAAACTCCAAGCCCTACAAAAGCTAAAGTGTAAACCATGAGCCAGCTCACCTGAAACCAAGCCTCAACTTCATACCCTTAAGCATAAACCCTAAAGTTGGTGCTCTGCTACAGTGCTTGGGAACCTGGGGTGCAGAGCTTACAGCTTGCGATGCTCCCGGCCCAGTCATGGAGTAACTGCAGCTTCGGGTATCTAGCCAGGTGTTGGCGAGAACGCCCCAGACTCGAGGTAACATTCACACGACACAAATTTCAACAACCCATAAATCTGCCTGAATCACCTTAATCGGCACTGCCCCCTCAAAGTCTGACAGCTGGGACAAGACGGACAAGATGAGCACGTCAGCAGCAGAGCCGCAACAACCCACCCTGAAACCTCAAGCTCGCTACCTACGAGAAACCCTAAATCCTAAATCCGGAAGGAAAATCTCTAAACCTACTTTCGAAGGCCTTGAAGTTGCACATGCGGCAGCAGTTGACGAAGTCCTGGGACTCCATGAACCAAAACTGAAGACTGAAGCTATAGTATAGGGCCGCCGTGATGATTAGAATAGGGTTCCTGCATAGGGTGCTTTTAAAGGGTTCTATAATGGCTACGAAAGTAAGGAATCGATAAGAAAGTGTTTTGAAGCCTTAATTGTGGGAATAGGCCTTTGGGGCTATGTTAGAATGAACTCATATCAAGCAGCCCCAAGGAACAGTAATGTTGACCTAGGATTAATAATCCCCCTACGATTAAAGGCGGCCTGCGGGCGGCTCCGGCCCCAATCTGTACTACTTTAAAGGCAGCACCCAAATAAGGATCGTTTTTTGCAGAAAACCCCCCACGATTAAAGGCATCACCGTCTGGGGATCTAAAATTTCAAAAAGTGCTTCGAAGACTACTTTTAAAGGGGGCAAGACTACATTTAAAGGGCGTCTTGTCCTCTTTCAAGCTACTAAATACTACTAAATACTACTGAATACTACTGAATACTATGAAATACTACTACTACTACTACGACGACGACGACGACTACTCCTACTCCTACTCCTACTCCTACTCCTACTCCTACTGCTACTGCTACTGCTACTGCTACTGCTACTGCTACTGCTACTGCCACTGCCACTGCTACTACTGCTGCTACTACGACTACTACTACTAGCACCACTGTTTACTGCAATTTGGCTTCACGGGATTATTTGGGGGTCTGTGATCCTGTGGGGGGCCTGCGACCTTGACAACCTTGAGGGGGGGGGGGGGTTTATTAATCAGGGGTCAACATTACCGTCAATCGCTCAGGCTTCTGCAACGTGACCGCAAGCACAGAGCGTAGTTAAGGCTACAGGTCGTGGTGGTTGTTGTTGCTGCTGTGGGCTCACGGTTGAGGTAAGCCTCTCACATCTTCACGGCCCCGCAATAAAGCAAAAAAGCAACACAAATCGCACAGAACTATCGATGTGTCGGATTGATGAGCCAGCAAATACTTATATTCCTTCATAGTCCCTTATTAAAGACACATAAATGTATAAACAGTTATGCATCGACATCGTTTTCGTATCTTCGAGATTACTGGGCACCCTGTAAGTAAGCTCCTTAAACCTTGAACCCCTAAACGCCATGCCTAAAACGAACCAGTAGCCGCGCCCGCCTATCAGACGTAACTCAAGCTAGGCTCTATAATAGCCTAAACACCTAGAGCCCGGCCATGAAAAAAAAGAAGCTTTTGGGACCCTCAAAACCCTAAAACCCTGTATACCAGGCCCTTGTAGAACCCACTCCGCCCTAAGCCTTAAACTTCCACACCCTGAACTCCAAAACCCCCAAACCTTAAACGCGTGTAATAGTTAGAATAGGGCTTCGGGGGTGTATCATACCATAGTTCTAATAGGGAACTCCCGAAATAGTATAAGCAAATATTCAGGCCATTAACTTATATTACACCCCTTCGAGAGCCGGACGTTTCCGGAAAGGCCGCGGCCTGTAGCAGTTGCGGCACTTTTCGAAAGTTGGGTTTGAGGGTTTAGGACCTGAGTCTAGGGTTTCAATCTTTAGGATTCTGAGGTTAGGGTTTAGGGCTTCGGAGTTTCGGAGTTGAGGGTTTAGAGTCCAGAAGTTTAGGATCCAGGAGTTTAGGGTGTTGAGTTGGAAAGTTCAAGGCTTAGGAGTCTAGGATTTAGGAGTTGATGGTGCAGGCATTTAGGGTGTATGTTTGAGCCAAGACTTTTCTTGTGTTTCATGGTTGGAGAGAATGAGCGGAATTGGGAAGGGGAGTTTCTATATCCAGCCGAGGGCATGCACAAGTATGGCCGAACCATGTGTACTTACTGGGGCACTGGAAATAACTTCTGAAGCTATGGCTGTCCATGGCGTGTTTCCGTGCTGGGAAAGGCCTCCACGCACGCAAATTCTAGCCGGTTTCAATGATTATGGCGGAAGAATCATGCATGGAGCCGGCTTGTCTGGCTTAGCGAGGTGCCGTTAAAGAAGAAGACGAGACATGAACACTAATGCTCTGATCAGCCTCTGCCGGTAAGTAATATATAGATCTGCATCATCGGTCTAGGATCCAGGGGGCTGCTATAATAGAATCAGAAGATATATAGCAAGTGACCCTCAAGGAACTGTGCTTGTAGACTTGTAGATTCTCTGAATATTCAGACCCCTAAATTCTCAAAAAACCCTAAACTCCTAATCGTAAGACCCGTCCTGTGTGGCTCAGGGCAGGGAGAGGCTGGGGTTGCGGTTTTCCTGCCTCAGACATTCGACGTGAAATCTCCAACCTCCCGTTCATAAACGATTAAAGGTATGGCAGTTTACTCTACTCCCCTTTGAAGGTCAGCGAAAGGATGTTTGCAGGTACCGGTAAACGAGGCCATAACCCAAAAAGGACACACTCAAGAACAGGTAACTAAGGCTAAGAGCCCTGAACTCAAACCTATTCTGCAAACCAAACTCCTCAAACCCGACACTGCCGGACAACACCCCGTCTTCCCTCTTCCAGCTTGAAAGCCTTCCCTGCGTTTCCGCTTCTTCTCGGGGATCTGACTCAAGTCCTTGGCTGGGCTAGACCCCCACTACAGCTTTGGGCGTAGGGCTCAGAGGGTTCAGGGATGAGGCTCCACATGCTGCTAGTGAGGTTATCGGAGACTAAGCTGCTGCCAGCGCTTCGGCTTGCTAATCTGCACATGTGCCCGAAGCGGGGGATGGGCAACAAACTTAGCCCTGGAACTTGACCTTTTGCGGCTCATGAGTGACACTCCGCCGATCCCCTGCCAACAACCGCGAAGCTAAAAGCTAAGACGACAAGAAAACTTGCAAGACCTGCTGCACTCCTAAACCCTAAACCCTAAAGTCAACCCTAGAACCCCCCCCAAACTCCGGAACCTCTGTACCTTATACGCCATTAAACCATCCGAGCCCAAGCCTCCATCCTGAATCCCTGCGTGGCCCCAAACCAGAATCCTTGTGGTCTTCTTAAAGCCTCAACTCCAAGCCCCAAAAGGGTTTAGGGTTTAGGGTTTAGGGTCAAAAGCCTAGACCCTAAACCATAGAACCGTAAATCCTAGCCCTAACCTAAACCCTAAACCCTGAAGCCCTGAAAAAAGCCAAGGCGCTGTGCCGCCCATGTCCAGTGGTGGCATCTTCTGCTCGAAAGCATCGTAGGCATCCTGTTCTTGGCCAACTGCAACTACTTTCGGGGTTTAAGGGTTAGGTATTTGGGGTTTAGGGGGTTGGGGGTTTAGGTGTTTGGGGTTTTAGGGTTTAGGGTCGGGGGCTTAGGCTTTAGGGTTTTTGCTCGGGTTAGCTCTGCTCGTAGCACTACTACTAGCAGAAGCAGGAGGAGCAAGAAGAAGAAGAAGAAGCGGACAAATGATGTTACTGCTGCTGTGTTAGTACAGAATTTCGGGCTGAATCTCCTGTCTCCCCAGGGATTTGAAGCTTGAGAGAAGACAAATCGGGTAGAGGCCCAAAGTGTCGACCCTCAACTGGTCAGCTAAACTTGACCCCCAGCTCCCACCCCAAACACTGCAGCACTTCACACCAACATTCATGTGATAGTCATCCAGGATTTGGAGTTAGTCCGGATGTAGGGTCGCCTGCGCTCGAAAGATTAAATTAGGCTGTAGCTGAGCACTCAAGATCGACGGTTTCTGCTCAACCCATGAGCAGAATCCCAGAGGTGGGGCCTGAACAGCTAGAATAGGGTTTGGCCTTCAAGGAGACATGACTACAAATCAACCCTAAACCACTACTAAACCCTAAACCCTGAATCCATTCTACAAGTTGATTCCGACCCTTTTAGCAGGGTGCAAGCCCCAACCCCCCGGCACCCGTTGAAGCCCGATGACCCATATTGGTGATTACAGCTCCTTAAAGCCAAAGAGCCGTTTAGGGATTCCGAAACCCTATAACCTTAAAGCTTGAACCCCGAAGCCTAAACCCTAAACCGTGGGCTAACTGGCCTCAAGGTTTTCGTACTTCTCCACCAGGTAGTCTCGAAGCTTCGCCACCTGAGTGGTCCAGGCTTCACGACTGCAAAACCTCAGGCATCTACCAGGTGTCGGTGTCACCAATCAATAGGGAAGCTAAACAGTATCCCACATCGATACCTAGTATATCATCCGATAAAAACTTGTGGGTTGCAGGTTCAGGGTCCAGGCAATGACTCCCCTGAGCTTGAACTTGGCTTCAAACCGAGTTGAATGCGGGTTCCAGAACCTGCGTTGAACCTGGATTTGGGGTTTAGGGTTGAAGGTTCAGGGAAAGTTGAAGGCCCACGGGAGCTGAAAGGAAAAGCAGCCGACGTGCGCAACCATACAGATGCTGATGCCGCTTCGAAGGCAAGCAAACCGGTTTAGGGTATCGGATAGTCTTGGCTTAGATTTCCAAAAAACACGTGCCATAAGCCTTAACCCTAAACTCAAACAGGCAACAAATCAGCCACGTACCCAAGAACCGTCGAAAAATCTTCTCTGGCCTCGATCAGGTTTGACAAGCAGTCCACAAAATGTAAAGAGGCAGGAGGGCTCTACTGAGGAACCTGAGACCCACAATCTCTGAAGCCTCCAACCCCGAGAGCCCAAACCCCTAAACCATGCGCCCTAACCGTAAACCCTCGAACCCTGGCTGTTGCCCAGGGACGTCGTTCACGAAGTCGCGGCCGTCGAAGTTGCCAAGGAACTCGAACTCTTTGCCTCAGCAACTTGGTTTTTGTTGGTACTTCTGCTTGGCAATTCTCCAAATTATGGTGTCTATTTAAGAATTGTAAGGGTGCCGTACTATTTTGGGACCCAAAGAGGGCCCCTCATTTAGAGCGGGCCCTTTTTTGGTCCCTAAGAAAGTACGGCACCCTCATCAAAAGGACCCTAAGCAATTAATTTAGAGAACTGCGCAGATAATGGTGATCATAAAGAAGATGATGACTACCATGGTTTATCACGAATGCACTTGTGATCAGTACTCTTTGGCAGTTAGATTGCTAGCATCGCAACGACTGCTGCTATGAACAAAACCGGTTTGCAACTGCCAAAGTCTTGCTGCTACAAGCAACAACTTTGTTGCTAGTACTTGTTGCTGTTGGAGCGGTATGAGCTCTAGCTCTTCCGCAGCTTGGAACACAAAAGTTTCAAGCACCAGCGTGGTAGACATTGCAAGCAAAGACTGGCACCTAGGCCCTGTGGAAAGACTCAGGAATGCTCTTGCAGCTCACAGATGCTTCTTCCTTGTCTCGGTCTGGGCCCCCAGCTCGTCAGCTGGCCGGAGAAGTCCTCAAGCGTCAGCTCTCGAACGCCCAACGCCCAAGTGTCGAAAGCATATCATGTCTAGGTATCGAGGCTCTCTATCGCGTTGGCCGAGCATCCCGTAATTATGAATTGCCACATACCTGGAGCTTGCACCCCAAAAATTCATCAAAAAGGGATTCTTCTATTCGGGACTTCTCATGAAACAAGATTCCTCTTTTCCCTGAAACTCACAGGTCCTCCGAGAGGTCCTAGTAACATGGGGGCCTCATAGTGTTGTATGGGGACTAGTAATACGACTACAAAAGGACAAACCCTCAAGCCTACAACCCAAGATCCTACAACCCTTACTTTCGAAAACCCAGATCCGGTGATTGTCTTGTCACGTGTAGTATTTAGGCATCTAGTGGATTTCGGGTTGAGGATGTAGGGTTTCGGGGTCCAGGCCTGCCCTTGCTTCACTCTGACCCTAATCCCTAAACCACTCCGACTTTGTGAAAGTCCGACACCGACTGAAAACCCCAATCTTCTTGGGGTTTTGATCAAATGATCGTATACTTTGTTTGTTGAGGTGTTCGGGTCTGTGGCTCAGCAGGGTCATACAGTGTTTAGGGATTGGGCAGGCTTCGGACTTAAGGTTTGTTTGGGTTGGAGATTGGGGCGTAGAGGCCCGTGTAGTCTGCCCCTGCCAAAACAAACCCTCTGACAAGCTGAAAAAGAGCCGGCTAAGACTAGGAATCGCGGACGTCAACCTGTCATGTAGATGGCCTCAAACATTTACGTAGTTCGAATGGGGTTTTGGAGTATACTAAACTACGTATACTTATCTATCTATCTATCTATCTATATATATATATATATAAGTATACATACATACAGAGGAACTATGAAGGAATAGTAACTATGCCGACCCATGATGCACAAAAGTACAATACCCGTCATCCTTGTCAATGAAGAAGAAGCACACCTTCACGTCTTCTTCATCGGCATAGCCTGCACAAAGCGTCTTATAATGTACAGATGCTGAGCCGTAGCATCACAGGGATTGAAGCCATTAAAGGCTCGCGTCTTACGATGATGACAATGATGATGATGACGATGATGATGATGGTCATAATCATGACCATGAAAGGCATTTCGGATCCGTCCCGTCAAGGTGGGGAAGCCCTTGTCCCAAAGTAAGGACAAGACTCACACCCCCATATTCCCGAAACTCCTTTCGCCCTGTACACCCAAACTCGCAAGCCGAAACTCTCTAACCTCAACCCTACACGACCCCAAATCCAAACAAGCCACAAATCATGGAATTCTAAACTAGCCACCGCCCCTCACCCCCTGCGCCACCAGCCAACCTTGTGGTCCCATCATGAAGTCCATCCACTCCTGTTGTTCAGGAAGTTGCGGTAGGGGCTATGGAACTCCTTTTTTCAAGCCGGGTGGTTCAAGGAACGCCTTCTTTTGCAGTGGAACGGCTTGGGAAGCTGCTGATCTTCAGGATTTTGCTGCTTTTAACCCTTGAGGGTGCAGAGTTTACGCCAAAAAGGGCAACATTTCAACCAGAAGCCCTCAGCTCAAGCACCAACCATTAACCTCGCACGCTACAGCGAGCTATAGCCTGAAACCCAGGCCCTCTGTAGACCCACTAGAAGTAGCAGTCGGAATGTCGGAGATTTTGCAGGAGTCTGCGGGTTCAGGCTCGCTCCGGCTCTCGGCACCCATGGCATTAATTAGGGAAGTTAAGGGTCAAGGGTTTCCGGGTTTAACTTGGGGGGTTTAGGGTTTAACTACGGAAGTTCAGGGTTTGGGGCTTAGAGCTAAGGGCAGCTTAAAGACTTAACCAAGTAAGTTAAAGGCTTGGGGCGCGGGCTTGCGAGTAGGTGTACTTTCGGGTTTGGGGTTTCTCCTACACAGTCTATACTTCATATTGGAATTTTTTTTATGGCGAGGAACGCTTCATGAAGACCCTGAGAACCATGGATCCCCGATACAAACTCACTTCCAAAAAGATCCCCAATCTTCAGCAACACCACCTGTGAACACCACTGGAGCCATTGTCTCATGCTCCAACATAAGCAGCTCAGAATTTGCGTCTTGCCCCGAACTTCTAGAAAGTTCATCAAGCGGGGCTTCGACAACCGTTAGAGGATCCTACGATTCCGGGTCTGCTGTGTCTGACATGCGGGCTCAGACTGCTTAACCGGTCGTACCATCTTGAAAAGCTTTCCTTCAAAGGTTCCTACTAGTTAGTTGAATGGGGCTTGATCGCATGATGGTTGAGCAACAGGTCCGAATACTAAAGTACAGCACTCCAGAACCCAGATGCGGTCGCGTTTGGAGTCCCCGATGTCCTTTCAAAACCGACCCGCGCCTGGGTGGTGAGGGAACCGGACCGATCCGCATCCATGTACTTGAAAGCCGCCTGGCATCGGTTCAGGGTTTGGGGTTTGCAGCAACGGTTTGAGGTCGAAGTTTCAGAGCTTCGTGTGTCAGGCCTTACGGTTTGCGAGCTGGGGTTCAGAAATGGGGTTCAGGGTGTGGGCTTTGGAGAGCTTGGCCGTAGAGCCAGGGTTTGACCCTTAGGGTTTATGGTGTGTGGGGGCTTAGGTTTGGAGTTTAAATGTTCTTGGTCTGCATCAAGAGGTTCTGGCTTAAGATTTATGGGGCTTAGGGCCCTAGAAACCCTTGTAGAAGCCCTAATTCCTCTTTCTGGCATCCGAGAATCCGAATTGGAGAATCCTCGGCCATGAACCCTTTACAGAACCCTCAAAGACACTCGAAGCTCTGAACCCTGAAGAAAACCCAAAAGAAACCCTACACCCCCCTAAACCATAAGCCCCTAAACCCCTAAACCCCTCCCAAACCCCTAAACCCCTAAACCCCAAACCCCTAAACCCTAAACCCTAAGCCCTAATTAACATCTAAACCCTAAACCCCAACTTCTGTTTACCCTCGGACACAGGGCCTTCAGATTGCCGAAGCGATCTTCCAGAAAGGTGCGAACGCGCTCCACCCGCTCCAGCCTTTGAGGGTAGAACATGGGTCGCCTTCGGGGTCCCTCTAAGAGTTTCGGCGTTTAGGATTCCTTTAGGCATTAGGTTTTGAGGTTCAGGGCGGGTGTAGGGGTTTGGGGCCAAGGGTCTTCGGGTTTTTGGGGCGTAGGGTTTTGTCTAGATAGCTTACAACGGCGCTTGAGGGCCTGGGCTTGATCTTCAGGTCAGGAAGGCTTTTAAGGTCTGGGTTCCGGTTACGGGCTGCACGCAATGTGGGGAGTGAGGTACTTCTGAATTTCAGGGTTCATCTAAGGTTCTCGAACTCATGCAGCATATACCTTTAAAACCCTTAATCCCCACACCGATACCCTAAACCCTCGACCCCCAAACCGTGAGATGTTCGTCTTTGTTGGACTGCTCAGTCGGGTTTTCGGCCTCGGGTGTAGATTTCAGGGAGTAGGTGTGAGTTGGAAAGCTGAGTGGGTGTACCTGCCTGGACCCTCAAGGACTTACCATTCGAGGGTTCCTTAGTCTGATTTTCTTTACATAAGCCCTGAAAAAACCGTAGGTTAATTTAGGGTCCAGGTAGTGCATATGACCCGAAGAGCTTCGGCTTCAGTTTCTAAATCTAATCCCCCTACCCTGAACTCCGAAACCTTAGAATCCTAAATCCTGAGCCGGAACAATTCCTGAATAGGGTTTAGGGTTTAGGGTTTTGGGGTTTAGAGTTTCTAGGGTTTGAAGCCTACATCACAAATCGCAGCTTTTTGGGGCTTAGGCCCTGAAGTTTCGAGCTACGAGGCCGAGGAAGCCTGGCCGGTGTCAGCTATAGGCTCAGATGCCGAGGCCCGTACCAGCTCAGATGGTATTCTCTAGGTTCCCCAGCAACCGCCAATCAGTGAGGGTACCCTTTTTCCGAGTATTCCCTTGAAAGAACAGAGACCCCAAAATGGAAAGGGCAAAAGGGGTACTTCTGAGGAGCTAGGTCTTCGACCAATCTCCTTATGAAGGCCACAAAAGCGGGGACCGGTTGGTAATTTGGGGTTTGGGGCTTAGGGTTAGAAGGTTGCAGTGTGCCTTGGGGTGTCCGGCGTAAATCTTCCCAGTGGATCCCGAAAGCTTAACTGTCGAAATAGAACCATGGCCAAATCCGACAACATATAACGAGACAATAATACAAGAGTACAATCAATATGTACTTATTGTCTCCACTGTAGCTCCTGTTTGGGCCTAGAGCCCTCGCCCTCTTCCTGGACGGCGCTGCCATAGCGCTGCAGCAAGGTGCTGCGGTGCGTTGCCACCATTGGGCTTAGAGTCGCGAGTTCTCTTGGCTGCGTCAGCCCAGCAAAGGTGCTGGAGAGCGTTACCTTATAGTATCCTAAATACAGATTCGGCTAGAGACAAAGGAACTACAATGGAGGCTGTAGGTAACCCCCCCTATGAACCCCTCGGACATGCCAGCTCTGATGAGACCCCCGGCTGGAAGTACGCCGACAGGATGCTAAAACCTAAGGCGAAGCTGTTGGCTCAGGTGGTCAGCCGTGTTCGGGTTTTGGGGTTGAGGGTTTGATGTTCAAGTTCAGGCTTGCGGCTTGCGAGCGCTCATGCAGAGTTTCGAGTCCGGAAACTTTAGGATGCGCAATGCGTGTTTTCTTGGGCTACATGCCCTCCCTTAAGCCGGAATAACCTACCTTTTTGAAGGACTTATATAAGGAAATCATAATAAGGAACCCTAGAAAGGTACCGTCATATTCGGAAAGCGCCAACTGGATGCAGAGACTCGGACCTGCGTTTTGATTTGCCAGGGGGCCAAGGCGCGAGGATTCCTTAAATTTAGGGCTTTACCCACAGGGTTCCATAGTAGCTCCTTCTTGGAATTACCTTGTAGGATTCTGAATATGCGCCCCAAAAGGAACTACTATGGAGCCTATGGGTAAGTTGAGCACTACTCCCTGAGCCCTAAATTGCTGAGGATTCGCTCGAGAAGGCATCTCCCTGAATGGTGTGCTTCGGGACAGGCTCAGGCTATGCGGGTCTATATGTCAAGATTGGTATATAATGACCTCCATAATATTTCAGTCCTTGAACCCCAATACTCCGTATATACGCATGTATAGACTGTTTTTGTTCCTGCTTGGAGGCCTGTCAGCATCCCAACTTCGGGTTCAACATACGCGCCCCACTGAACCCTAAGCCTATCTGTATCACCGCACATGCCGTCCCGAAGCCCTACACCAAACAATTTATACCGTAAACCAGGACCTAAACACAGCAGAAAACTCAAACAACAACACTGCGGGCGAAGGCCAAACTCAGCGAGAGGTCGCTTCGGCGGGTTGAATTTCTAGACACTGCGGCCCTTCTTCGAAGGAGATATCTGAAGAAGATGATGCGCATGAAGCAGCATTGAACAAGGACAATGGAGTTTCTGTTCACAGGGATTCGAATGAACTTACATGATGGCTATCCAGGGATACCTCCTGTGCTTGAGATCCGTTTTAAACTCCCAGCAGGCGTGGGAAAGCATCTAAGGCAGCAGAACACCCTAAATCCCGAAACCTAAACCCTAAAACCCTAAGCCCTAAAACCAAAAACAACACCAAGGGTAGGGCAGTAGAACTCGCCCTCCACGATGCTGCCATCCACCTGAATGTCCAGGCCTTGACTTGAGCAAATCTTGGGTGAAGGCTGAAACATGTTATGGCTTTTTCAAGGCTTTCGGGTTTAGGGTTTGCGGCCTATGTCGGGCAAAAAGGATACAGCAGGCAAAAGGCCTTGGGGTTATAGGGTCTAGAATTTTGTTAACAGTATGAGCGCTCATGGCGAACAAGCTCGGGTTTAGGGTTGTGGGGCTTTGCAGATTTCGCGGTTTAGGCGTACCATGCCTGTTGTTGCGGGCTCCGAGCTGGAAGACGTTTTGGAACTGGTTCACGAAGTCAGAATACTAAAGCGGCGTGCGGCTATGCTGTCTTCAACTCGCGTCTGCTCTTGACCAAAGATCGGGTAATCGGGGTTCTGACAGGCGCGGAGAAGAAAACCTAAGCCGAAAGAATCGCACCAATCCAAAGGCAGAAACCTGCAGCATCGCAGACAATCACCCCCTCCGAAACTGCATTCCGCAGACAGTTTGAGTTATCCAGATCCCTGCACCCTAGTAGAGGGGCCTTAATAATTCAAAAAGGGGCTTTGGGGCCCATACTATAACTAAAATATGGAACCCCCAAGATAGTACTGGTACTTACTTAAGCCCCTATATTAATCATAACCCCGGAATACCAGATCTTCCCTGAACCACTGAACCCTACACCCAAAAACTCTCGTCGCAGATTGCAACATCGGACACACAAACCCTAACACCCTGAACCTTGTCCTTTTTTGGGAAATTGACAGGGCCCTTTACCCTAGTCCCTTAGTAAGAAGCCCTTCAAGAAGGTACCTTAACCGATCTGTCTATTCTTTATTAGGGGACCATAACAAACTCTCTCCTTCAATAACCGGGCCCAAAAAAATTTAAACTTTCTAAGATAGACCAACTATATAAGGCCAAAAAGTTTAAAGTTCCCCCATTGGCTATCTAAGCAAAGGACAACAGTGGAACCCCCGTTAGGAGTCCGGCACATGAACAGCTCCAAGGCAGGCCCTTTGTTCGGATTCAGCCCGGCTGGGTGCTTTGCCTCCCGCAAAGATCTAACATGTTTTTTCTTTGGGGTGCTTACGATCCACTAACCCTAAACCCTAAACCCTAAACCCTAAACCCAAACTACTCACCCTCAAACGACCATCAGGCCTCTTTTGCAAGGGAACTAAAGAGCTACATTGGAGCCTAGGGGAGCAGTGGAGGTTTCTGAAAACTCTTCCGGCTGGAGCTCCAGGGCACGACGAGGCGGGAAACCCCCTAAACCCGAAACCCAAACCCCAAACCCTCGAGCCCCCCTGAACCCCAAAAAAACCCAACCCCAAACACATCTAAAAGACGTAAACCCCCTGACTGCCGCCGAACACTGGATTCCCCAATTCTGCGAAGCCCTCCAAATCCCTGAAGCCTGCTGATTTACTTTCGAAGGTTCAGGGTTTAGGGTTTTGCATACCATAACACATATGAAAAACAAGGCTGCGTTTTAGGGCTTAGGGTTATTAAGTTGTGTATACCAGGATACGTAGATTAAAAAGGCTGCATGAAGCCCGTGTCCGTTGAAGCAGCAAGGCCTTGCGCAAGGCCCTCCGAAACTCCGAGAAGCTCGCCTCACCAGACCTTTCTTCGTCTTTGGGGCTTAGAGTTTAGGTTTAGGGTTTAGGGCTTAGAGTTTAGGTTTAGGGTTTAGGGTTTAGGGTCTAGGGCTTGGAGTTTAGGTTTAGGGTTTTTTTTTAAGTGCAGGTTTAGGGTTTAGGGTTTAGGGCTTAGGGCTCAGAGTTTAGGTTTAGGGTTTAGGGCTTAGGGTTTAGGGTTGAGGAAGTTTAGGGTTAGGAAAGAGGTTCTCTGAAACACCTAGAGCAGGTCCGAAATAGGGGTGACGGTCATGAAGGCTCGACTGGTGACTGGAAGCGTTCGAGAGTAGAGAGTGTAAGTCGTAGGCTTGGGCTTAGGGGTTTAGGGTTCCGTCGCGGGGGTATAGGGTCAATTGGTCAATTTGGTAGGCACATCGGCCATCCCAAATATGTTCAAGACAATCCTGGAGCCCTGAGCCATTGACAAACGGCTGAACAGACTATTGAGGCTCTGCGCACTGATTCATGGCATGCTTCATTGTGTGCTCTTTGGTGGGCGATCCATGCTATCAGGGGCAAGTTGCAAACATCGACGATGATGATGATAATGATTCAGATGACGATCAGGGACGGTGACGGACGATAACAAACATGCTGATGAAGACCGTGCTAATCACCACCACCGTGGCTGTTGAAGCCAGCTCCTCCTATGGGTGCCCTGAGCTGCCCCAGGCCAACAACCCGTAATTACACCCCCAAACTGACAAACTGACTAAGTTGACACTCGGGCTCTGTCCCAGCCCCCTACTACGTCCGCCCGCCCTGCCCCCCCAAATCAAAAGATCCCTAAACCCTAAACCCTATAAACCCTAAACCCTAAACCCTAAAACCCTAAACCCTAAACCCTAAAACCCTAAACCCCAACAACAACTGCACATCCGGGCCCCCTGAAGCTGACGTAAGGCGACCAGGGTCAAGGCCCATCTCGATCCATGTATTGCCAGAGCTCGGCCCTAGGCACTCATCTTTTTTGGGGGGTGTGGTTTACGCTTTCGGATTTGCGGCTGATGAGTGTGTATTTAGAGGCTTTTACGGTTCAGGGTTTAAGGCTTAGGGTTTAATGGTGGCCTTCGGACTTGAAACTCAGATCTCGAACGACTTCTTAAAATCCGCTCTGTTAGGGTCCCACGGTTTCTAAAACTCAGGGTGATATACAGGGCGTTTCAAGGTTTTCGGGCAAAGGGGAATGAGACTTTAGGAGTCCGCAGCTTCATTTTTTAAGGGGTTGAAGAGCTTAGGGCTTTCGGCATGCTGAGGTTCAGGTCATTGTCTTTTGGGCTTCGGGCTTTGGGAGTTCGGGTTTTAGGCAGTGTTACTGTAGGCTTTGGGCGCCGAGCTTCAGTCAATTGCGCAGTTTCAGGGCATCAGAGCCTGAGAATTATGCTGCCATGTTACAATGTTACTGATGTCGAAGGTACAGGTTACGCACGTCTAGGGTTCAACGTGTACGGTAAGAATGGGTGGTTTGGCAGCCTGCTCCTGAAGACCACTCGTATCAGGCATGAGGACCCGAATAGTCTGAGGCACATGGAAGCTCTTATCAGAACCTTTGGTGCGAGAAACAGTATTCGCATATAGGCGGTGCGCACCACTTTACCAGGATTGCGAGTACACAAGAGGGTGCTCTTCCCCGTTTCGATGGCCACAAAGCCCAAAGAACCAGCATCGTGAGCGATACTCTTGATGAGCCAACCATTAGGCTTCCTGGGAGCTCTAATCACTTCAGCCTCCGTCACGTTGGCATCCGAAAGGCAACGCAGAACATCGACCTTGTGCATCCCATGATATCCCATGACTTCGGTGCCCCTTGCAAGGCCAAAGCACGGCGTTGCGATCTTACTTGGTTTCCCTAAACCCTAAACCCTAAACCCTAAACCGTTACAGCCGTCTGCCCGGAGAGCCTCACCGCCATGGCGGCGCGGTTTCAAGGATTGGAGGTCGTGATTGGTTCGTTCGCGCGAAGATTGGACAAGCCCTCGAATCCCTATGGAACTGCGGCTAAGCCCTAAAAAGCCCAGTGAAAACCCTCCAAAGCCCCCACAGAGTGTGCGGGGAAGGTTTGGCGAGAAGGCTCAGAGTCTGTAAGAACTCAACAATTGTTTGGAACATCAGAGACTGCAATGCTAAGCATTGTAGTCGAGGATCAATAGTTGTTGTTCAGAGTTTGCGGTAAGGGTCTGGAGATTAGAGGACAGGAAGTTGGGCTCAGGGTCTAAGGCTTAGACGATCTTGAATTGTGACCAGCCGAAAACCACACGCAGTAGATGAGTTTTTCTTAAACATGAAGGATCCGTTTCGGGTCCCGGTGACAGGGATCCACTATCCTGAAGAGCCGCAACTGCCGCAAACCCAAACTCATCTAAGCCTACAGCCTCAAACCCTTCAGTTACTCGCCTTCGATTCAAACCCGGTCCCCGAACTCTAGCCCTACCCCCTCCAAAAAAAAAAAGATCACCATCACTCCAAATCGTCAAACCCGTAATCGGAAACCCTGCACGATTTAGGGCTTCGGGCCCTAAACCCCTAAAACCTCTAAACCCACATCCTTTCCAGCAACAACACACCAACAGAAGCAGCCGAGCGGCAAAGGAGACTCTTTGGCCTCCGCCTCTGCCTGCGATGAAGTTTCGCGTTATAGGGCCTAGGGTCTTTGGGTTTTAGGTTGAGGGTTTAGGGTTGAGGGTCCAGCGTTTAGGGTGGAGGGTTCAGGGTAGAGTGTTGCGGGCTAGCCTGTACTGTAACGTGCTTGATGTACCCAGCTTGTAGGAAACATGATTCCAGGGCCAGCAAGCACTGAACTAATAAACCTCCTAAACACAAGGCTAATCATAGAATCCTCTTCTACTTATCAGGGTCCGTACACTTTTAGTCTAAGCCTTCAGCTTCGTCCCTATTCGGCTCCATAAACCCTAAGCCATACCCTAAACCCGCAGAGCCCCAACCCCTAAGCCCTATAGCCCAAAAAACGAAAATCCTAGAAGCCCAATGTAAGAGCAAAAACGTTGTCCTCGGCCACTTGAGCAGCATGCTCCTCGGTCTCGCCCTCTTCGCCTAAGCAGGAAATGAGGAGTTTAGAGTTGGGGGCTTAGGCTTCTGGATGTAAGTAGGGCAATGTAGGGTTCAGTGCTTACCATTTAGGGCTCATGTAATAAGCCGTGTAATGAGGATCCCGCTTTATTTTCTGAGGATTTACACGGTTTACATGTGCTCAAAGGCTGGGGCTTTATGTATGTCTTGGCTCAGGCTGCTTCCGCCTTCTATGGAAAGGCAGGGGGTTTCTATGATCCCGCTGCATTCGAGCCTTTGCATTCAGGTCTCCAGGTCTAGGCCTTAATTGGGTCTTACGGGGTATATGTGCATTGTATAGCGTCGTATAACAAGGGTTGCATCTGACCGAAAACCTAAACCCGTAACCCTATATCCCCAACCCTTCACCTTGAACCCCACCTTGCAAGACTGGACGGTTTAGGCTTTTGCGGCTCAACAGTAGCCCATTCTGCTGCAGGGTCTGTCTGCCACCCTTCCTCGACCTTCTACCCTGATGGTCCACCAGCACTCACTGCCTCGGTAGTGTCACGGAAAATGCCTGCTCGGGTTTAGGCTGTAGGGTTTTGGGACATGGTGGTTTGCAAGTGTTGGGTCACGCTGATGCCGTCAATGCTCACAATAAGCCAGATTCCTGAGCCTGAACCCAGGACCTAATCCCGAAGTCCTAAGCCCGCAATCGACGAGCCCTAAGCCTCTTTTAAACCCAACCCTGGCCGAGAACCCCAAAGCCCTTAGCATAAGCCCTACCACCGAAAGCATATAATATAGAGGCCTAATACTTAGACTATGTAGGGTTTTGGGCCCCTTTACAGTATGACCATAATCAGGAACCCCAAGGAATAGTATTGGTAGTGATTCAGACTTCTACATTAAGGCCAACCCGAAAACAATCCGATTGCCTCTCTCCTCACGTTCAAGCCGCAGCGCCTTGAGATGTCATCCGCTGACTTTCGGCTATGCATTCAGGGCTTCAACAAGGTTTACAGTCTAGTTCAGAGTTTAATGGAACACATGAACAACTTCCGCCAAGTTCCTGCCATTCAAAGGTACTTGGCAGTCCTGGTTGGGATTTTGAATGGTTTGGGGCTGAAAATTTCGGTTGCTTTGTTGAACTGCTTTTCGCCCAGCTGATTTCAGAGCGTTACCAAGAGAGGCCACCAAGCGACCGGGAGTAGCACCAAGCAACGTACGGTCCAGCACGAACAGGGTTTAGGGCTTTTGCTGCCCCTCCCACCAGCACCAAGGCCAAGATGCCTGTAACTCTGCATCCCTATCTTTTTCAGCCCGAGCTGTCAACTCCTGCAAAACTTCTAAAACTAAACTCTGAAAGCTCTTCAGAACCCCTACACAGCTCAAGAAGCTGCAGAACCCGAGAGCACCGACGTTTGATCGACTCCTGAAGCTCTGAACTCGTTCTAGCCGATGTCACGTTAAGGGTTTAGGGCTTAGGACATTAGGGGGGAGGTTTTCAAGAGTGTAGGACTTTGGAGTTTGGGGTTTTAGGGTTTCGAGTCTTAGGGTGCAGGGCTTTACGGCTTCGGGCTTTAGGGCTTTAGGATTTAGGGTTTAGGGTTCAAGCATTTAACATGGCCTCCATCTTCTCCTTGGCGTGCCGCGCGCGCCTCGCCTGAACGGAAGTCGAAATGAGCAGAATGCAGCCATCAGTTCTACTTGGCTGCCGCACTGGCATGCTCTCAATTCGCCGACACTGCAAAATGAAGCAGGTAAGCCAATCTACGACACTCCATGGACTGCAATTGCAAAGACCTATATGGGAGTTTCCGAAAATTGGGGGTTACCTTATTTGGGGTCCTTACAATAAGGATCCTACTATTCAGGGCACTATATTAGGGTCCCCTATTTTCGGAAACTCCCATATAGACCCTGAACCCCAAAGCGCTTCCAACGCAATCCACGTCGACATCGGGCCTTCCATTCACAGAGCCAGATTCGAAGGCGATCCAGATCCTGTGGTGCAGTCTTTGAGTTTACCTTGACTCACGCTAACCTACTTTTTCGTAGGGCCCGAAAAGAAACCCCAATATAGAATTTTGAGGGACCTTGCAGAAGCTAGGCTTTGATAGGTCCAAGTACGTAGGGTTAAGGGGCATAGGGCTAGAAAGCACTGGGCGGAAAAGAGTGTTGATAGCTGGGTTCCAAGGTTGTCGGGCCAAAGGTGAACGATGGCCGCACTGGACCTATCGTGAGCATAACATGGGTTGCAATCTGTGAAGATGCCAAAGACTTCCGAAAAGATCTCAGTGAACAAAAGCTCGAGCATCAACAGAAACCGGGCCAACGTCCGGACAAACAGACCACCCTAAACCGTAAAGCCTAAATTCCTCCGTCGGAGGATTCGAGGGCTTGAGCTGTCGATCTGCCTTGACCCTTTGTGCGATCATCTTGCATGGCATTGCGACGTATGTTTGATACCATAATACACTCGGTTGTATTGTACTGTGTATGTCATACAGCATGGCATTATATGAAAACATAAACATACCATTTCATTACTCCATGGAGTATTGAATGTATTACATGTGACTTCTTTATGTTATGTCTTGGTCTCCACAAATTAACTCCACACCTGAGCAGAGCTAAGACAAGGGGTATTGAATGGATTATATGTTACTTCGTTATGTTATGTCTAGTTCTCCACAAAAAAAACACCTCTACACCTGTGCAGAGCCAAGACAAGGGTGTGCCTCGAGTGAACCGGCGCCATCCACCAGCTCGAGCAACTGGCTCACGGCTCTGTTGGGATTGGGGGTTCTCAGTAGGGTTTGAGCTGTTGGGATTTTGGAAAAGATTTAAGGAGGTGTAAAACACATAAACTATGTGTGTGTATATCTATATATATATATATATCAGTATCCATGCATGCAAGCAAGCGTGCCAGCGCGCAAGCGTGCAAGCAAGCAAAGCAAAGCAAGCAAGGATACATGGATGCACGGACGGACGGATTAACGTGTGTGTGTGTGTGTGTGTGTGTGTGCGCGTGCTAGATGCTCTATGTTTTTCTTTTTCTTGCAACTCAACTGAAATACGTCTCTACAAAGTATGCTAGAACTCGCGCAAAACTCCCACCCGCGAATTGAACATGTAACCCTAAAGCACCCAAAGCCCTGAGCTAAACCACATCCACACCCTCCCCCCTCCACATGTCCAAAGAGACAGGAAGGCTCAAAAAGCAACGACACTGGCAAAAACTGTCTTAACGGGGACCAGCTTAGCCCTACCCCTCCTCTCTTCAAAAGCAACAATTCAACCGACACAAAAAAAACAAGTAGTAGAAGGCGCGGGACATGCTCACACCCGAGAAGTAACATGAAGACCCTGGCACCCAAAAAATAAGACTCAAGAGCCTACCCATAAGCCCCAAAGTAGTTCCTTTTTGGGGTTCATATATAGAATCCTATAAGGTAGTCCCAAAACGGAAATACTTTGGGGCCTATGGGTAAAGCCCAAACCCCGAAACCCGAACCCCTAAATCCCAAAGCACCAAACCAACCGCCCGCAAAGGCCGACACCCGCAGTTCCGTCGGACTGATGGAGTCGTTGCTCGACTGATCCACGAAGTCGAAGATCTGAGCTGCCTGGGATTTTTTGGAGGGATGACATACGGCCGATGCGGGATAGGGCATGTTAGGGCCTCGCGGTTCGGATGACGCTGTTGGATCTTCTTTCGGAGGAATTTTGGAGGAAAGAAATACGGCATTATGGGGAGTGCTATACAGGCGTCAGAAAGGGGTTTTCCAGGGTTTAAGGTTTGGGCTTGTCATGGTTATAAGCGCTGCTTTGAGTTAGGGCTTTGGAGTTTCAGGGTCTTCGGGTTTGAGGACGTGGAGGGGTGTGGGCATGAAGGCTGAGGCTTAAGGGTTTGGGCCAATTTGGGGTTGGTTTGTGGTTTGAAGCTTCGGGTAAGAGGGTAGGAGCCAGGCTTATGGGAATTTTCGGGGCTTCGGGACATGAAGTCGATATCTAGGGCTGTTCAAGCAGAATAGGGTTTGCGGGGTAAAGCTAGATTACGGAACCCAACATGGAAACTGGAAGGCTCGTCCAATTGTTAAGGCTCTTACAGCAGTCATGGCAACATCGCAATCACCTGAAAGCATCTGGGAACACTTGGGGAATCACAATTCATGAAAGCGGTCGAAGTACCAATCTTGTACATACGGTTAAGGCTAATGTTAGCATTGACCCTCTGCCTCATGAGCCACTGACACAGGAGGCGAACAGTGCGCAATCTGCAATCCCGAAGCCCCCCTACAGGCCCTGCCGGCATCCGAGTCCAAGAAATCCAAACCCACATGCCGGCAGGGGAAAGAGCCCTTGCCCCCAGGCTCGGCTGGGCCCATCACATACTCGTCCACGTACTTGTACCCAAGTCTGTGCGAATTTGGGCTTCGGGTTTAGGTTGAAGGTTTAGGGGTCTCGGCAGAATGTGCTGCTTTACAAAAGGTCGGGGTCTCAAAGCTTCGGGGGTCGAAGTCAGGGTTTGCATAGGCGTCGGCTGGTAGTCTGTATGTAAGCTAGACCAGTGTCTTGTAAGGGTTGCGTGAAAAGAAACCGGTTTAGGACCCACGCCTCCAGGTAGGGGGCCTGAATTGGCGTGTGTGGAACTAGTGATTGGATATCACTTCTTCTGCGGACTTCAGAGCCGTCGAGCGCGCGCCCCTGTTGGATATCACTGCGAGCTATTCCAACCTCTATATATCAACGCCGCACATCGTCACACATCAAGATCTGTTCTCGCCAGAAAGCCCATGCTGATAAATCACCTCGTCTTACAAATGGCGCTGTCTTCAGACATTAACTCTAGACTCTAAACCTTCCGGCTCGGCAACGTGCAAACGCCCACACCTCCTATCTGAATATGAACTCCGAAAAATCTACCCGGACAGGGAGCTCTTTGGAATAGTATTGATAACCGAGCTTTTAGGTTAGCTTATGTATAGGGGTTCCTTCAAGTTCTGAAGCATGAAATCAATCGCCATGAGCCTCCGCAAACCCTCGCAGAACTGCGCTTTTTTGAGATCCTGGCGTCACCAGGTTGGCGTGTTGTGTAGGGGCTCAGTGTTGGAGTGGTAGGGTTTAGGGCTTCAGGGCTTTGGTATTTAGGGTTCAGTCTTAGGGTGCTTTGTCCAGGCTGTTAGGGCTGAGGGCCTAGACCTTCTGACTGGAAAGTCTACATGCTTCTTCGGGCTGGGAGGTTGTGCATTGGTTCAGGATGCAGAGATGTGGACCTACAGCAACGAGATAGAACCTTTCGTTTTCCTATACTCTCATCTCATTGTAGAATTCAGAAAACAAGAGACCGCAAAACCTAGACCCTGGATTGTAGAACCCGCGGCCCTCTAGAATGCCCCTCAAACTTGCCGACACCCCGCAGAGCCCGATGAAACCCTAAACCCCTAAACCCTCAACTCGTTTCAACAACTCGTACAAAGCCATGTCCTTGGATGTCTTCCGCTTGTCGGTCGACTTCTTCGCCCGATACCTCGCCGAGAGTCTGCTGGCCCAAAGAAAAGGGCTCCGTAAGGGCTCGACATCCTGTTCTGGGGATATATCGGCTCTAGAATAAGGTAAGGTTTGTTATAAGAGCTCTGCGGCGGTCATACAGAAATAGAGGTGTTGCAAAGGTTCTTTGGGGGTTGTGCTCAAAGCTACAACGTCTAAGGTTTGCGGATTCTGGATTCGGGTGTGTTGAAGATCTACGGATTCCGAAACAATTACGGGAATTTGCGGTCAGAGTCTCGGGAAAAAGTGGACAACAAAGGTCCATCGGAGGGGCTTGGATAATTAGAATACTGCCTTATGGGGCATTATAGCAGAATCATAGGGAGACTGAAAGGGATCTGATTGTCGTTCTTATGTAATCCGACTCCTATGGAAAGACAGCTTCCACAGCCTGGCGGCAAAATCGGGTACGGCTTTAGGGGTATTTAGGGTTCTGCAACATCTATGGCAGAAGGCCCCTGCAAAGCACGAACTCCCATAAGGCCTCCAGGGGGGAGGTTAGGGTTTCTGCGCCGCCTGGTGGGTCCCGTGACATAGCAACCCCAAAAGGTTGGAATGTGGTTTCATGGCAGGATACCCTATAATTTACCATAAAGGGCTTAGGATAATCATATTCCAACTTTCTGGCTTTTACTTTAGCAACCCCAAAAGGACGAACGCCCTTTCAAACTTCGAGTTGTCCGAACCACCAAACTGCATGGCGAACCTGGCATCCTGTATCTAGAGACCTAGAGACTCCACGATCCCTTGAGGAGAAAACAATCGTTACAGAGGTAGCACGGATTAACCTGGTAGCCTTCATCAAGGGATGTTGCTATCGGTGGGCATTCGGGCTCCAGTCAGACCGACCCGGACACGAATTTCCTCCTTGCTTGGGGCCCCCGACGCTGTGAGGCAAATCGCCCTGATCCGATCTCCGAGTGGTGCTAAGGCAGTCTGCAGCTCCTTTTAGCGTCTGTGGGCTGAAGTGGTGGTAGGGTTTAGGCTTTAGGGTTGAGGTTTTAGGGCTTAGGGTTTGGCCGGGGGTTCAAGTAGGCAGAGTTCTAGTCTAAAGCTAAGCCCTAAATATTTTGGGGCCTGCCAGAGCATCGAAAGGAGCCTGCAGAAGGGGTATGTAGCTGCTACTGGATACTTCGATGTCTTGTGGACCAGGGGAGGATCCGAAAGGTCCTAAAGTTCTAAAGCTTCTTGAAGCTCAATCGGTCCTGCCTAGGCTTGAGGCGTAGGGTTTAGTTTTAGGGTTTAGAAGGGTTTAGGGTAACCATCTTCAGAGACCTTGCTGGTTTACAGCCCTCCGACGTGAGTCGTTGCTTGTCCTGCTCCTCACGTGTGGGGAGCAGAAGCCGTCGGCTACCTCAGCACGCGCATCCCGGGAGCTCTAGGGTTTAAGGTTTGGGAGCTTAAACTGAACTCGGAAACCTAAACCTCAACCACAAGTCTCAACCCTAAGCTCCAAGCCGGAAGCCTAAACCTCAACGCTTCAAAACCCGCATGTCCCAAATATCGTCTAAAGCCGATGAAAGGTCCTCGGGTACTACTCACCTGATCATCTAGGTAGTTCGGCTTTGGGGTTTAGAAGTTCAGGGGTTTAGCGGTTTAGGGTTTAGGGAATCCTTACCCAAGGTCAGCCGCACACATCAATTGAAGCTTAATCTGACGGGGCTTGAGGCGCGGGACTGACACTCCAGTTTGAGGCTGTGCAGGCTTCTGGAACTTGGCTTCATGCTTCTTCTTCTTCTTGGGTATATGCTGCTTGGGGTCTGGTGTTTGGGTTCTATCCTTCTTAGTTGGGCTCTGGAGCTCGAGATTTGGGAGTGTCAGAAAACATCGGACAATAATGGCAAGAAACCCTCGTCTGTTGTTGGAACTGCCGGGTGATCTGATGTCTTGACGAGTCAAGTTCTCAACTTCGGTGCTGAACAGCTTCTAGCAGAGCATAGGAGCTACACCTGAGCTCCCGGGAACATACATACAACAGTTCCCTGAACCTATGCTCGTGATCCCTTCACGAGTTGCAGACAGAAGATTCCGAATACCAAGCCCCCGATCGCCTTTTCAGCGCAAAATCCTGATGAACCCTGGCGCTTGGGCTCATGACGGTCGGGCGTCACCAGAAGGTAATCCATCAACGATCCCACGCTGGACAACATCTCCTCCGAGTGCTAGGTTCATCTTAGGGCTTATATCACATGCTCTCAAAACTTTGAAATCCTGAACCCATAATCTTCATTCAGGGAGAGGGGTGTTTATTGATCAGCAGTCCAAACTGTAGAGGATTTTGGCTCCTGTAACTCGGCATATCTCTTTCGGTAGGCGTGCCGGGTTTCCTTGGGAATTTGGCGAGTACTCCCCGTCCAGTGATTTGTCGGCTCCAATGCTTGATTGTGGTGTAGGAATCAACCCGCAAAGAAGCTCTGAGGCAAATGCTATATACCAAAAGCCAGAAAGTTGGAACATGGATTTAAGAGGATTAGTGCTTGGATTCCTTAAACTTTAACTTAAGGGCATGAGGATAATGATGTTCCAATTCTGGCTTCTACTGTAGATGCCCAGATGAGCAGACTTCGCCTTGGGTCGTTAAAATTTTGTACTGTGAACATATTTGGGCACAAGACTTCTCAAGCCTCTTTACTAGAGGTCTTTCAGGGAACCTAAAACCCTAAACCCCTAAACCCTAAAACCCTAAAACCCCAAACTCCTAAAACCCTAAAGCCCTAAAGCCTAGACCTCCTAAAACCCTAAAACCCTAAACCTCTAAACCTCTAAACCCCAAACCCCTAAAACCCTAAACCCCTAAAGCCTAGACCTCCTAAAACCCTAAAACCCTAAACCACTAAACCTCGAAACCCTAAACCCCTAAACCCCTAAAATCCTAAACCCCTAGTCCTCCTGAAGCCTAAAACCCCAAAACTCAAAAAGAGCCCCGTCCTGCGAAACTCCGAAGTCCAGGACAGTGTCCCTGAGAGACTCTTGTGGACTTGGCATAGGGTTTAGGGTTTAGGGTTTAGGGTTTAGGGTTTAGGGTTTAGGGTTTAGGGTTTAGGGTTTAGGGTTTAGGGTTTAGGGTTTTAGGGTTTTAGGGTTTGGAGTTTTCTTTTTTTTGCGGGCCCTTTTCCAACTGCAAGTACCAGTAGGAATACCTTACCAGACAGAGCCTATAGGGTTTAGGGCTTAGGGTTTAGGCAGGCTTTCTCTCAGATGGGCCTCGGGTATCCCAAACCCTTGCGGCTTAGGGTTTAGGGCTCAAGAAAGCATTAGTACGAGTGAATAATATGCACACAGGATATTGTGGTCCTTTGCGGGCAACCACTAAGACACCATGACATTCTCGAGCCCACCTGAACCCTCAAGTGGTCTAGGATCCTGTAGTTCTAATACTTCCTGAACAAAAACCAGTAAGACCCTGATCAGTGAGATGAAACGCACAAAATCCTTGCCGCAATGGACCTGAGAATTATCTGGCACTGCAAACCCTTCTGTAAGCCGTAATTCTTGCGCCGCACGCCGTAAGCCCTTGTGTATCTCTGCAAATCTGAGCAAACCCCGCTGCCTACACTCCGAAGGTTTCAACGCTAGCCGTAAATCCTTGGAGGGCAGCTTGCGTGCTTCTTCCCACAGGCCTGCCAAGTTCCTTTGTGCACAGGCCATGGTGGCCATGTCGAGCCTGATGCTGCGAATTTTTTTGTTCCTGGTTTTGTGGGGACAACCGGATCAAACGTAGAGGCTTAGCCATGCCAAAAGTAGGGGTACCTTATTAGGGGGTCCTTATAGTAGGGATCCTACTATAATTTAGGGTACTATATGAGGGTCCCCTGTCATCTTGTAGAGAGATCCGCACTTCGGTGATTCAGTGCTGCAGGGTCTGAGGGCGACTGTAAGGCTTACTAGGCTTGAGGGATTCAGGGCTTTGGAGATAAAGGATTCAGGCTTATAGAGTCCAGCCTTCTAGTATCTTCGAGTCTTAGGGCTCTCCAACAAAATCCCCTGACTCGGCAAGCAGTACTGAACTTCGAAATTATGTAGGGGCCTGGACAGGTAGAATAGGGTGGCATACTATAGTGTGACGATCATGGGGAACCCTAAGGAAACCTAATGACATGTCCCCTTACCTGAAAATGGACGATAATAGGGATCCAATTAAAGGGTGTTTATTGATCAGAAGCTTGCATTACGGAGCCTCAATTACTTTGACTGTTGTAGCATTATCTTGGGTGTCCGTTGGGACAACCCCCTACGAGAGCGCAGATGCTGAGTTCGCTTCTGGCTCTGTAACCCCAACAACGCTAAACCTAAACCTAAACCTAAACCCTAAACCCTAAACCCTAAACCCCTAAACCCCTAAACCCCTAGCCCTAACCCTAAACCCTAAACCCAACAAGAACCCCTAAACAGACTGAGGAAGCCTTGGCTCAGCCCGGCGCCTTCAAAAGCCGAATCCGCTGAGTTGCGAGACCGAGGACGGACAGCCTGGTCCGAGACAGGCCCAGGGATTCTGACGGCGCAAAACGGGTCCGTTTAGGGTTTGGGGTTCAGGGTTTAGGCTTAAGGTTTAGGGTTCAGGATTTAGGTTTAGGATATAGGGTTGTGGGTATAGGGTTTAGGGTTCAGGGTTGAGGGTTTAGGAACGGCGGAGCCGAATCACCAACCGGCAAGAACCCCCATGAGTTCAGGGATCTTATCGTAGTGAGTGCAAGCTGCACATGCCCGAAAGGGCTCCGAACCATGAATCCAAATGAGCCATTCTAAGATGCAGCTCCTACTGGAGCTACTTGGAGCTTCATGGGTAGTTACAAGTGGGGTTATAAGTCCCCTACTATGGGTTATAATTACAGTTACCATACTTATAACCCCTCTTGCAACTACCTACCCATGAACCTCCAAGTCTTCAAGGCTTGGGAGCTCGTAGGCTTCCGAGATCAGGTATCCCAAACTCTGCCAGACGCTCCTCCCACAGTCTGCAAGGCTGAGAATCTTAGGGGCTGAGTAATATAGGGGCCTTCATAATTGGCATAAGGTTGCGGGGTACATTATATTATAGTTATAAAATGGAAGCACCAAAATACTATTCTATTTATTGAGGCCGATAAATTACCCAGCCCAAAAAAGGTTAGCCGATCAATTGTGGCTACCTACGCGGCCGGAATCAACGGATCAATTTGACAGCAGAGGAACGCGCAACTCAACCCTAACCAACACTAACCTCAGCGCTCGACACTCTAAATCCCTTCAAACGTACCTCGAAACTCCATATACTGCTCCAAGAGCGATTTCTCGAGACCCAAGGCCTTCCTCGTGCCCCTGCATGGCCTGGAGTCACGAAGCCTCCCAACACCATCACGTTCCGAGGCTTCCTCCAAAGTGGCTGTATAGTTTAGGGTTTTGGGGTTCTCGGCACATGGCCCTTCTAGGGTCCCTGGCGCACAGGTGGGGCCATGTACGTTAGGGTGCGTTACTCATCCCTGATTCGGTTCTACTGGATGGCAGGCAGCGGTTTCACGATGAGTTTCTGCATCTTCGTCTTATCAGTGCTTCTTAGATCAGTGACTACCGCACTTGTCCCGGAAATTCTGGCAAGCTACCGGGTCTACTGAGTCTATTGTGCTTGGGCTTCCCATGTTGGGAGAGGACACCGCAAAGGACTCTCTGGGGGCTTCCATGTTTGGCGCTGATCGGGAACTCAGCAGACCACACAATACAGGGATCTTGAAAATTAGAATAGGGTTTTGGGGACCCCAAAATAGAACTAGCAATCATTTAAGCCCCCATAGTATTTACGGAAAATGTAGAGGTCGGACTCAACAGACCACATAAGCACGATGGGGAGGTCGGAATAAGCAGTACGTAGTCGCATGTGTTCCTTTGTGGTCCCTGTATACTTATGCTACGTATCATATACCCCACAACCCCATTCCGACTGTTCTATTCCGAGAGATTGTATGCTGGAAAACCCCTTGCAAGAACGCTCAAACAAGTCTGGAATCCCCCTTAGCAGGGCTGTTGTAACACACACAGAACTCTGAACCCCGTTAACAGGACTGCTGCAACCCAACGCCGAGGCAAGGGTAAGACGTGTAGCCTCTGTGTGGCCCATTCGTTCAAGACGAAAGTGAGATCCCTTAACGGTTGCTCTAAGGCGGTTTCGGGATTTAGGGTTTAGGGCTCCTTTGGCGGCTCCTTTAAACGGGGTTCCTTTAAGTACCCGAAGTAGCATACGGTCCCAAAGTAGGGAATCTACTTTTTGAATCCTTCCGGGGGTGTAGCAACACCGACCCTGAAGTGGAAACCTGCATGCCCCTGACTTCCTGCACTGGGCGGTCCTGAGGTGTAGAGTCCTCCTCCTCTTCCTCTTCCTCTTCCTTGCGATGGCGGATTTTTCAAGGTACGGTATCAAATATTCGGGGCGGAGGGTGTCCTAATTTCGGTCGATGTTGAAATCCTTTACGGATGTCTTCGTGTTCTCGATGCCGGCGTCGGCTACAGGACTGACTGCTTTTGCACCACTGCGGCTCGCCTCTCAATCGACACTGAAACTGACAAGTACTCGCTCTGGCCTTGAGGTGGGATCTCATCTCATTCCGTCAACGCTGTACAACTCGAAACTGAATCTACATAGCCCTATATGGCAGAGGATTTCGGGTTAAGGGCGCATGCCATGTTTGGATTTCTGCACTGTGCTGCTCTGTGCAGATGGAAGGTGTGGTGTCCGGCGTGGTCCTTAGGGTGTCCTGTCTGTCCGACTTCGATTTTCTTCCGATGACAGAAAGTTAACTTTACGCCTTGCCTCCAAACCAATATCTAGGGTTTAGGGTTTAGATGCATGAATGAAAACCACATATCTCGAACTTTAGCTGCACATCGCCGAAAGCCACGGAACAAACGCCCTCCCTGAGTCCCGAGCACACTTCTCTAAACCTCCGACCCTCAATCCTACTTTCTAAACCCAAACCCCACTCCGAACCCTCAACCCCTAAACCCCTAAACTCCTAAACCCTAAACCCCAAAAAACTCAACTGCTCAAAACTGCTCCTGGGCCGGTATTGGAAGAGCATCCGCTGCGAAAGCCTAGCAAAACAGGGGGGGCACTGGGCTTTAGGGCTCAGGGCCCCAACACTTCGAATTCAGGGCTTCGGGCTTCTTTGGGGTTCAGGGCTCAGGGCTCAGCGTTTGGTCCAAGCTGTCAAACCTAAATTGCATCGGGGAATTGAAAGCTTACAGTATAACCAGTTGTATAAGGACTAGAGGGATACTATTGTGGTAATTCTTCCTTACCCAAAATAGTTGCTTTCTGGGTTTGTCAACCTGTTCTATCGCATTGTCGTAACCTATGAAATCCATACCGTACGAAGGCGGTGGACATTAATGCCAAAACTTATCATGCAACGCATCATCCACAGCAAGGAGCTGAATGGAACCCCACCATTTTAGTTTAGGTCCCCCATGTATTTGAGAGTCCCAAACCTATGAAGAGCATACGACGCATGTATAGCCCCACAGCCCTCGGCCCCTTTCAGAGTGGTGATCACTATAGGCCATACACCCGCACAGCAGCACAAACCACACGGAACACCCGGACGTTCAGTATTCAGGTGTTCTAGAAGAGCGCCTCGTGGGGTGTCCTTGTCTCTATCATGCTGTAGGATTCGTTTATGGAGCCTTGGCCCCGCTTCGGCGCGACAAAAAGCTGACCTGAATTTTCAGCTCTAGACCCCGAACCCGAACCCCGAAATCCTGAACCCTAATCCCTGCCTCATCCACAATGGCCACTTGTTCGGGCAGCTTCGAGCGAAGAGCCTGGCGGTCCCCAACTTCCACAGCTCGAGGGTTGAGGGTTCAGGGCTATTTAGGCTTGGCTTTTAATTCCGGGGTTTAGGGTGGATAAGGCTGCTTAATCGTCGGGTTTAGGGCTGAGGGTTGATAGGGCTCAGGTCAGACAGCACGGCGTTTTGGGTTTCGGTCTGATGGGCTTTCTTCTGCAGGAGTCTCGGGGCTGATAGTTTGTTGGTGCAGGTGTTGGCGAGATGCCGCTTTGGGGTTATCAGCATGGCACCATGGTCTTACAGGCGAACGACGCACTCAGCCTGTGGCAAAGCTAGGGTTTCCATTTTCCACGTTAACTCAGGCTTTCCGCATTTGCAGTTCATCAGGAGCAGAAACCTGTCTAATCCTGGTGGGTGTGGGTAGACGGGTGCATGCATGCATGGATTCCTGGGGTGCCGTACGCTCTGTGCAGCATCTCAGCCATCGTTGGGTCTCTTCTCGCCGAGGGTAGTATACAGAGACGGGTTTGGGGGTATGTTTTCGCAATGAGGAGCTGTAGGGCATACTACAGGTATTATGCAGGCTTCACATTCAGGTTCCAGCGAATGCTGCTGTAAACTCCATCCCACAGCCCCAACTCAACGGCCCGAATAATTCATCAACTAGGCCGATGAAATGATATAATGGCGATAAGGGAATACAGACACAAATTATTCGGACCCCAGCATCACTGCATGTTCCCTTCACTCAGGCACTGCGTTCTGCCTGTAGGCCGGTGGCAAGCCTCGGATCCCTGGGCGAGAAAGGCGCCTCGGACGAAACCAGGGTTTGCGGATGAGCGGCGACGAGAATTATGACGGCTGATGTTTAGGATCATCACCAAGATGGTCGGGATGATGACCCTGATGTTGGTGAAGCATGTGATGGTTACGGCAATAATGGTGATGATGCTGCAACTGATGAGACTGATGATGATGACGGTGATGATGATGCGAATGACGCCGATCAGGATGCCGATGATGATGCCCAAGAAGAAGAAAATGTGAAGATGACGAGGATATGACGATCCTGCGGCGGTCATGGTGATGACACGGCTCAGATGCTATTGGCATGATGACGAAACAAAGCCGTAGCGTCATACTAGGATTACCTGGTCATGAGGTAATTACCAGCATGTATACTAGTAGGGCTTATTCGTAGTCTCGATCACCATTGTCTCGTCGTCGATCCGATGTCACCTGGCTTAGGGCGTGGGGTTTGGATGGCTTGAGGGTTTACTCTTGAAAATTCTCGACTGGGCCCCCAGCAATGAGGCACTTCAGCAGTGGCTCGCCCTCGCATAACCTGAGCAGAGGCCGGGGCATCAGAAGCATTGCGAAAGAATTCTGGAGGGCTTAGGACTTCAGCTTACATGTCCAACAGTCAACCTCTCTGATTTTGCCGGTGTTCTAAGAATCTCCTGCCGGCTTAACGAATTCGCTGACGATGTATTACGAACAGTGCTATCCGTAGAAAAGAGAGCAAGAAAACCTACTGGTGGCATTATACGGGAATCTGCTCAGCAATCAGCAGAACCTTGAACCTCAATCCCTTAACACAAACCGTTATACAGATTTACACCCATGACCTAAAGCCCTAAATCCCTTGATCCGAAACTTCCACCTTAAACCTACAGCCTCAAAACTTGCACCCTAAAGTCCTGAAGCCTGAACCTTAGAAGCTGAACCATGGTTGCACCGGGTACAAGGTTTTGTTGGGCTTAGGACCCAGGATGTTAGGGTTTAGGTTTTAGGGTTTAAGGTGTAGGATATACTTTCGAGAAGCAAATATGTACGCTGTTTTGGGGGTTGAAAGTGCCTTCGCAGCCACAGCTCTGTTCATCACTACAGTGATTGAGTGGGACAAGGCTTGAGTATCTAAGAAAGCCAAGCAAGCCTGGACTACCCCAGACCCTACAAAACCCAAAACCCGCAAGTAAACGTTTGATACACCAAGCCCCGCAAGACACACTCCGTGGAATTCGCAGGGTCGTAGGATCTACGGTTTCTAGTGTGCTGGATTGTTTTAGGCTTGGAGTTTAGGTCGTAGGATAATAGGGTTGAGGGATTGGGGTCTAAAGGTTTCAAGTTGATAGAACCGCCCCTGAACCGGAGCCGTCTGGGACGAATGCGTTGCGTAGTAGTCGATGAGCTGCCCCTGTCACGCACTAAACCCTAAACCCTAAACCCGATGCGATGGAGTCTCTGAGGCAGGGTTTCGGGCTCGGAGTGCTGTCTGAAAGCCCTCACCCCTTAAATCCTAAACCCCGGCCCAACTCCCCGCAACCCTAAAACGCTAAACACTAACCTCATACCCTGAAGCTCCAGAGACTCACGCCTCAGGCCTGCAACCCAACAAAAAGCCACCACAACAACTACATGCCTGGCTTAGATTGCTTTAGTTCAAGGCCGCGACACATGTGGCCCAGACAGACCTGAAAAGCCTAGACAGACCTGAAGAGTCGCAAGACCCATGTCCAGCAAACAAACCAGAGGTAACCAAGAATCTCAAAAGGCTCACTTGGAGGTTCATGGGTAGTTATACGTGGGGTTGTAAGTCCGCGAATATGGGTTATGATAGCAGTTACCATACTTACAACCCCACTTGTAACTTCCCATGAACCACCAAGCAGTAGAGCTATAAACACCATAGTCACTTGTAACACAAATTAAGGTACTTTGCAACCTTACTTACCAAGACTCCAGGCCAGACCCAGGATCTTCTATACATTCCAAGACCCCTCCGTGAACACGAAACCCTAAACTCAAAACCCTAAACTGCCCTGCTCCCTACACGGCCCTATACCTATGTGAGGCACCTGGTCCATCTTCGTCCCCTCCGCGAAGCTGTAAACATCGCCTTCTGCGTCGTACGCAGCATCTGCGTCGAGATGCCTTGCGGAACAATAGACTCAGCAGAAGGCTTTTCGGTGTCAGTCGGCGGATTTAGGGTGTCGTTCAGAGTTTGGGCTTTCGGTACCCTTCGAAGTATGATGCAAGCCTGACAGCGACAGACTGGACGTCAAAGTACCCTGTCTGTGGCTCCCCCGGTCGCGCCCCACAAAAGAGGTGTTTGTTCATCTGCGCACGACTTCCTACATTACCCAGGAACCGCTGCTGGCAATGACCCTATATATTCACTGACAGGCTTGCAGGGCCAAGTCGCACTGAGAAGTAGACCGAGGACTGCTGCTGCTCCTGCACGTTCGGATCCAAAACTGCGAATCTACACCCTGGACGCACCACACGAGCCTGAATAATATCATACTTAGCTGCTATCACTAATTACTCTGATGCTACATTGCGCCCCCCCTAAATTGAAGCCTCCGAGTAGGCAACACTTGAGTTTCTTTGCTGCTGGAACGCGCATCTTGTTACATTCCCATCTCTCCAAATGTACAAGTGTACAGGAACGCAGTATCAATATACATATTCATGTATCTCCAGATTTGTTTCTTTACCTGTGTATACAGCCAGCCAGGCAGCCAGACAGCCAGCCACACAGACACACGGACACACAGACACACCTATACCCCCCTTAGAACCATAATTGAAATACGCTGTTTGATATTCTCTTGGTTTTTATATGAACAAAAATAGAAAATAATTCCTAAGGAGACTATAGACACAGACACACACCAGAACAAGAGCGGGCTCCTCTTGAAGCAAGACGATCGGATCCTTCTCCGACTCCATCGACTCCTTAGCCAGGCGCCGGGAGAGACTTGATAAAGAGGTCGCCTTTCCTCCTTATCTGGACCCTAAGGAACCTAGATTTTTTAGGTTCCTCATTGTGATTTCATTATACGAGTCCTTGAAGTAAGGTAGGTTATTTGGGGTTAAGGTAGGGCTTGCGGTTTGTGACCCGGACCTCCAGGGTGCTTTTGAGTTTCTTGGGAGTGGTGTAGGTTGAAGGGCTGCAAGATAAGGCTTCGTGACGTAGAGGGCTCCTGCGATGAGGTCCATGAATGTCCTGAGCTTCAGGGAAAATCTGAGTTTCATATGCGGGCTTCTCACTGTAGGGTTGCCTCGAAGAGGCCTGTTGGGAGGGAGTTCGGGAAGTCAGGGTCTCTTGTTGTTGGGACTTATCAGAACTATCCTACCTCATTGGTTCGGGGCTCAAGAACTTTAGCGTCTACATCAGGGTTTCCTGATTTTTGAAAAACCGATTTGGTTCCTTGAAGAGCCCCGAAGGGGGACCCAAATTTGGCACACACACACACACATACACGCACCATTTCTAGCGCTCTGCAGCTTCCATTCCTCATGCTTTCCGTGCTTGAACCGGGTGCTGTGAATGTCTGCTGAGACGGTGCCCTGTTTACCGCACAGCCAGATTCTAGGACTGCCAGAAGCTCTGATTAGGAAAAACGGCATTTCCACACCCCTAAGTCTCTAAACCCTAAACCCCGAACCACTAAGCCATGGACCCGAAACCCTAAACCCTAAATGCCAAATCCTACTCCGCAAACCACACGATCATGAACCCCCATGCCGCTGAACTCTGCCTACAAAACACAGACAAAACTCGTCGTCCGATTCGGCATCCATAGCTTCCTCCACACAAAGCAGAAAGGGGCTGAGTCTCAGAGCTACGGTGGGTCTAGCAGTCTAGGGGAAGCAAAGGCGCCTTAATGAATAGGGTCTTGAGGGTATTTTATGAAGTAAGGAACTCTGATGGCTGCTATTAACTATGCAATACTAATCATTCAAGGCCGTACATAGAGACCAGCAGGGGAGGTGGGTTTGTAAAGAGGGGTCTACGTGAGCATTCAGGGAGGCCTCAAAAGCACCCCGAAAGGGATACGGACGAACTTCTTGACAACTTGAGTAGGGTCTCCGGGCCCGTCATGGTGGGAATAGATAGCTGAATATAACTATAGAAATATAATCTTATGAATAGGCATATTCATATTTTTCATAAATGTGTATATGTATGTGTATATATATGTAGAGAGAGAGAGAGAGAGAGAGAGAGAGAGAGAGAGAGAGAGAGAGAGAGAGACAGACTTGGACTAACTATGAATATAAGGGGATATCACTGACAACTTATTCCGTCCGCCATGTTGAACCGTTGAACCCTGCATGCCTAAAACACGAGCCCTCCCGAAACCACAAACCCTCCACTTAAACCCCAAGCCCTAAACCCCTAAACCCCTAAACCCCTGAACCCCTAAACCCCTAAACGCCTAATCATATCCCCTAAACCGCAAAGCCCTAAACCCCTTAAACCCCGAGTACCCCGAAAACCCCTGAACCCTTAAACCCCTGAACCCCAACCTAAAATCCCCTAAAAATCGAAGCTCTCCTGGCTCTGAGACTTCGCGAAGCGCGCGGCCGCGGCGGCTTTCTGGCGCTCGGCGAATTCTGGCAAGACGGAGTCGGATTGGGATTATAGGGTTTAGTAGTTTCGGGTTTCGGGTTTCGAGTATAGGGTGTAAGATTGAGAGTTTAGGGCTTCGGGTTCAGAGATTGGGCTTTAGCGTTTGCAGTTTGGGTTCAGGGTTCGGGGCTTCGGGTTTTATTGTTTAGGGTTTAGGGCCGAGGGCGAGTCTACCTCTTGCAAGTGTGTCTGCAGGATGAAGTTTACCTCCATCTGAGACACATTCACCCTACAAAACCAAGCACCCCTGCAGCCTTCCGACACAGAAAAAACTCTCCACTCAGCCCCTGACATTCCGCTGTCCATCGCACAAAAGCTCTTCGGCACGGCTGCGAACTGGAATGTCCGAAACTGCAACGTTCCTTGAAGGGTCCCGCGTTCAATCTGTACCAGTGCCCAAGCTAGCAAACGACCGAGGAAACCACAAGGTCACCCAAGGTAACTATGGAATTGCCTTGCCTGCTGTTGCAATCTCCTTCAGGCGTGTCTCGTTCAACACCTGCCCCGAAGCTTTAGACAGTCTGTGAAAGCAAAGATGACTGTGACTGTAGAATGACATGTCATATGGGGAAAGGTCTTCAAGACATTACAGTATTATAGCATGATGGTATTGGAGCTATAAGGGCATATCATTACAAAGCATTCTGACTTCTCTGTCTGGGTCATTCTTCAGGTCACTAAAGAAGCCAAAGCTTTAGACCTAGGGCGGCATCAGTGACTCGCGGTTCTGCTGCAGAGATCCAAGCATCTTGAGACTTACTGGTGGAGTCGGTAGGCATCGTCGGCTTCACAGGAAAGACAACTACCTGGCATCTGAAATATCAGAGGGCGATTGAAATCGTTAAGACGTCACCTCAAACTGCTAAACTGCGAAACCCTAAACCCCTGAACCCCTGACCCCCTATTCCCCTGAACCTCTAAACCCTAAACCCATGAACCCTACATCTGTCGCAACGTCGCACAACACCGAAATTGCTCTCTCCGGCCCTTTCAAGCAGCAACGTCTCCACACAAAGGCACCAGAAGCACAGAGGAGCCCCGGCCCTTCTCCCATGCACTCTAGGGTTTAGGGTTTAGGGTTTAGGGTCCAGTGAAGAGTGCAAAGTAACTAGGCCCTACACTGCCCTAGAAGCATAAACCTCACATCGAACTCTTCCAAAGCTCTTACAAGTAAGTACCTCAGGACCTTTAAAGAGTCCCCGAAAGCCCACAAAACTCTGTATTGCCCCGGAGCCGGAAGTCTGAGTGAGCCACGTATTTGGGAAGCGTGGCGTTCATCTGTTTCCTGGCGCAGAGCATTGAAGGGCTTGGGGGCTTGGGGAGTGTGGGGATTCAGAACGGCTGAGGGGTTTTTATAAGGGTGTTAACACCGAGGATACGGTTTTAGGGCATAAATATAGTCTACCATATTTACAATACGGAACTCCAATAAGGGATGATATTATTCAGGCCCTGAACAGAGGAGGAATCAAGGCGCTGGCAAGCCACTCGAACACCCAAAAGAGTCCCAAAACATTTGCAGACAGGGCTTCCCTGATTCGGGTTTCTTTATCGATTCGGCTGTTGAGCCCTTCGTCCAGACCATGTGCTGACGAGGGCCTCTGGCATTGACCCTTCAGCTGTACGGACCTGCTGCCTTTTAGGGTACCCTGGGTATCCTGGGGGGTGCCTCTATAATACGCTAACACTACTCTATCGTAACCCTGAAGCCCTATAAGGTTTTCGCCGAGCTTTGCAGAAAACACCAACTTAGACGAACCCCAAGTTCCCTCTCCCTCAACGGTGAAAGAACTTTCGAGCTCCGTACATCTGGCGCAGGTTCTTCCACAGGAATCGTAGCTGTACGCCACCAGGATACCAAGGCAGCTTCAGCAAAATTTGCGAACCTTTGTTCTGCTTCCTTCGATCAGTCGTGGCTTAGACTTGCAAAGCCTGGTCTTGACCAAGCCGCAACACCCGAGGATTCCAAAGCCCCTCGATAACCTTGAAATTCGTGTCTCTTTTCTGTTCTCTGGCATTCAAGCGATTCCAAGACCACAAGGAGCTTGTCCACATACCTCCGGGAGGTGCAGACCCGGCGCTTTGTTGCGACGACAGCGAAGAGAGCGCCGGAGCCGTGGCAGGTCGCAAGGAAGGGATCAGAGCACTCAGACGCTTCCTCCGCATCGTAAGGCTCCTCTGTTCGCGGTTCTGTAGGGCTGTAAGGTAAATCAATCTAAATATACTAGTTAAGACTATATGAAGATCTAATGCTTAGTTTCATGCTTCCCTTCACAAACGCTCCTCTAAGAGCTGACGAAACTGGGTGGTCGTGAGCTGCTGCACATGCTTCGTTGCACACTCGGCGAGCAGAGGAACAGCTTCGTCGAAGGGCAAACGGCTCAGGGACGAAGGAAACATCGTACACGCAGCCTCGACAATCGGAAGCTGAACCTTCTTCCCAATGGAACACTGAGAGAGCATCCGGGTGGTCAAGACCACCTGGCCCAGGGAGTTCAGTCGCAGCTGTTCGGATGGGAAGCGTTTTACTCCAACTTTTGCAGCCATATCCGAGCAGTAGAGGCCCCAGTAATCCTCAATATCACGTCTGACCTCTTCCGGTAGCCCCTGGAAGAGTCCCAATGGTGGCTGTGGAGCAGCCCGGCGGGGGCGCACTGCCTGCATCTCCTCGGTCTCCTCGGTTTCGGCTGGTGGCACTGTGGCGGCTGTGGCGGCGGCTGCAGTCGCCGTCCCACCCCGCTTGGAAAGTACTGCTACGAAGAAGCCGCCGTGGTGGGCATCCTGGCTGGTGGGCAGCACCCGGCGGCACTTGCGAAGCTGCTCCGCTTGAGAGTCCGAAGGAGGGAACATGGATTCTAAGGCCCACTTCTGAGCCTCTGAGCACGCAGAAAGCTCTGCATAAGAGGAATACATCGCACCATCCTTCTCAAAGTGCATGCCTGGTACCTTCCAGGTGGTCAACCCTTGCTGGAACTCCGGGCCCTCGGCCTCTTCCCAGGACTCCACAAAAGCACTGGGAAACTCTTTCAGCAGTGCCGCCACAACCGCCTGATCTTCGATTGGGAGTTAGGGTTTAGTTTCGGGCTTAGGGCTTAAGGTATATGCGGTTTAGGATTTAATTAAGGCTTCAGCTTTTGGTTTTTGGGGGCAACCGCCTCATCTTCGATTGGGTTCAGCGAGCATGTGGAGTAGACCAGACGTCCCCCGGCTTCAAGGCATTCGAAGCCTTCAAGGACAAGGCGGAAACGCTTGACCCCCTTACACCCTATAAGCCCCTAAGCCGTAGCGAAGCCTCGCCGAAGAAGGCCTACTTGGAGGGTGTGAAGAGTCAGCGCTTCCCCAACACACCATGTGCGCCAGTTACCCGGATTCTTCCGCAGAGTGCCGTCCCCAGAGCACGGTGCGTCAACCAGCACTTTCCTAGTTCGGCGGTGTTTCAGGGCGCCAGAACAACCCTACGAATAGGTACCTCGAAGAGGCCATTAGGGAAATGACACTTATGCCAAATTACCACCTAAAGTTTCTGGAACTTGATCTTGTATCCGTTTCTGCGCCGCAGAGACGGAAACTTTCGTCCATCACAGTTTGTGACCATCAAGCTCTGCTTTCCTCGTCGTCTGCAGCGCTGGGCCACAACCACCGCCCTGGGCCGGGAGTAATCGTTGGCGACCAAGAGGCCTTCTGATTCGCCTTTGCCTGGGTTGTAAGGGCTTTAAACTAGTTCATGGTTGGGACTGGGATAGGATTCAAAATTCAAGTTGTTATTCCTTATTGGGTTTAAGTACCCATAATGATGTAAAATGTTACCCAACTATGACAAAGTAAAGGCATTGAGGTTTTGGGTTTACGGCCTGGGCTCTTCATATTGATGCTATAGAGGCCTTAACAGCGAGAATCGGGGTTGGGGTTGTATTTCAGCATGTTTCAAGCAAGGAACCCCAATAAATTGTGTTAATAATGATTGAGGCTTCTATGTTGTTTGGCTTCGGCCTTACGTAGGGTTTTTAGGAACTGAGGCTACCTTTCATGAGTCGGTTTTGCCTCATCGCAAAAGCTCGATAAATTTCTGACCAGGAACCCCAATACAGAGCCCCGAATCACTGGTAATAGTATCCGTGTAAGGCCCTTTCTACTTCTGATAGTATATACCTCAAAACCAATCTCAGGTGCTTGTCATGATGTCCAAAGTTTGCAAGGTCTTGGACCCTGGTGAAGCACAAAGGTCGAGCACGGAGTCCTCACCCAACAACACACGCTCTGAGCGCCAAACTCGAGACCCCATCATCATACCCCCCAAATCCCTAAATCCAAAGCCCTGCATGTTAAGTCTAAGCCCAACAAACCTAGACCAATTCCATAATCGTCACCAGCGCCACCATGACTTTCGGAACCGCATATTATCGCAGGGTTTCTACTGACGGTTGATACGTCAGTGCTTGTGTCAGTCTTGCAGTGGACGGCATGCCTGCGGCGAAGGTTGCCCTTCGGCCTGCTTATGGCGACCCGATTTCCTTTCTCCCACCCCGCGCCGTTATGAGGCGGCACATTACCCAGACCTATTCCATGTAGGGTTTAGGACGTTAGAACTCAAAACACAATGTCCGAAACAGGTAGGCAGGTCCCAGTATATGTCTCTGCAGTCGTCAGCACCCGCCGAAAGGGGCAGCCGGACAAAATCCCTAAACCCTAAACCCTAATCCCCAGTCCTCACTACCCACATCGAGAGCAAGGACTGGCAGAGTGCTCGCCCACTCCTGGCGGTGGAGTGCACCAATCCTGGGCTCCAAAATGATTTAGGGTTGAGGGACGAGGGAAATAAACAGTCAGAACAACTATCTAAATGTTTATTGCTTCACAGCTGTCCCAACTATACCATTAAGATGCTAAACCGATCATTCTTGTTGCTATGGTTGCAACTATTGGTAGTTTAGTCACAGTCGCAGTCCTGCTGCTACTACTACGACTACTGCTACTACTACTACTACTACTACTACTACTACTACTACTACTACTACTACTACTACTACTACTACTACTACTCCTGCTACTACTACTACTACTACTACTACTACTACTACTACTACTACTACTACTACCACTACGACGACTACTACTATCGCTACGACTACGACGACGAGTACAACGACGACGACTACTTATGATGCTACTTGTATGCTAAAGTATAGCAATCCAGAACCCTAAACCCCCCAATCCTCAACGCCAAAACCCCCAAACCCTAAGCCGCCTAAACCATAACCCCAATAAACCCAAAACCCTATACTCTACGGCCCTACTAAACCCTAAACCAAGGATCTCTTGAGCAGCGGCCAAAAAGGCGCTGGCCTCGGAGTCCAAGCGAGACGGCAGCATCCAGCAATGCGACAGAAGTGGCCTGGGTTTAGGGTTTGGGGATTAGGGTTTCAGGTTTTAAGATAGCTCAAAAGGAAAGCACACTTTTGTCGCATATCCCTAATGATGATAATTTGGCTAAGTGCGGAAAGCAAAATATTTACCATCTATTCTGATTATGTTCACCTCACGTTAATGCAGTTCCTTAACACGAAACCCAATGGCAGGGCTTGTGCTTGAGTCATCTCCAACAGCCTCGACTCCACCGCCATGCCGATTGCGGAGTTCGAGATGCGCACCACAAGGGGCAGGGGCTTCATCAAGGCTTCATAGGCCTGATCTTCACTAAATTTACGAAAAAGACCCACTATATAGTTAGAATAGGGATCTTTCAATCTGTTATCAGCTTACATTCCTGACCCCAAACCCGAAACCCTAAACGTTGAAGGCTAACGCCTATAACATACCATAGGGGCCTCAAAACGTGAATAAGGTTTTGGCACCCAATATACTAAACTTTTTGATTAATTAGGAACATCCAGAATAGGTAAGTATTAAGGCCCGTATAGTATTCCTTCATATTGTGTTTACTATTTATCCATAGGCCTGCTCCCAGACCCGCTCCGGCGCAATGTGCTGACAGGCCTCAAGCACCAAGTAGCATTCGACAACTACGCCAGGGTATACGTATATTATATATATATATATATATATGAATGCATGTATAAACACATGCATACGTACACGTGCGTATGTATGTGTAGATGTGTAGATGAGTATATAGTCGATATGTTGCTTTGTTTGTTGATCCATCAATAGAACCGGCATGGGACAGGAACTAAGAAGTCCTTTGGGCTTCCGAGCATGTCGTGGAACAGTAACACTTTCTGGGATATGGACCCTGAACTCGGTTCGGTTTCTAAGGCACATAGTAGGAGTGCAGCGTCTGATTCCCGAACTCTGTCGGAAAGCCCGGAGTGTTCTGGCCAGGTTCCGGCGTTTCCAGCAGCGGCCGTATTTTCGCCTCTAGCTCTTCATCGCTGGCGTCGTCGTGACCGCTGTCCTTCATTGAACTCTCTGCGGTTCATAGTCGTAGTCAATCTAGAGCCCAACACCCTAAACCCGGAACCCTCTCCTTCAAGTGTTGAAAGAGCTGATTCCGCGACGTGAAGAGCGCTGCACAAACCCGGCAAGTGCGCTGCTCCCGGCTTGCTGGCTGCACCTGCAAGAGGAAGTCCAAATGAACCACTCCACAGTCGTCCACCGCATCCTGGGTTCTTGCTGAGGAACTTTTATCAAGTTGTCATGACAAGAGATGCTGTCTTTATGTGTGCAGGTGTATATATGCGGACGCTAAACCAAATATGTCTGCGTATCTCTGTATCTATCCATCTCTCGCTCTCGCTCTCGCTCTCGCTCTCGCTCTCGCTCTCGCTCTCGCTCTCGCTCTCGCTCCCTCTCCCTCTCCCTCTCCCTGTCCCTCTCCCTCTCCCTCTCCCTCTCTCCCTCTCCCTCTCCCTCTCCCTCTCCCTCTCCCTCTCCCCTCTCCCTCCCTCTCCCTCCCTCTCCCTCCTCCCCCTCTCCCTCTCCCTCTCTCCCCTCCCCTCTCTCTCCCTCTCCCTCTCCCTCTCCCTCTCCCTCTCCCTCTCCTCTCTCTCTCCTCTCCCTCTCCCTCTCGCTCTCTCTCTCTCTCTCTCTCTCTCTCTCTCTCTCTCTCTCTCTCTCTCTCTCTCTCTCTCTCTCTCTCTCTCTCTCTCTCTCTCTCTCTCTCTCTCTCTCTCTCTCTCTCTCTCTCTCTCTCTCTCTCTCTCTCTCTCTCTCTCTCTCTCGCTGTATGTATGTACGTATGTATGTATGTATGCACTTATGTATGTATGTATGCATGTAGTTAATTCTGTATGTATGTGTGTACGTACGTACGTACACACACACACACACCGAACTCTATGATGAATTAAGCTCCGCAACCTTCATCGCTTGTGTTAGCTCCTCTTGACCGTGGATGGTGAACTGAAGCCCGTCCAGGTCTCTCCAGCGAAGAACCACAGTGGTTTCGTCCACCCCACGGGTCATGAGGGCCTGGATTGGGTTTCGGTTTTGGGGTTTCGGGTTTAAGTGATTCTGCAGCAATCGAAAATAGAAACAGCAAACTGCCATCTCACATGGTGTGCTCAAAGGTGTGGATGCAAGATTCAAACATGAAGCAGTGAAGCAGCACTCCTGTTCTATGGTAAACCACCCAAGCAAAATCAACTAAACCAAGTCCTGTACTCTACACAGTATATCACCAAGAGGAAAAAGGCGGGCTCAGGGTTCATGGGTGTGGGGCTTAGGGCTTAAGTCTTCTACTCCAGAACTGCGGTTTGGGCCTCTTGAAAGCGCATCACAGCTTGGGACCGGAGCTCCTCGTGCTTGGGGAGGCATCGGATGCTGTGCACCTCCCTCTCATGTGCTCCCTCCCGCCGTAGCGTCACCTCTGGGAATTTTAGGATTTAGGGTCCAGCGCTAAACCCTAAGCCCTCAACCTGAAGTTGGGTTGCTGCTGGGAGTTTTAGGATTTAGGGTTTGGGGTTTAGGGTTTGCCGTAGGTTGTATAGCTACCGTAACTACCTAGTAGGGTTGTTCTATTTCGGTATTCCCACACCAAATCACAAGTGCACCGCTCCATGTCATAAGGAGCGCTATCTGCACCACCAACATCCGAACACATAATACAACGGCCTCAATAATTAGAATACGGCTTTAAGGGCCCATTGTACTATAATTACCATAAGGGACCCCCAAAATAGTATAGGTACCTATTCAGGCCCCCACAGTACCCAACGGCGCCTGGAACTCAATGAGCTGGTCCACCATCTCAGCGGCGCCACCCGTCGCGGCGCAATGTAAGGCAAAGAGCGACGGCTACATGCAAGTGCTGAGTATATCTGTGGCTCCAATTTCCGACCTATTCTGGGGCAGCAAACATAAACTGAAACCTATACCCTGAACACTGAACCCTAAAACCCCCCTCCAATCCTCCTTAAACCCTCCCTAAACTCAAAACCAACAACCCTAAACCTAAACCCTCCCTAAGCACGAAACCCTGAAGGTGTTTAGGCTTCAAGTTCGACACAAGACTATACTGAACTTAGAACCCTAGCAAAAAACGATGGCTACCGGCCTCTTGCAGTCAGAGCCTTGGGATGTGCCGATTGCGAGGATGAGGGCTTTAGGGTTCAGAGTAGTATGCTTAAGATGTATGGCTTATATAGGGTCTACGGTGAAGTTAGTGCTTCTGGCTTGCAGGGCTGAAGGATGTTTGGGGTTTAGGGTTTGGGGCTTCAGGCTTATGGTTTAGCTTAGGGCTTCGAGGGTTTGGGGCTCAGGTTTTAGGGTTCAGGGCTTCAGGTCTACAGTAGAAGCCAGAAAGTTGGAACATGATTATCCTCGTGCCCTTAAGGTAAAGCGTCCCAGCACTAGTCATCCTAGACCCATGTTCCAACTGTCTGGGATTTGCTTTAAGGTTTATCGGAGGCCTCGAAAGGTGGGATGAAGGTAGGTAGGAAGAAGGATCCCTTATATAAGGACTCTTGTTTGGCAATATTCCACCTACCTTCATCCCACCTTGGGAGCCCTCAACCCTAAACAACCCTAAACCCTTAAACCCCCAAACCCTAAGCCCCCAAAACCCTCAGCCCTAAAACCTAAACCCTCACCTAAACCCTAAACCCCCAAACCCTAAACCCCTAAACCCTAAACCCCAAAACCCTAAACCCCCAAACCCTACACCCCTAAACCCTACACCCCTAAACCCTACAAGCTTAAAAGGCTCAAAGTCTGAATGCTGGGAGCCCTCAACCCTCAACAACCCTAAACCCTTAAACCCCTACACCCCCAAACCAGCTTAGGGCTCAAAGTCTACACCCCTAAACCCTAAACCCCTAAACCCTAAACCCTCAAACCCAAAAAGCTTAAAAGGCTTAAAGTCTGGATGCCGGACGCCTCAGTGAGCTCAACGTTCCCACGAAGTCCTCCCCGTCCTCGAGGCTCCCGGGGCCCACCTGCACTGACAAGTCGAGGATGCGGCGTTGAGCTCTTAGGGCTTAGGGTTTAGGGGTTTAGGGGTTTGGGGGTTTAGGGGTTTGGGGGTTTAGGGTTGAGGGTTTAGGGTTGAGGGTTTAGGGCTGAGGGTTTGGGGCTGAGGGTTTAGGGCTGAGGGTTTAGGAATACCTTCGGTGGTACGGCCTTCAAGATTAAGGGCCTTGATGATCGGGTCCTGAAACCCGCAAGGCATACTCCCAGCACTATTCAGGGTCCAGTCGAGAGTTGCAGGTATCAGTATCATCCTTGAAAGAGCTACTCTCCGTCATCTCCACCTGCGGATGCCTATACCTCACGAAAGCGACAAGAGCAGAAGGACTTTCTCTTCGACAAACGACCCGGGAAACCTGCACTCAAGCCGTGAATCTCTCAAAAAAAACCCTCGAAACCCTGAACCCTCAACCCTAAGCCCTCAACTGGACCTAGTTAGACCCTTACGGGGTATACGGCCGAGCTGGATCATCTAGTATGAAACCCAGAAATCAAAGCAACCACAAATAGTGAATAGATACTCACAACCGCAAGTCGGGTCTATATGATCCTGACTAACGCAAAAGTAGTGATAAACTACTTGAACAGCTCCCGGTCTTGGTGGGCTCGGCAGTACAGTAAAAGCCAGAAAGTTGGAATATGGTTATCCTAAACCCTTTATGGTAAATTATAGGGTATCCTATCCTGAAACCATATTCCAACTTTCTGGAGTTCCCTTTAGTGTCTAGGGCATATAGTGCCTGCAAGCAGTAAGAAGAAGACACACGCAACCACGCACTTCTCAGCTCACGCAAGGAAAAGGCTGCTCGCACTCAGGCCCCGGGGGAGCATTTGGGGAGCGAGGTCCCCCAACAGCCGGTGCAGGAAAATGGTGCCGATGATGACTCTCTTCACGTGGCGGTCTTCAGCTCGGCCTCAAGGGAGCTAAGCCTCTCCTGCGCATCATCGTAGAGGTCCCCGTACCACCGCTCCGTGTACATAGCCTGCGCGTCGAGATTCTCGCGTGCTTGCTTCAGGAGCTCGCTGGCCTCCGATGTTCTTCCGTCGATGATCGCCACCGACGCTTGCTCCAGCTGAGCCCCCTTCTTCGCCACCCTCATGCCGGCGAGGAACCAAGGCTTCCCCACGGGGCAGTCTACCTCGGCCCGGCTGGTGACCTTGATGACCTCGTCCCAGTTCTTATCCATCACTAGGCACAGCACATAGCCGGTGTAGCAGGACTTCAAGGTCTCGTAGTCCACCTGGCTGACGCCCAAGCTGTCGAAGTAGATTCCCATGGCCTCCTGGTACTTCTCCTTCGCGGCCGCGACGTCCTTGGGCAAACGAGTCGGGCAGCCCTCGGGGAAGTCCGGGTCGGTCGGGTGCAGCTGGAGGGCCTCCCGGACAAGGCTTTCGAAGCCCTCCGCCATGGCGCTGAGGGGCTGAGGTCCCTAAGCGAAGGGTTCGCACACCCGCCGGAACTCACAATTGAGCCTCTGCACGACGATATGTCTGTTTTTTATTACGAATAAAACATAGTAAAACAGAACCCTCCTTTACTAAGAAGTCCAATGGAGATCCTCGGAGACAGGAGGTTTGCAATCAGGGATCCACATGCCAGGGCTTCGAGGTCAAAAGCGTTGCCTAGGCTGAAAGTGTTGGCTTTGCTTTCTGAACATCGGAAACGGATTTAGGGTTTCGGGTGGCTCTTCATTTTCGGGTCAGAAGAGTTTATGCAGTCCAGCATCCACGCAATGTCTTAAGTCCTTATAAAATCGGGAAGCCCAATGCAAACGTCTGTGCCAGCAAACTGTCGCAGCCCAATTTTGAAAGCGACACACAATCAACCGCAAACCCGGCAAACCCCAAACCCTAAATCGAACACTTATAAGACCCCAAACGCGATAACATAAACCGGCTCAGCCCGGCAAAATCAAGAGCCTTGGCCGCGAGAGCATGACCTCGAGCCATCTACGAGTCTGCGAGTCTTGACTCTGCTGCAAGCTGGATTGTACTATGGATCCTAAGCTAACAACAGCAGACCCTAACCCTAACTGTATGGGTCCTGAAGTGCACACTCCTTGAAAAGCTTTTTCTTTAGTCAGCTGTCTACACGACTTCAGAAGTTTTCACTGTTTCGAAGCAGAAGGGTTTCTGAGGCTTCGGGTGTGTGTGGAGGTGTTGAGGGGTTGCAGCGTTTGGGGTCGAAGAGTTGTGGTGTTGGGCTTCCCATCTTGTCCTTACGTGGTAGCCAGCTTGCGATCGAAACTCGAGGTGCAGTAAGAACTTCTACGGTTTTGGGTTTAAGGTTTGGGGTTTAGGGTTTTAGGGTTTAGGGTTTTAGGGTTTAGGGTTTTAGGGTTTTAGGGTTTAGGGTTTAGGGTTTTAGGGTCTAGGGTTTAGGGTTCGTGACCAAGAACCAGCAGGTGTTCCCCCTAGCCCGAACCTTTCCAGCACTCGATGCCCCAACCTTCCCCTCCCCCTTCACCCCCTCACCCATCGAAAGCTGGAGGCTACGATCTCAACCCTTAGCAGCCCGAAGTCTGAAACTCCAAAAACCTCCATGGCACTTTAAGGTCTTTTTCAAAAGGGTTCCCAGAAGCTACTTGAGGCTCCTGGAGGGTTTCATAAAAATTTTAATTATCGGGGTTTTGAAAGGGGTTGCGCCATGAATTCGTGAAGGATTACAGCACAATCTCTATGAATCACCCGATTAGGTCACGCCCCATTCCGCCGTTGTCCAAAGCCCCCTGTTCCCGACCGCCTTGGGTTAGAACCTGAAAACCCCTTAGTTACCATTCTGAGCCGCAAGATCTCTGATCCCCTGAACCCTACACCCTGAACCCTAAAGCCCCTAAGCCCTAAACCAGGAAGCCTCAACCCGAATTGAGATCCGAACTTCTTGGCTAGGGCTCCGGACTCAGAGACAGGGCGAGATGAACCGAATTCAGTGGGGGACAGTACCTGCCGGGGTCTCCGCTCCTCAACGGGAGGCTTCTCTCAATGGATTCTTAATATAGAGGCCTTAAAAATTAGACTATGGTTTTTCGGGTATATGATACTGGAATCATAATAAGGAACCCCCAAACATAGTGTAGGCAACTATGTAGGCCCCTATCGTACGCAATCAAACGTTGAGAGGCATTGGCAAGGGCGCTCCGATTGCTCTCGATGCTACTTGGTGCATTGATATGGGGCCTCAGTCCGTAAGGTGCCTATACTATTATTATTATTATTATTATTATTATTATTATTTTTATTAATATAATTATTATTTTTTATTATTATTATTATTGTTATTATTTGTAGTAGTAGTAGTTGTTGTAGTAGTAGTAGTAGTAGTAGTAGTAGTAGTGGTGGTGGTGGTGGTGGTGGTGGTGGTGGTGGTGGTGGTGGTGGTCGTAGTAGTAGTAGTAGTAGTAGTAGTAGTAGTAGTAGTAGTAGTAGTAGTAGTAGTAGTAGTAGTAGTAGTAGTAGTAGTAGTACTAGTACTAGTACTAGTACTAGTACTAGTACTAGTACTAGTACTAGTACTAGTAGCAGTAGTAGTCGTAGTAGTAGTCGTCGTGGTAGCTACAGTAATAAGCAAGTATACCTACCGACTCCTTAAGCCTAGCGAGCAAGTGCCAATCAGTGCCAAGTACTTTTGGCTGCAGCTCGCAAAGCCTCTCAGCTCAAAGACCTCCCAAACCTGTTTTTGCACCCTGAAGCTCCGACACCCCCACTTCTGAAACTCCGCTTCTGCTTGCAACGCTCAACCCAAACCCTAAATCCTGAATCCTACACACCCTAAACCCTAAGCACCCCCACATTGGGCGCACTCGTGAGGCTCAGGCTCAGGCAACTCGTCCTGCAACACGACCGACACATGGCGAGAACGCAGTCTAAACAACAATGAACCCGAACAAACCCCACTTAGTCTGCAGTCCTTTATGATTTTATTTATAGGATCCGTGCCCTGTGGCCCAGTAGGAATAGCAAATTCTGGCCCAGTCAGTACAACAAGCCTTATGTACAGCCCATGGTCCTTGGGACCACTTTGTTGGGGTGTTTCTAGGATCTGGGCCAAGAGGCTTAAGGGATTAGAAGGGTTGAGGGTACCGGGTGCGAATTGGTTTACCCATACTGATATCCAGTAAAACGTCGATGTTGGAGTGGCAGGATTCTCGGGGGTCCTCAGTTCCAGACCTGGTGTTTAGGGTTGAGGGCTTAGGCTTTAGGGAGATCCCGATCCAAAGTGCAGGTGACAACCCCAACTCCGTTTTCCGGGCCCTTGTTTCGACCCTGAACTCTTAAGATTGCTGTAGACACTTGCTTCATGACCTCACATTCTTTCAGGGCCCCGAATGATCGGACCCCTACCAAAACCTTATCAGGGGAGAGACTTTCTTTAATCCAGAGTCTACATGACATGATGCACCAACGGCTGAGCTGTAATATAGTTGGCGGGAAAGACACCCCTCTCGAATGCTGAACCTTAAATGTTAGAGGTTTTAGGATTGACGGGCTTAGGGGTTTAGAGTTTCGGGGTTGAGATTCTACTCGAAATATGTCAACCAACCCAAAGGAATAGTATTAACTACATATGGGTGGTTGTCAATATTAGGGTCCCTGTTTGGGTTCTTATTATAATACGGCACCTAATATTTAAGGTACCCCAAAAAAAACCTAATTTTGACAACTACCCACACATTTCCAGGCTTCTAGCTGATTTGCTCCTGGTCGATCTCCTCGAGATTCAGCTCTGACAGGGCTTGCTGTCGGGAAGTCTCAGCAACCTCCGGGGGACCGGCATAATGTAGGGGCATTATTAATTAGAATGGGGTTTTTAGGCCCCTATTCTATAAATACTAATAAGGAACGCCCGCAACAGTATGCGTAATTATTTGCACTCCTGTATTAGAGTGTCGGCGCCGGAAGCGGAACAGCTATAGTCTAGAGCCTTGCTCGTGCGAATAGGGCTCTGGTGGATGTTCTGGTGCAGTTATCAGAGAAGGACTAAGCGGGGTTTATTTAATTATTCCGACCCCTATATTGGATTCAGAATGGCATTCATACTCCCAAGGGGAAATGCTCTTAGGGTCTGCGGTTTTGGTACGCTAGGCCCTACACATTGCGGGACAGACTCCTGTGTAATAGATGATGGCTCGAAATCTGTTCTGTTCTATGAAACCTTTCAGCCGACGGGGGCACGCACCGCCATCGCAGGAACTCAGTAGAGAACTCCGAACACCCTTTTCCTGGTGGGTATAAGACAGTATGATATTACAACACCCTGACAAAAGTCAGCGCAGAACTCTGGAAGAAGGGGTTGAAGTTCCCAGGTGGAAGGAGGCACAGGGTTTTGTTGTGTGGAAGACCGAATGGGAAATCAAAAGAGATCCGCAACTGCAAGCCTAATATCCATCCATCGGTAGACCCTAAACCCTTATCCGTAAGCTCAACGGGTTTCAGGTCCAGCACACCCGAATCGTAACGCAGCTTCCCTTCAACTCCAAGCCTCTGAAATCCCTTAACAGGGACGGTTTCAAACATGGTTTCAGCTTCTCCATCACAAAAACCCATCACCTGGAACTGCAACTGATCGGGTCTGTCCTTGGTGACACTCCAAACCCTTGGCTCCCCCGAGGCTCCTATTATAAACCCTAAGTACCCTGAAACACTCAGCCCTCAATCCTGGGATCCTCAGTCCTAAAGCGCTCAAACCCGGATGACACAATCCCAAAAATCCTACAGCCCGAAAACCGCAAAATCCTGCCCATGAAACCTCAAACCCTGCAATCTCAAAATCTATGGCTGGGGCTTGACGACGAAGATCCCTGCTACCCGAATATTACAGAAGGGCTCCTTTTGGCAACCAAAACCCACTTTTTTGTAGGTTCGTGATGGGGACCCCTCATATACAATCCATGGGGACCCTGCAAAACAGCAAGTTGGGGTAGTTGTATAGGGAACTTAGGACCCCGAAAAGAGTAAAAGGAAGCCTCGTCTACGTACTCCACGGTCCGATCGGAGCCACTGAAAAGCTCCTCCGCAGAGGCAGCGTTGAGGGCCAGGGAGGGCCGGGGGTTAGGGTTTAGGGTTAAGGCTTAGGGTCTAAGGTTTAGGGTTCAGGGAGGACGGGAACTTTACTGATTTTGTGCTTTCTCTTGCTCTTAAGGGCACCGAAAAGGCCGGCCAAGAAATTGCGGCTCTAAGCCCTGGAGCCTTCAAGAACAAGCATCATATGAGCGTCTGTCAAAACTTCTTGTTCATGGCTAGACCATGGATGATTTGGGGGGTCCTATCGCTTTACAAGGATTCCGTCACATGTTTCTGTGAGGCATCGCTTTGCTCTGGTGAAAGTAAGAAGACCATCAGACTCACTGATCCTACTCGTAGCTTGCCCTTTGCTGCCCTTTGCTGCCCTTTACTGCTCTTTACTGCCTTT